ACAACGTCCCATTAGTAGCCAAAGACATCTCAAAAACGTGAACTCCATGCTTCTTGCATCACCACACTAGGCCAGAGGAGCACTCAGCCACCTACCACACTATCACGCTGCTGTACCACGAGTCAGTTGACGCAGACGCCTACAAAGGCGACATTGCGCATGACCCCAACGCAGCTGAAGTCAGGTGGGTCCCGCACAGGAAGAGAGGGTCACCTCGTCGTAAGCGTAAGCTGCCTGTGATCAAGCCGTCGTCACCAGTGGCCAACGGCACCTCCACGCCGGTGAAGTCAGAGTCCACCGTCGACACTCCCACCCCAGCCACTCCTCACACCGCAATGGAGGAGGACTCAGACCGAGACGAGTCATCCGGCATGCTGCTTGACAAGCTGACGGCTGAGGCACCTACACATCCAGACGCATTAGTCGCTTCGACTACCAACGAGCCACCAACACCTACGACTAAGGAAGTTGTTGACCCACCAGAACAGAAGGCTACCTTCAAGCCCCTCTCTCTCCGTAGAAGACGTGATGAGCCAGCCACTCCCCCCCATGCGGGAGTGCCCAACACGGTGTCACCCATCAACCCAATCAAGAAGGCACCCAAGAAGACTCGCGTTCACCCCCCAGCATCGATACCAACCCCATCTTCCCTCCCAACAACAAAAAATACATAATCAAAAAAAAAAAACAGGAAAACGAAACTAAAATAGGACTAACCATTCCCGCCTCTTCAATGACGCCCATTTATTTGCAATATAATAAACCTCCACATTAAATAGTCTAACAAAAAAAAAAAAAAAAAAATAGAAATAGTGCTCCTAAGTGTCTTACCATATGCAGTAGTTACCTTGTTATTATATTATTATTTCTAATCATCAAACAGATTCTTTGAATCTAAAATGGATGTGATTCAAATAAATCGATTGATATGCCGACAGACTTGTCTTTTTGATTGCTCAAACATACTTCCATTTAACATTCTTGACAAAGTATATATATATAAGTAAGATGTCTTCAGGCGTCAAGGTTGCAGTCAGAGTTAGACCTTTCAACTCGAGGTAATAATGAATGATATCTTGTAGATTCTTGAATGTTTGATAGATTGATTGATGGCTAACAACAACACGACATTATAATCAATCAATCAAATAAGAGAGTTGGAAAGGAATGCAGAATGTATCATACGAATGAGTGGCAACTCAACGGTGTTGGTGAGACCTACTTCGATGCGCCACAATTCACAACCCTCACCTGATGATGAGAAGTCATTCACGTTTGATCATTCATACTGGTCATTCGATAATACAGACGTTAACTATGCATCACAGTCCATTGTATTCAATGACCTCGGACTGGAAGTGCTGCACAACGCCTGGGAGGGCTTCAACTGCTCGATCTTTGCTTATGGCCAGACTGGTTCGGGCAAGTCATACTCAATGCTGGGCTATGGCGAGGAGAAGGGTATCATCCCATTGGTTTGCGAGGAGTTGTTCAAGAGGATTGATAGCACGATGATGAATCAGACTGCTGGTGGAGAGACTATATTCAAGGTTGAGGTGAGCTTCATGGAGATCTACAACGAGCGCGTCAAAGACCTTCTCAATCCCAAGAACAACAAGTCAGCAGGTGGCCTCAAGGTCAGGAACAACCCGTCCACAGGCCCCTATGTCGAGGACCTCTCAAAGTAAGTAGTAGGCTTGGGCTCACTTGGAGTCGCTCACTCGCTAACTCAAACATACCACTAGACTGGCGGTCAAGAGCTTCCAGGAGATTGAGATGCTGATGGATGAGGGAACAAAGGCGAGAACTGTTGCCTCGACAAATATGAATGCAACATCATCGAGATCACATGCCGTGTTCACTATTGTGTTCACTCAATCAAAGGTGGACAAGACAAGAGGTATAACAGTGGACAGAGTCAGTAAGATTAGTTTGGTCGATTTGGCAGGTAGTGAACGTGCCACAAGTACAGGAGCGACAGGTGTGCGACTGAAAGAGGGTGCAAACATCAACAAGTCATTATCAACGTTGGGTAAGGTCATCAGTGCGCTGGCCGAGAACTCCACGCCCAGTCCAGGCAAGAAGCAGGTGTTTGTACCGTACCGTGACTCGGTACTGACATACCTGCTCAAAGAGTCGTTGGGTGGCAACTCCAAGACGATCATGATCGCCGCAATCAGTCCGGCCGACATCAACTTTGAAGAGACACTCAGCACACTGCGCTATGCAGACAGCGCCAAGAAGATCAAGACAACGGCCATCGTGAATGAGGACCCTCAGACCAAAGCGATACGTGAGCTACAAACAGAAGTTGAGCGACTCAAGTCATTGCTGGGGTCTGGCGTGGCAGGAGTAGCAATTGGTTCTGGACCCTCCGGGTCCAACCCATCCGCATCAACAGACCATAACGGCCGAATGACCCATGGAGTGACAAATGATGGTATGTATCAGAGCCTCGCGAGGATGCCCTCTTCCGATCACTCAATCACTCAATCACTGACCCATTCAATCAAATAGAGGATGGACTTGTAGTCAGTTTGAACGAGAAGATTGAACAGTATGAGAAGTTGATGACAGAGATGAACAAGACTTGGGAGGAGAGGTTGTCGGACGCAGAGAAGATAAGAGGCGAGAGAAAGGCCGCACTAAAGGACATGGGAGTTGCTATCAAGGTGGTGTCATCAATCCCTCATCTGATCAATCTAAACGAGGATCCACTAATGTCCGAGTCATTGATGTACTATCTCAAGGAGGGCGACACGAGGATTGGACGATCAGACGCCGAATCACAACAGGACATCATACTCAATGGTCTAAACATTGCCAAGGAGCACTGTATCATAGAGTACAAAGAGGGCATCGTGACAATTGCTCCTGCTAGCGACCGCAAGCACTCATCAATCTTTGTCAATGGTGTGGAGATCAATGCGCCAACAGTGCTGTCCACTGGCAATCGTGTGGTACTGGGCAACAATCACATCTTCCGATTCAATCATCCAGAGGAAGCCGCCAAGTTGGTTCGCGAGAGGAGCAACAGCTTTGGTGGTGGTGCACCGCCCAAGCCAGACTTTGGACTCGATCTGAGCCTCGAGGCGGAGCCAACCACCCCACGTGGCGGCCAATCAGGTCATGCCCGCCGCGCACCAGACAATCAAGTTATCGACTACAACTTTGCCCTGAACGAGTTGGCCTCAGCACAGGGCAACTTGGCAATGATGAAGCATGACATGGACAGGGAGTTCCAGCGACAGATGAAGATACTCTATGACCAGATGCGCAGTCGTCTAGAATTGGACTTCAACCCTGAGACCAAAGAGCGTAGGGACAAGTTGGCTCTCTTCACCATTCGTCGTTGGCGGTCCAAGGTCAACAAGACGCGTCTACTCAATCAGATTTCACACGTACTACTGTCCGTCAACGAAGCCAATGCCATCTCTGAGGCATTGTCCAAGAACATTGACCTGTCCGTCACCCTTCAATGTCCGCCACCCTTGATGGCCCAAGATGATGGTAGTGGCACCAAGGTCATCGATGACTCGGGTGTGATGGAAGTAGATTGGAAGTCGGTAAGTATCATGCTCTCACTCAATCATTGATGGAACCATTCCAACTCACTCACTCATTCATTCAATCACTCAACACAGACACAGATCGTGATACGCGCTACAAACAAGGATACTGGAGAGGAGACGATTATATCAAAGGAGGAGTTCATTGATAGATTGTATTCGATGAGGGACTTGTATCAGAATGATGGATGGATGGAGGAGGAAGGCGAAGATCCCTTCACATTCAAGTTTGACGAGGTCAACTATATTGGAGTGGCACATCTTTATCTCATGAGTGTACTACATCTACCCGAGACGAGTAGGTCACTGCCGATCTTGGATACATTCACAGGGGCGTTCAAAGGACATCTCAATGTTGTGCTAGGCACACGTGTCGATGGCCTCAACTCATCGATCAAGAGTATCTTTGTTGGCAAGCCCATCACCATTGGCATTCAGCTTGATGGAATCACTGACTTTGTACACGATGTAGACTCCTATGTCGATGTCTTTGTCAAATGTAACTTTAACTCTGTACAATATCAATCAAATGTAAGTTGTCAATGGTCCAATCGAGTCTGATCAAGCGGCTCACTCACCCATCAATCACAAACAGATACACCTAACAGTCCAACAGATGAAGGATAGAATAGATTTGGAGATTGAGTGCCTGGAAGAGGACTTGATCAAAGAGTTGGAAACACAACACATTGCATTGGAAGTCTTTGGAAAGAGGATGGGAAAGCCAATCAATGGCCTGGACGATGCTTCTTATAATAAGGCAGAGGAATCAATAGAGTTCATTGCCTCGGTTAACATCCTTGAGCCAGAGTCTGTCTCCCCATCACAATCACGACCCAAAACCTTCAAACCAGTACACATATTGGAGGAGAGTGATACCTCAAATAATATGCCATCGGTCACCTTTCGTTTGTTACGCGATGCCACTCAGCGACAGATCATGCTGCGACTGTTCAAATCTGAGCATCAGACAAGAAGTATCAATATCAAGGCGTGCCAATCAGTCAACATTAGCGATGCACGTATCATTAGCAAGAGGGACTCGACCAGTGGTCTGGCCATGATGAGTCCATCCAGCTCGCCCTCACCAATGTCCCGATACCCAACATCACCAGGTCGTCCGCCAACCAACCCATCCTTGCTCAATGTTAGCCAGTCGTCAACAACAGGCACTTCATCACCAGTCTTGCAGGGACAGGGCAGTGGGGCTTCGAGCGACCCCGTTGAGCTACCCGTCGTGTCCGCCACGCACGATACAGTAGTCGCGCACTGGGACTACGACGAGCCGGCACACCTGTTTAGCCAGAAGACAATGCGCAAGGGCAGCAGGATACTGTTCAAGGTGACCTTTGTGTTGGAGATCGAGGACTTTGAGGAGCCCGTCACCATTTCCAAGGAGGTGTCGGCAAAGGTGTTGTTGGGCATGGACACGTGGCAGCAACAATCAATGGCACCAGATGGCGCTGCCGTCAACAGCACATCGTCTTCATCATCATCATCACTCAACAATCTAATGGAGAAGTTCAAGACACACTTCAAGGGTGAGAGCATACTGAGTCTTGATCAGGACTCAGACTCATCGTCCATCCTGCACTCTGGCTCCGTGTTCAATGTACATCTGACAAAGTCCCAACAAATTGAGCATCAGAACAGAATTGGCGACATGATCGACAGCTACCAGGAGCACTACATGAAGCTTGGAGCATCCATCAAGATTGAGCGACTACGTCAGCAACTCGACCTTCGTCAGAAGCTGGCAGACAGCGATAATTCTCCCAACCACCCCACCCCCATGGGCGGGGATAATAGTCCCGGCGGTGGCCTACCCGAGGAGATAGTGAAGAGGATGTCTAGCAATGCTAACAATGCTCGCACCTCATTTGCTAGACGCACTCGTTCATTCCCATCACTCATCGAGGTCAAGGTGAATGAGATTGGCGCCAGCGCATTGGTCAAGCAGGAAGACGACATCAGTGGCGTGCTAATGAAGAAGTCGACGTACAGGGATGAGTGGCGACAGTATCACTTTGTGTTGAAGAAGCCATACCTCTACTATAGTCACATCAATGAGAAGGAAGACAACAAGGGCACAAAGAAGATCGAATTGACCAACGCATCAATCGCGACCATCCCTCAGGACGAGGTCGCCTTTGGACTCGCGATCATACAACTTCGACGCGTGTGGCTGCTCAAGACTACTAGCACGGAGGACCGCGATCGCTGGGTCAAGGCGCTGGACCCATCGCTCAAGATCAGTGAACGCAAGGATCAGGAGTTGCAGCGCGCCAAACAGTTGAACGACTTGCTCAAACGAGATCTCCAGAGAGCGACAGAAGAGCGCGATAGACTGTCCATGCAACTTGTGGAGCTGAGCACGAAGCAGTTGGACGTGGTCGAGAATGTCGAGATTGGACAGCTCACAACTCACATCAACAGTATGACTACATTGATGGAGCGATTGAACCAGCAGTCCAGGCAGTACAAGAATGTGTCAGAGATGGAGCTGAGCACCCTGCGACAAGAGGTGCTGAGCCTGCGCGAAAGCAATCATGGGCTGGTCACAAAGCTGGGCGAGTCCAAAGACATGACTTTGGCTCTGGAGAATGATCGTAGGCAGCTGGAGGACAAGGTCAGTCACTATCGCCAGATGCTGGACTCCAACACAGCGGTGGCGCAGTACCAGACAAGGAACATTAACAGCATGCGTGAGGAGTCCAAGGCCAAACAAGGCCAGATCGATGGACTGACACTCACCGTCGAGGAATCACTCAAAAGAATCAAGGACATCACAGACCAGGTGTCCAGCAGCGCACACGTCGACATAGCAGCTGACTCTCGCGGGTCACCCCAACCGACCATGCATGAACAGGCCGAGGACGAACAATTGGAAGCCATGCGCAGACAGCTACAGGCATCAGAGGATAACAACAATGCTTTGAAGGAGCAATTTGAGACTGAGACAAGACGTGTCAGGGAACAGCTTGAACTGAGGTTCGCCAGGGAGCAGGACCAGCTGATCGAGCGATTGAAGAAGGAGATGGAGGAGAGTGGCCGCATGAAGGACATTGTTGGAAGGATGAAGGAGAAGTTGATCGAGGTCGAGAGTCAGCTTATTGACAGAGAGTGCGAGAATACAATACTCTCAGACAGGTTAAGAATGAGCGAGGAGGAGTCGAGGATCACTGGCTCAAGACTTGGTCTTTTGGAGAATGGTTTCAAGGAAGTTCGATCAGAGTACGAGACAGGCATGGCCTTCTCGCGAGAGTTGGACCTGTCGGCCGCCAACAAGACCTTGTCAACATCACGTGCGCGCACTAAGGCATTGACGCCAGACGAGCAGATGGACAACTTGCGCGAGACCTCAATTGCACATCAAACACAGAATGCCTTCCTCAACCTACAGCTACAGCGAGTGGAGAAGGAGATGAAGCAACAGGAACGAGTGTACAATGACACGATACAGCGCATTAGAGAGGATCTGAATGCGAGGAGTCAGCAGAACATCTCGTTGGTGAAGAAACAGGCTGGTGCCACTGGTGGCGGCGAGTCAAGCGTATTGGCCAAGCGACTGGATGAGCTCACTGCCACATTCGAAGTTTTGAAGAAGAAGTACTTCTTCAACCTTGTCGTCTCGACCAAGCTCCAAAGCGTAATGATGGGCAACAACTGCAACGTAGACTCTTACGACCTCTACGATCAAGCAGTTCACGAGCACATCATCGACTTTGAGAGTTGGCCAATTTGGATTGCCAACAAGTTCAAGTCAAGTCCCTAATTGGATTGGTTCCAATGTTGTAATAAATGTATCTGTATGTATCACCATTCTTGTCAACAAGTGTGCGAGGGCAAGGGCAAGGGCAAGGGTAAGGGTTCACATCAGAAGTGAAGTTTTTGAAACTTTGAAGATGAACTCACTTTTGAGCGAAGTTTGATGAGATGCATTCACACAGGTCACATTCATTAAACATCATTTATTACATTTAAAGAGATAACTACTACTATTACTACTATTACTACTACTACTATTGGTGATACATACAATATATAATATATATATAGTATACTGTTGTTGTATTGTTAGGTTTTCAGTCAGGACTACATCATTCATTCAATCAATCAATCAATCAAATCGACAGACCGACCCATCACGATCGATTCTATAATGATGTCTTCCGCAAACATGCAAAATGAACCCACCGACTACAGTACGTACTAGTAGTACTATTGACGACAAGTGATTGATCACTTCCCTAACTCTTCATCTCATCATCATGTTGACAGGTGGCATCTCCCCTCAGGTACCACCACAGCCATTGGATAAAGAAGCGATGCATCATATACATATGCTGGTCAAGGATTTGACTATACCAGAGAAGCGTGAGAACGCTCTGGTCGACTTGAGCAAGAAGAGAGAGAGCGTACCCGATCTCGCTCCAATCCTCTTGAACTCATTTGGTACGATAGCGGCATTGCTGCAGGAGATCGTCTCTATCTATCCCCTGTTGTCGCCGCCCAAGCTTAAGGCACTGCCATCGAACAGAATATGCAATGCACTGGCCTTGCTCCAATGCGTGGCATCACATCCCGAAACAAGAACCTTTTTCCTTCACTGTATGTCCGTCTGATGGGTCTATGACTCTGTCGCGACTTGGTCATCAATCAGTGTTGTTAACTAACATTCATCTCTTGTAGCGCACATCCCACTCTTCCTCTATCCATTTTTGAATACATCTAGCAAGAACAGACCTTTCGAATACCTCAGACTCACAAGTTTAGGTGTAATTGGCGCGTTGGTAAAGGTAATGAATGAACCAGATGCTGGTGGACTCGCTCATTTCATGTCACTAACATATTCAATCACATCAAACAAACATTAGATTGACGATAGTACTGTTATAGACTTCTTGTTATCAACAGAGATAATGACATTGTGTGTTCGAATCATGGAGACAGGATCTGAGCTCTCAAAGACGGTCGCAACATTCATTGTTCAAAAGATCTTGTTGGATGACATGGGACTGACCTACATCTGTGCGACAAACGAGCGTATCACAGCCTTCTTGCTGGTGTTGAAGAACATGGTGGTGTCGCTGCTGGATCAGCCATCGGCACGTCTGCTCAAGCACGTCATCCGATGCTATCTGCGCCTCACTGACAATCCCAAATCACGCGAACTTCTTCGACAATACCTGCCCGTCTCACTGCAAGACGGCAGCTTCAACTCACATCTCAAGGACGACAAAGACTTCACCATCAAGAAATGGCTGCAGCAGCTACTGTACATCATGAATCCACAGCAAGAACAATTCAACCCGAACCCATCGATCAACACGCCTCCTCTCTCCATCCACCAGAGCAGCATCAGTGCCGCCATCAATCAATCACTGTCCAGAAACCTACAGCAATCCAACAAGCACTGATGATGAAAGTATAACATCATGATCACCAAAATAATAAACTAAAAGAAGTATACTAATACAGCAACAATGCATGGATCTTGATTGATTGATCAGTATGTTTCTTTATTCTATTCAGAGTACTCTTACACCTCGGTACCACATCCATGCCATGGACCATCGACTTACACCTTCTACAGTGATAGCCGTTATTAGTCCTAGACAGATCGCACTTGGAATGGTCTGGAATGCTGACAATGGGATGAGTGATCCAAATATAAAGTAGTGATGCAGATGAAGATAGTGAGTCTTTCGCCAAACCATCGTCACGCCAATCAACACAATAAAGTAAATAGAGTATCCAACCAAGAAATATATCCATACGTCTTGAACAATCTGGAAATAGATGGAGAGTAAGTATGATTGAATGACTTGATTTGTTGGATAACATACCATTAAATATATATGCCAGGCAATAATACAAAGTATTGTTAGGATTATTGGAATGATGGTGAGCAACTCTTTGGGCTCATAGGTGTACCAGAGTGATGGAGTTCCAAACTTGTCTCCAACACTCCTTAGGAATAGGTTGTGATCCAGGTATGTGTAGTGCAATCCAATAACAAAGGGCACTACGAATGCAAAGTAGTTATAAAGAAATGCCTGGTTTGATAACATTGATTGAATGAGTCAGGATTGAATGAGCCAGGATTGAATGATTGAGTGATACTTACGATGTGAATATTATGGTTCTTTGGATCATTTGGACCCATCAGTGTTCTCTCTGGTCCCAACATGAACATGACGGAAGCAACCACCAGCAGTTGGAAAAAGTCCTGTGATCATTTGTTAGTCCTCCAATTGTTTACTTTCCTGTCCACTCCATTCGATCAATCCAATCACTTACTCTATGTCGTTTATATCTACAGTGAAATGGATAATTCCTTTCTTCGGTGACGACTGATACGTAGGCAAAGCCCATGGTGATACATGATATCCACAAGAGATACTTGCTCCATGGTATGTTGTTGTTCCAGAATTCCAAATCTTTGTCGTCGCCAAGATATGTAGATGGCACTAGGTAGCAAACGTAGCACACTGGTATCATGAAGACCAGGAGGGCAGCATCCCTCACCAGCACTCTGAGCACGTTCCTCATTGATAGGTTACGATCGGGTGAGTCATAGCATGTCTTGTGTCTAGTGTGATCGATCACACCAGTTGTTGATGATGTCGTCTGACACACCTCGACATCGTCCACTGTCGAGGATCCAGAGTCTGCTGCGCCCTCTTCAAACTCATCGTCGGCAGCATCATAACACTCTTCTTCGTCTTCATTGATATGATGGCTCGTCACCACCACCAGAGGCTGGGATACATGTGGTTGGACAGTCCTCTGATTGTTAAGGTCTTCCACAATGACTTGATGATCTGTTGTATTGTTGTCTTGTATATTGATACTTTGATATTGTTGACGCTGTTGTTGTTGTTGATGTTGCTGTGATGGAGAATCAACGGATATTGAACGTGATATGTTGTCTACGATGGTGTTGATGTGGTCGTCCAGGACAAAGTTGACATTGTCTTCCTCTTCGGTAGTGTCACCAGCATGGAAAGCACTTCTATTCGCCGTTCTATTATGTGTATTATTATATGTTCTTCTCATTCCTCCTTTTACTATTATATTATCATTGTCGTTGTCGTCTTCGTCTTCGTCGTCGTCATCATCCTCATCATCATCAGACACAGCGTACTTTTTAAAACTATTGCCTCTTCTATTATATCTATCTGTTCTACTAATACTATTCGACCTACTACCACTACTACCTGATCTACTATTATTCCTTTTACTTTTGTTGTTGTTGTTATTACTAATGTTGTTGTTGTTTGGTTTAGTATGTGGCAACAGATATTGATTGTTTACAACGTTGTTGTTGTTGTTGTTGTTGTTATTGTTATTATTGATACCAATGTTAGCTTGATTGGCTATATAACTACTACTACTACTACTATTTATATAATTATTATTATTGTTATTCATTCCTACATGATGTATATCTACTTCATTCAAAGACTCTTTGAATGAGATTCAGAGCAAGAATGAATAGTTTTTTCATTTGCTTTGAATTCCAAGATGTAATTCCACAGTGAATCACAAAGTTTCCCTACCTAACCCCATTCACACGTCATTCCTTGGTCCATTCAATATTAGACTCTAAGAAAATAAAGTTATAAGTTAACTTAGAATATATATAACTATCATTTATTTAATTGAAGTTCATCAGAATATATATCTTGTCCAACAACAAGTTGTTATTGTTGTAACCTAACTTTCAAAATTATATCCAACTAACCCAACAATGATAAAGCGGAGATTTCCCCATCAGTAAGTCAAATACTATACAACATTTCTTTGTATGTAATGATTGTGTATCTCTGGATAGACAATCATACTTTGTACCAACCTTGTATATCAATGAAGTGTGGAGAGGAGTAACTTTGAAGTTGATGGGTCGTGTCCTTTCAAACAACAAGAATTCTTTTCCCGAATACCCATTGACTACCACATCCACCCCCTGTCAATTTCGAATGTGTTCGACTTTCCATCAACCATCAATCACACTCACACTCACATCACCAAGCCATCTTATTTTTCCAAGTTACTACTCGGTCAAATAAACGATCATAAATCACCTCTTTATTTATTATCATACCGATATAATACAAATAAATATATTAAATAATGGATATGTTAATCATACTTTATTATAAATAACAATAAATTTTCAACCATAATGAATCATTCAATCAATCAATCAATCTACCAAAATATAATATTAACTAAATCATAAATAATAACAATGAATAACAAATATATTGCTATCTTCTTGGTCGTTCTGGTTGCTCTGTGTATTGTCACCTCTGCTGAAGAAGAAGAAGTCCAAGGATGTGATTGTTATGTCAACTGTTATGCCGCCTTTGAACACTGCATGATTTCTTGGTTCAGAAATCCAACCAACAATGGATGTGACTGCTACACTGCTTTCAATGGTTGTGTACGTGGATGTGGATGGGCCTAAACTCCACCAATTCCAGCTCTAATTAGAATCCCTGTAATTCATCATCATGTATAAAAAATAAAGTGTATCAAATCCCTTTGGTTGGTTCCCAATAACCAAATAATAATCGTAAACTATGACTTAGAAATCATTCGTATACTTTGTTGATTAAATAAGTATAACCTTAAGTGTATTTTGATTTGTAATACATAGTTTACTTAGGCGAATATTATAGCACTTCCCAGGTATTTTGGTAATTCTTTTGGTATTTCCTTCGAACTAATAATACTTGAGTCAGTTAATAAATAATAATATGATGGTGAAGATCCCCAAATCAACACTAGAGATAATAGGAAAAATCAAATATTATATAATTTATTTATTTAAAATAAGCAGGTATTGAGGGATTTGAAGGTAATTTGTTGTGTTTGATTGGTCTGGACCTGGGAACACTAGAGGCTTGATATATATTTCCATATTCAATCTTGATATTTGAAGTGCCTTCATCTTCCTCCTCAATATTATGTGTTGTAGTTCTAACTCTTGCAATATCAGGTGATGGTTTAAAAATACGTTCAGCACTTGAACATAAAGCTGATCTACCACTTCCACTTGAACTACTACTATTTAATTGATGTTGTTGCTGTTGAGGTTGATTCCTAAACTCTTGTAGTATATCAACAATTGAAAATTTACTATGTACTGCAGTAGATACCATAATTCTATATTAATTATTTGTTTGGAAATATATTACAATATATTTGTTTGATTGATAATATTATTTTGTGAATGTCCAGTTCAACATGAAGATGACTGGGTGTGACCTTTATTCCAAGTTGTGTTGTCCTCAGACGGCATCTTCAACACATATTATCATATTGAATACTTCTGAAGTCATTCTACACATACGTTCATATCCATAAACGATTGGACGACCGAATGTATGAGTGTATGAATATCCAATCATACACACTCACTAACACATCAATGTGTTTGAGTCAGTCTACACTTTCAGTCATACCCACACCACATAGTTTCGACCAAGATATATCCAGGTGAGTGTGGGGAGATGAGATAATGGATACATTCAACCCAGCCATCACATGATCGTCAGTATACTCCTGTTCATAATAATAAATAAATATATATATTTTTATATTATTTGTAATTACAATTAATAAATTTTGTGTGAGTGATGTAATCAATCAATCAATTAATCAATCAATCAATCAATCACTCCAATCAATTATTATCACCACCAGATTTGATACCACATGGGCGCCATTGACCAACGACTGACACCTTCTACGGCAATGGCCGAGCATATTGCCATACAGATGGTAGATGGAACGGTCTGAAATGCTGTGATTGGAATGATCACACCAAACATAAAGTAATGGTGCATGTGAAGATAATGTGTCTTGCGTCTAGCCAATGTTACTACCACCAATACTCCAATGAGTATACTATATCCAATCAAATAATACATCCACACATTCTCCACCAACTATATGATTCATTGATTAGTTGATTGATTGATTGATTAAAAGTTAGTGTCAATTTTATGGTGCATATTTGAGAATATTGATATTTACCATGAGATACATATGCCATCCAATCATGAATAACATTATTAAGAGGAGAGGTATGAGGATTGAGAGCTCGGAGCGAGTAAAGTGACACCAAAATGTTGGTTTGCCAACTTTGCCACCAATAGAGTGTAGTAATTCGTTACGTCGAAGGTATGTGAAATGAAGTCCAAGTACAAAAGGTACTACAAATGTAAAATAGTTATAAATGAATGACTTGAATGGTCCATTATTCATCATAGACAAGTATGTTGGTGAGATGATCAATTCAATACAATTCCATTCATTGTTGCTTACAATATGAGGACCATGAGGTACCAAATCATTTGGACCCATCAAAGATCGACTTGGACTGATTACAAACATAACAATTGCGCATATCAGTAATCCAATGAAGTCCTATTTGATTGATTGAGTTAGTGAATGAATCCTAGGGTGGACGGAATAGCTCCACCCTTTGATCAACTTACAAAGTGTCGTTCATATCTTGAGTAGAAGGGGTATGATCTGCGCTCGGTAATGATTGCAACATAGGCAAAGCCAATGATTATACTGGACATCCATAATACAAACTTGCTCCAAGCAATATGATTATACCAATATCTCGTGATATTGTTGTCACCAATATAGGTTGAAGGTATAAAATATGATAAATAACATATTGGTATCATTAATATTAATAATAATACATCACGTATTAATACATATTTGATCAATTCCAATCTATTTGTTAATATTTCTTTGTTATTATTATCTACTTTGGTCTGACTACTGTTGTTATGATCGATGGCAGCCACATTAGGTTGAGTTTGGTCAAGTTGAGAATATGTCATTATTTGTTATAATGTGATCATTATATGTTAAATGCTATAAGTTTGATTGATTGATTGAATAGATATGATAGACTCAGATGTCGATCACTCTGATTGATCATTCGAAAGATTGGGAACTTTCGTGAGAATTTGTTTCAAAGAATCTCGCGAAAATGCACACGTCGACGAAGCATGGTGAATCACATTGATGGATTTCGATGAAGGTCAAGATTGGTTGATTGATAATCTTTGTACAATTATTATTATTATTATTGTTGTGGGTTGGTTATGGTATAGTTCCAGATCTATTGGGTGAGTCCTGGATTGAGCTTAAGTATATGTGATCAAACTTGATTKGATTGAGTTGTTGACCAAGGACCTTGATTATCGAGACATTTCATTCGATTGAGATAGTTGATTCATTCTCTTGATGATCTTCTTTGTCTTGCTCTTCCTGGGAGTGGCGCGAACCCAACGTTGTACTCTGACGTTGGACAGATATGATATATGATTGCTGCCAGTCTTCTCACGATTGTGAAAGACGATATAGTTGATAAGACTGCGGTTGGTACACTTGGTCTCGATAGTGAGCGACGTCTTGGTGATCGACTCCCAGAGTGTGAAGCTGACGTTGGTGCCATCGTCGTGGATCTCAAAGTGAACGGGCACACCGACCTGGAAGGCAAACTCGCCCTGCTTCTTGATCTTGACGTGTCCAGAAGGTACCATGCTGCCACGTCCAATGATCGATGCCACGCCTCGAATGTAACTAAACTCCAGGCCATTCTGTATCTCGTAGTAGGGCGCACCGACGTGCATTCCATCGGAGCGTGTGGCGCACTGGAAGAAGTCGTCATTGGTGGCGCGGATCCATGTGCCTGTCAGCTTCACCTCACCATCATCAGGATTGTACTGATCTCGAGTGATCATATATGCTCTGTTCACAAACTTATAACGTCCCTCCTCAACCATCAATGATGAACCAGAGCATTCTCTATTAACTGTCCATCTCAATGAGTCCATCTCTGATGCAATAACATTATCCTCCATCAGTGTTTGCCAACATGATGCGTCATTATCTGTTTTGATTGATTGATTGATTAGTATGAATGAATAGTATGATCCAAGATTGAATGAATGACATTACCTTCATATTCAAGTAGGTCAACTATTGGTTTAATTTGAAAGTAGCGTGCGAGGGACCAGACGCCGTAGTAGTTGAGGTTTGGTTCGATGATGAGCTCACCATGACGGAGATAGTTGAGTATGACTAGGAAGTATCTTGGGTCAGCATCGATAAGTATACATCCATTCTCATCTCTTGTATGATTCCATCCATAGTCCTTGTTGAACATTAGGTTGAGCATCGACTCTTTGTCCTTCCTCAATGTTGTCAACGTGGTCTGTATAACTGTGCCTCCAACATTTAGCTTGACCCATTCATTATTTATTGCATTTGTTATAACATTTCCAACATCTCCACTACTAATATTCAAACTATTGTTATTATTGCTCATCATCTCTTCTTTTTATATTTGTAATTGTATTTGTATTTGTATCTGTATCTCTGTTTATCACAATCGCTAGATTGATTGAATGAATGAATGAATTGTGATTAATGTTTCATTTTTGAAGGGTCTCCCCTTCATTTTCAAAGACTCGTTCATTCATTTGCAATGAGTTACTTGATGATTATCTCTTCACTTTTATATACATATATATACAATGTTTAGATTGACTAGTGCATTGGGACCATCATTCAACAAGGTCGCACAATGGAAACTGTTATCACAATGCTCACCACTGGGGACGACGTCAACGACCGCACTCACAGGTCGACCATGCTCTACAACGAACAAGCCACCGACACAAACACAAACACCGACACCTACACCAACAGCATCAACATCAACATCAAAGTCAAGTGCACTGGATGAGTTCATGAAAGATATTCAATCAACAATATCATCAACAAGTTCAAATTTAACATCATTGTTCAATCTCAAAGAGGACGACTCACCAGACACCATCGAGAGGCGACGTAAACTACAACAGGACCTAGATCAACAGAAACAGAGAATGAAACAAGACCAGGAAAAGGATAAAGTAGGAGACACCAACAACATAAATGATCAACAACAACAGCAAGATGGAGATTCTATACCTCGGAAAGGCAAGTCAAAGTCTGGGAAGTGGCGACCATCGGCCAACCCATTGGTGAAGCGATTGGTCCTCTCGGTCGATCCTCCCAACTGGAGCACTGTATTCGCACGACCCGAGCAGCCGGTATTCATCGATGTCGGCTGCGCAAAAGGCGAGGTGTTGTTGCAGTCCTCCGTGGCCAATCCAGGTATCAATCACTTGGGCATAGACATTCGAGAATCATTGATAGACACTGCGCAGCGATCACATAAAATACTAGAGATTGAGGCCAAGTGCAAAGTGGACAACGTACATTTCATGTCGGCCAATGCCAATGTCAACCTGTTCAACATTGCCAAATCACTGCCGGCTGGCTCCATCCAGAAGGTTAGCATTCTCTTCCCCGATCCATGGTACAAGAAGAAACATGCCAAGAGACGTGTGGTCAATGCCACATTCGTCAACGAGATTGCCATGGTCACTCCAGTTGGTGCCAAGGTAGGTATCCATTCCTCGTCTGTCCTTCATCCAAAAGACGGTATGGTACTAACATGATCCATTATCCATCCATCAGGTATATATTATTTCCGATGTTCAAGAACTTTATGAAGACATGGCCAATCACTTTTTGAGCAATAGTGCATTTGCCAAAATGGAGAATACCATGGACGCTTGGGACATTCCTGTTTCACACAAGCAGAGCTTCTATATTGAGATAGGAATGCCAAGTTGGAGATCTGTACTGGTTCGTGTCTAACACATTAATAAAAGATAATAATAAAAAAATAATTTAATTAACACTCTGTTAAAAATTTATATTCTTGTCGACAATCTTATAAAAACATGGCAAATTCAAATTTCAAAACATCAAGACACCTTGGCCGAGTGGTTTTAAGGCGATCGCCTGCTAAGCGGTTCCCTTCGGGGGCGAGAGTTCGAATCTCTCAGGTGTCGACATCTTTTGTATTGTTAAAATTGAGGACAATTGTAACATGAGGAACTTCCAGAGACTTTTTATTTCTTAATCTCTGAATAGATCACTGTGATGAATAGTTGACTGTCAATGCTTACCAAGAAGTAGTAATGTATCCAGTAATGATGACATATTGCCCTTTTGTGGTGTCACGCTACAAATATTGTGGGTTATTGTTTTTGCAAACTACAGTGCCAAATAAGTAAGCAAACCGCTGACAGTGGCGTGGTTTGCATATTATGATCGTGCGCCAAGTGTACGTATCACGAACCAATCAAAGGTATAATCGTCCAGTCGCCCAACGCTGTTCAACCATATTTATAATATCATATAAACATTAAATCGCACAGAGTTTGTCTTTACGTCCACGCTAACGAGTAACATCTTGGCAGGACATCAAGAACGAGATGGTCATTGCTGAGGAGACTTGAAATTCCAAGTCTCTATTCTCTTGGTTCCAATTGAATAGTCAGTGATCCAAAGCTCATCTCTATGCTCTTTAACCATTCAACTATTCCTGGGAGAATCCAACCAAGTTTTATCTCAATATGATCAATGATGTATTGATTGATTAATTGATTGGATCAGACAGCAATAGATGTCATTTATTTTGAGTACCAACTTTTGATCATGCCAGAATACTTCTCGCACGATTGCAACAACCATAATTAATTATACTACATATTTAACATGTTGATTGATTGAATGGTTGTCGCCTGGTACCACTACTACTAAATGGTAGTCACTGTAGCCATCATTGCCTGTCGTCGTGGCATCTAAATGCCTGAATAGGGATGGGATAAGACATCCCAAGGTCTCTGTCTCTGTCTAAATTCATGTCCATGTCCATGTCCATGTGTTGGTCTCCATCGGTTTGGAGACATTACTCCATGAACATTTAGTCAAGGTCCTTGAGAAGAGTAGACTGTCATCGGACAGAGGCTTGATAAAAACAACATGGATGATATCTGGAGTTGGTTTGATTGTTTGTTTGTTTGTATGTCAGTCATGTATGTACGACATCTTGGTCTCTCTCTCTCTAACTTCATCTCAAGATACATACCATCGATCGATGTTGGAAGATAAAGGAAGAAAAATGTGATTTGTTTGAGTGGGATGATGTCCTTCTGATTGATCATCGAAGGACTATCTTGGACCAGGGTAAGGCCATGGCCATAGGTTAACCTGGTAATTATATATATATATGTATATATTGTGTGTGTATGTTGTGTATGTATGATGTATGTAATGTGTCTAGCCTATAAATAATAATAATAATAACTTAATAAGTGTTATCTGGATGATATACAAATGGTTGATATTCATTGTATTCTGATGGTGATGAGTAATGGTGTGCTCTACTCTTCTTGGCATCGGCACCTGGATGGAACAGTTTGCCTATATTCCTGAATATCATAGCCATTCTATGTGAGAACACAGAAAAGATACTTTTCTTTGGTCTGTATATCATTGTTGTTGTTGTTGCTATTATATGACTATGTTTACAATATATATACAATATAAAGTCTCTGAGATATATATATATATGATTGATTGACTGTGTTGTATCTCCGAGATGTGATTGATTGATTGAATGAAGATGAAGATGAGATGTTGTTGTAATTGTAGTAGTAGTAGTAATATATAAATAATTATACAGATTGCCTTATATGTTCATACATGTATGATGTTATATAACTAACATTACTTCCTTCCCAAGTGATACAAATACGTGCTAGTTATATAGTTGGTGATGATGATAATAAGTCACTTGGACACACACCACTAACCTAATCAATCAGGGTTGTTTGTGTGTGTTGGATGTGTGTTGTGTGTAGGCGTAAGCCACGGTTTGGTGTTTGATTGCTCTTGGTCTGGGTTGTTGAGAGTGTTAATAGGTTCGAACAAGAAGATTGGATGGTTTAAGTCTCTGTCTGAGCGTGGCAGGAGATACCCCTAGGCGCCCCATCCTAGACCCAACATACTAGGTGAAAACAATCAAAAACAATTCATTTGACTCTGAAAAGGCCTCGATGATCCAAAAAATTGGGGGATCGCGTTAGGATTCAAGACCCAAGTATGGTTACAAACACTGAATTGTGAGGTTCGGGTATTAACTTAAATTAGGGACCATCACTTGTCCAACAAACAGACATCAATTTGGTCAATTGACAATTATTGGATGATTAAATGATTGATTGAAACGATTGTATGATTGGACAATGACATCATCATCAAGGTAGACGACATCAAGGTAAATGAATGATATATGGGAATAGTCCCCGAACAAGTACTTTCAAAGTACTTGTCAATATAGGGGATATGGAATAGTTCCTTTGTTGGTGTTGTTTTTTACATCATTGGTATTTGTGATGATCACGTCATCACTTGTGTCTTGGTGTTGGTATTGGTGTTGGAGTTGGAGTTGGAGGTTGACTTTGGATTGGTGACCATGTTGTGGATTGACATTGTCTCCATCTCTCGACGTCGGAGCTTGGCCAAGTCCTTTTTGTATTTCAGTCCGCAGGCATTGCATAGGTTTCGTTGTCCATCTGGTCCTTTCCTCCACTCTGGTGTCTCTGTTGCCTCACATCTTACACATGGACCTGGTACAGGCTTATATTTCCTTCTATAAGGATGATGAGCTGTTGAACCATTCCTCAATGGTGATGAATGGAATGCTGGTCCGCCGCCCTCTTTCTTCTTTGTCTCATCATCACATGAATCACTCCAAGCTTGAGATTGATCATCTCCCGTCTGTTTCTTTACAAGTTTACATCTGTTGGATTGATTGATTGAATGTCAACATGTTAGGTCACGGCCTCAGACATCATGATTGAATGAATTATCCAGACTTACCCATTCCTCTTTAAAAGTTGTTTCAGTCTTTGTTCGATTGACACTATTATTTGAATTATCATGTTTAGATAGGATTGTAGACAACGTTGATCCAACTTGTGTCTAAACAATGGATCAACATATGACATCAATTGTGTAATCTCCAAACACATTGAACATATCTCACTAATATGTAACTTATTGATCTGGATATATTCTGCCTTGAACTTTAGATTGGAAATTGATAATGTGAGGCTAGATGATGGGCGGGTTAGTGTCGGTCGGGCTGGAATAGTTCCAATCACTCGATGACATACTTTGAGTTTGATTGTTTGTTGAATAACCTGTTCTTTAACTCTTTTAACTTTATACATAGGAGCAGGGTACTGGTGAGGGATGTCTCGAATTCATCACCTCTGATGAATGCACTGTATAGACCAGGACACAGTGGGAATAGGTCCAATGACAATCTATGGAATCCATATAAGTTGATATTTGATGTATCAGGTGATCTTGGACTACTATTATTACTGCTACTACTGCTACTGCAACTGCTACTACTTAGCATATCCACATTGTTGTCAAGTTGGGACATTTCCAACTTTGATTGTTTTTGTTGGAGTTGCTGAGTTGTAGTTGGAGGCATGTGTAGTAATAGATGTTGGGGATGTTGATGAGGATGGTTGAGTTTGAGAGATTGAGTTGTTGGAGTTGGAGTTGGATTGAGTGGTGGAGTATATTGTTCGTCACTATCAAATGTCATTTCCAAATCGTAACTATTATTGTTATTATTATTATAATTATAATTATTATTATGTTCTTCGTCTGCCTCGCTAATTGTCTCCAGCAATTTAAGTGATGATAATGAAGATGTCCTGTTGCGATATAATCTGAACATCGTCCAGATTGAGTTATAATAATATATATAATAATTAAGTTTTTTGATTGATTGGTTGTTTGTAGAGATAATAATTATTTATATATATATATATTTATGTACAATGAATGAATGAAAGTGATTGATAGAGTATAATGTAATGAGCAGTGATTGATTGAGTATAATGGTGATGAGGAGTTAGGGCAAAGCAAGGTGTAATTATAACATGTGGAGATGCAATCTTAGATTGGTGCCTGGAGATAATAATGTTGATGGGTCGGGTCAAGCAAGGTTGGGTCAATTGAGTGATGCGGGGTTGATTGGTTGGGGGTCAATCAATCAATCAATCAAACAGATACACAAGCACACAAATATAGAGTGAGTATGTGTGTGAGAGATATCGATTAGAGCTCAAGATCGAATGAATGAATAAGTTGAATAAGTTGAATGTATGAATGAATGAATGAGTGAGTTGAGATTGATGGGGAGTGGAGTATGTATGTCTATTTACTTGAACAACATCGTATTATATATCTCCAATCATAATTAATTAAACACACTTGTACACCAACATTCTTCAATGCCCTAGGCCTCCCTCACTTCTCCTCACACTCTCCATCACTCACTGTCATTCATTATCATAAATTGACCATAAAGACGAGTGTTAATACACACACACACACACACACACAAACACACAAACAATCAATCACATCTTTCGATCAGTCATCCAAACAACCCCCATCTCACCTTTGAAAACAGTGTGTTTGAATGTCGATCATGTGGTGAATGGTCTGCATCTTGAGTCGATCAGAAATTGGATCTTGATCTAAAATGAAAAACATTCGGTTTTGCCGATCGATTGGGATGATTGTTTGATCACATCACATAGTCAAATATCTTGTGTCGGGGACATGATACGATGGTCCTTCCAAAAACAAACTTAAACTTAAATCGAAGGGCGGTTTGAAGAACTGACTGTTCGGTTGGACTGACAGCTTGACTTAAGATTTATTAATCATCGTCATCGTCAGAATCATTATCATCATTATCAACATCATTTCTTTGTTTACAATCATAACAAATATTTGATGTTAATTGACTGAAGACTTGATCAAAGCTCTGATCTCATGTTCAAGTTGTAGAACTTGACGTTGATGTGTGTACAACTCTATAAATTGTCCACTCGAGATTCTTCAATGCTACCCTCTTTTTACCGTCTATAGAATACAATTGCTTGATAATGACTCGTCATCAATAAGATTGATTGGTATAGCAGTTTTGCCATATATATTTATATCTCTCCTTTTACGCATCTCAAGAATCATTGAGCGGCATGTCATTCCAAGACAGAGGATGTCTATAGCATTATCAACATTATTATTGTCTAAATGATTAAATATATTTCTGATCACTATTGGTAAGAGTTTATCCATATCTTCTATTACTTATATATATTATTATTATTATTTGTATTATTGGATATCAAATGAATGATTGAGTGGAATCAAAAAAAAAGGTGATTGTTTTCCCTCAACAAGGTAGATTTTTGGAAAGACGAAAGTCACTGACTTGATCAAAAAACGACACATTTTCATAAAGTTGACAACACAAGATAAATGAGCACAACAGATAATAATAATACAATATTGAATACTATTGTGGATTGGTTAAGATTGAATGGAGTCAAGATCAATCATAAACTTATTCAAATAGTTGACAATACAACTCCAGGCATTGTTGAAGGCCTTGGTGTCATAGCCCTCGATGACCTCTATGAAGATCAAGTCGGTACGTAAGGAAGGACCCATTCCCATCCATCAATCACTTTCACTTACACATAACATAGTTGCTATCATACCAAGATCATGTTTATTATCAAGACATACTACGTCAATAGCTACACACTTGAGAAAGTATAAGATAAAGGGTGCCACAGCAACTTCTATTGCGTTGATTTATGAAGCTGCACTGGGGCCTGCATCAAAGTGGCATGGATATATCAAGTCTTTACCATTGACAGTTGATCTACCTATTTTATGGGATGACGAGTCACTTGCCTTGCTAAAGGGTACTTCGATAGAGTCGGTCGTTTATGAGAATAGGGACACATTGGAAGAGACATTCAAGAAGCATGTCGCTGGTCAACTCACTGCCAATCATCCAGACCTCTTCCCAGCGGCAGTCTTTACACTGGAGAATTTCAAGAGGGCGAGCTGTCTAGTTTCATCGCGTGCCTTCAACATTGATGACTATCATGGCGATGCGATGGTGCCCCTCGCCGACATGTAAGTAATGCGAATTGAATGATGTCACGTGATCAACTTTCTGTCATGTGATACCTGTCACGTGATCATCTTCCTGTCACGTGATATCAGCAAAAACTAACGAACAACATGTTGTCCGCCCGCAGCTTCAATCATAGGACTGGAAGAGAGAATGTACATATCGAATCAGAGGGAGATGTCTGTTTAAAGTGCGGATCAGTTGCAACATGTAAACATCGTACTGTTGAGCAGCCAGAGGACATGGATGAAGACAGTGATGAAGACAGTGATGAAGAGGATGACGAAGAAGATGACAAAGACGGTGAGTGGATGCAACAGGTCAAGAATGACAAGGAATCATTGCTGGTGTCAGTTGTTCGCCCTGTAAAGAAGGGCGGCGAAGTATTCAATACCTATGGCGATCATGACAACTCGTTGTTGTTGAGCAAGTATGGATTCCTCGAGCTGGACAATCCTTGTGACTTTGTCCGCATTGAACCAGACCTTGTGGACAAGGTGCTGAGCAGTCGGTGCGGCATATCCGAGGCGGTGATTCAGAAGCGAATGGCATTCTACTGTGAGATGTTTGACGAGGATACACGCGAGTGTCACGCTGTAGAGCCGAATGGTACATGCGACGAAACTCTGATGTGCGCAGTATTCATCGCACTTGCCACAAAGGAGCAGATGTTGGCGTGGACAAAGATGAAGCGATCCAAGCTGGACACATACTTTGAGCAACTGGACAAGGATGGAATGATCAAGGCCAATGACAAGGTTGCACCGGCACTCATGGCCATTATTGAAGAACGTTTGAAATGTCATGGAGACAATTTCAACTCTAATGATCACTCAACATCCATGTCAATTCTTCAACAACAAATCGATCAACTACCAAACATACCAAATTCCAGACACAGAAATGCTCGATCACTTCAACTATGTGAACAAAACATCTTATACAAAGCTCACAATCAACTCAAACAATAGAGTTGTCAACAACCGAATGAATAACAACACCACACCCTCTTTCCAAAAAAAAAAGTGACCAACCTAGTTGGAATCATTCCACATTTATCGATCAATCAATCTCAATCTTATCTTAAGATAGATTGAATGAGGGGTGTACGAAGAGAGTCTGTCTACACTTTCATTGCAATTTAATGAGAAGATAATTCTCCTTATGACGACGTGTTTCCTAATCTGATCATCTTTCCTTGTTTTTGGAGTGTGGGATCACAACCACACACTCACCAATCAATCAATCAAACATTTCAGTGTGTGTTCACTCCCTCAACTCAACTCAATCAATCCATCAGTCGATTGAGTAGCAGCAAAGTGATGTCCAAACACTCAATCCATTCATTCATTCATTCATCCACTCTCTTTGTATATAGATATTCCCTTTTAACAATAAATAACAACTACTTCGACAACGATGTCAATGAATGATGGTGAGAAGAACTTTAAAGTTGTGATACTTGGTGAAGGTACGGTATGATAAGGATGATGATGTTGGTATCCACTCAATAAACATCCTCCGATTAACAATATGGACATACTTAGGATGTGTTGGAAAGACATCATTGATACAAAGATATACACAGAACAACTTTAGTGACAAATACATGATGACGCCATCAGCGGGATACTCACAAAAGATGGTCAACATGTCTGGAAAGAGAGTATGTCTCACAATATGGGACACTGCTGGTCAAGATAGATTCCATGCCCTTGGTCCAATTTATTATAGGGATTCTCAAGGTTAGTATAATGGATGGATGGAATGATTCCAGGAATGAATGAATGAATGAATGTTAACTTGGAACAAACAGGAGCAATTATAGTGTATGATATAACGGATGGAGACTCATTCATAAAGGCAAAGACATGGATGAAGGAGATAAAGACACAGTTGGGCTCAGCGATTCAGATGTGTTTGGTTGGCAACAAGAGTGATCTGGAAAGGGCTAGAGTTGTGCAACCAGAGGAGGCAGAGTCCTATGCAGCATCAGTTGGAGCACTACACTACACCACATCGGCCAAGCTGAACAAAGGTGTCGAAGAACTCTTCTTGGATCTTACAAAGAGTATGATTACTGATTAATGATGGAAGGAGAGGACATTGCTAACCTAATCAATCAATCAAGGAATGTTTACCATGAAACCATTGGGGAGCGATAGTAAACCAACTTGTGTCATTCAAGTTATACCAGAGACAACAGATAAGAAGACATCGCCCTGCTGCTGACATGACCCAATCGATATCCAATCAAATCCAATCCAGTCCAGTCAATTTAATGAAGTTTACTTTGAACCTTGTACCATTCAATTCATTCATCCTGCGTCTCATTGTCGACTTTGATTAGGACCAATGTGCTGCAGTATTAGGTGGATGTAGGAGTCGCGACAATCCTATCCCTTAGTCGAATGACTGTTGACTGTATCTGTTCAAACAATCTAGATATGGAATGAATGTTAGAGAGGAGGAGGAGCGCAACCTACTATCATTCATTAATGGTGAAACTTACGCTGCATTCTCTGGCGATGTTGGCTTAACTTGTGCCAGACATGAATCAAAGAGATAGGCGATGTCATGTTCGGAGAGGTCGGTGTTGGAGCATGCCTGTCTCAATGCATACATCATTGACACACAGCCATGCGCCAACTTCATCAGTTGTTCATCGCGTTCCAATACCCTGTTGGGTCTATAATCCAGATTGTTATTGTTGTCCTTTACGATCTATAAGTATGGCAATGTTGGTTTGTTAGTTCGTGATGACGGCTGGACATGGATGGTCGTGGTGTCCACGATCTATAGATCAACATACCTTTGTGATGAAGCTCTTGGATTGATCTCTGATCAGATTGACCAGGTCGGTGATTAAATACTGTTGTTTAATATGTGAAGTGTTGAGCTGTGTCTGTGATGTTGGCGTATTCGTCATCAATGTAGTCGTTGTGTTTGGATCGCTCTGTTGCAAAGATTATGATGACATGTTAGTATGTGTAAGTTCCAACTGTCCACTGGACTAACTTACAACATGGGTTGATTGATCACGCTTGAATATCTCTAGTAGGGTCTTGAGCACCTTGTTCAGGTACTCTAAATTTACAAGGACTCGGGAGTATTCGATCTGGAAGTGCTTGGGATAGCCATCGAGTATGATCTTCTCCGCCTGTGTATTGAGTTCGGTGAGCTGAGCGATCAGTCCTTCCTTCTTCTCCAACACGACTATCAGGCCCAGCACTAATATCAGTGGCGTCTTTTCCAGTTGATCATTCGTCTGTTGCTCCTGATCACTCATCATCGATTGATTCGTGGCTGTACTATTGTTTAGGTTACTGTTGTTGTTGATGCTGTTGTTGTTGTTGTTGTTATCCTTGTTTGCATATATAAAGTTGGATTCAATGATACTTCGTATGTTCTTATCGATTGACTAATGTAATGAATGATTGAATGAATGTTAGCGTTCACTGATGAAGGTACCATTCCAGGTGACATGATCGAGGACTTACCATTACGTCAGTGTCTGGCACTGTTACTGGCAACTTGGTCTTGTCATTCTCAATCTCGTAGCACATGTTATCGAATGAATAGTATAGGACTGTTCCCCTTTGTAGGCTATTGTTTAGGTGGTCTGATGTTTGATTGATTGATTGAGTTAGTGATTGGAGTGATGGATGGATGTGGGATGGTTCCGGAACCAACATACATAGAACTTTGGAGTTTGGCTGTATCTGTAGGAACTTGAATATATCGTCGTGGAGCATTGATTGTCTGATCTTCTCGCGGGTCTGGTAGAGCTTCTCACGTGCTTCTTGGAAGAAGACCTCGGACAGACGCCGTGGCTTCTTCATACGACTGCGCACCTCGTTCCACTCGATCTTTGACAGCTTCCTCACCTTGCCAATGCCAATCTGATTGAGCCACATCTGGAACTCGTTGTAGAAGTAGAATGGCGCGTCAATGTCACTGTAGAACCACTCGTACATTGCCCACTTGCCAGAGCGTGATAGTTCGTAGCCCTGCTGCTGCTGGTGCTGGTGCTGTTGTTGCTGCTGGCTGCCAGCAGTCGCTGCTGGCTCTGAGGTGCGCTTGCCCAGGAAATTCTGAAGGCGCTTCTGAATGGTGAGCTGCGACTCGGCCAAAGACCTCGGTGATGATGTTATGAGTTGCTGCTGCTGTTGTTGTTGTTGATGTGGCTTGTTGTACGCGCTGTTTGTTGGTGAGTGACTCATGGACAGCAGGCCATATGCACCGTTCTCATCTTGTAGCGGTGTGGATGGCTTGCTCTTGTTGATCTTGGTTCGAAGCTTGGCGGGTAGTGAGCTTGGCGAGGACATCACCTCGTCCTCGTAGGAGGACTTTAGTGGAGTGGATGTTGTCGACGTGGATGATGACTTCCTCTTCTTGGTCGCTGAGCTTGGTGATTGTGATGATGATGTTGTTGTAGTCGTTGTCGTCGTTGAATGGTGGTCAGAGGATGAGGATGATGAATTCTTAATGGGCTCTGAGAAAGGTAACTTCCTTCCTCGTGTCGAATAGCCAGGTTGCTTTTGTTGTTGCTGTTGCTGTTGCTGTTGTTGTATGATCGGTTGATGTTGCTGTTGGTGTTGTTGTTGTGGCTGATGGTGATGCAGCAGATGTGATGATGGGGATGCCCCAGTGTCAGCTGACCTCCTGGTCATTGGCAAATGATACTTGCTTGATGAACCTGGTGCTTTCTTGGGTACTGATTATGAACGACATTGACATGATGAAGGTGGCGTTAGTTAGATAGTCCATCCTGTGATTGATCTGGTACCAAATGTACACATACCCATGGCAGCATATACACCCTTGACCACGAATATAAAGTTGTCGGCAGAGTTACATTCGGATATCTCATTGCTTGTTACCTGGTAGAGATGATCCAGCATCTCCTCAGTCCTTGCCGGGAAACGCTTAATGACCGTCCTCCATTCTGGTTTGTGTCTCTTGACACCTACAGTAGTAGTATCATCATGTTAAAAGGAGAGTGAGTGACTGTCATGGTCATGTCATGTTGGATGTTGATACATACAGTTGAAGAACTCTGTCACCTCTTGTGTTGACCAGGGTGGACCAAGTGGATTCTCAGTGTCATCCTGTTCAAACTGCGGTGATGAAGTGTGTTGTGTTGGTGTTGAGTGTAGAGTATGATGCTGTTGCTGCTGTTGAGTGTGTTGTGGCCAATAACCTGTTTGCTGTTGTAAAGCAGTCAAAGCAGTGGCATTTCTCTTTGACTTCTTATGAGGTGATGCTATATTGAATGTGGAAACGTAATCAGTCAATCGTTCAGTCAGTCATTCATTCATTCATTGATTGATTGATTGACAATATAAATATATATACATACGAGTACTCATTATTATAATCCCATTCGAATAAGTCTCTCTCTATATCTCTTCTCTCTGCTCTCGTATCTTTATCTCTTGGTGTACATCAATTCAAATGGGTTGACATCTGAGAGGGGTCGTTGGGAATATGTGAGCAACAATTCAAATTTGAAATCCTTTGAACTTCGACTATCAACGAGGTCATCATAGATCAAGATTTATTCAATTTCTAGATTACCAATATTATTGATTGACTGATCATTTAGCAACGTTTAAAGGGGATAGAGTACTTAGTTTGTCCCAATTAGGAATGGATAAATGTAACCGTTATAGTCTAAGTTGAACTTCATCTAAGGAAACATGGGAATTCAAACAGAATGAGAATTTGCGCAAGTCGGAACCACTATTGACCACCTATAGGTGGTCACTTCTTAGAAATCTAGATTGACAGTAACATATGGACACAAACATTTAAAATCCCTTCGAAGGGATAGATGATGTCATTAATTAATTATAACTATTATATCTAGTACTAATACATAAACAATCAATAATATAAATTAAAAATAGAATGTTGGGTCGTTTAATAATAAAGAAGAATAAGACTGATTTGAAGAGAAAGAAGGAGGAGGTGGTGGAAGATAATGAAGATGATATTAATACATCATCAACATCCAATCAGAAGCCAACTGATAATAATAAGTTGGCAAGATTGGATGATATGGATAAATTCCAATTAAAGATTGAGGGATTAAAGATGGATACATATCCACTTAGAGACAACTCATCTATAAGATGGTGTAAGAACTTTATGACAGAGGAGCAGGCCAAATGGTTGTTCAAACATCTGACCGACGGCTACTTGACCTACGAGCACTCCAAGATCAAGATGTGGGGCAAAGAGATTCATATTCCTCGTCTGCAGTCTTGGATGGCCGATGATGGTGTCAAGCCGCCATTGTTCCAGAAGCAGGAGAGGAAGGAGTGGTCGCCCGCCATCTTGCACTTGAAGCAGACGCTCGAAAGTCTACTTGACGCCCAATTCGACTACGTCTTGATCAACTATTATAGAGATGGAAAGGATTACATTGGATGGCATAGTGATGGCGAGGCAAAGAAGGGTGACACTCGCAATATTGCCTCGATATCCTTGGGTGTGGCTCGTCGTTTCATACTCAAACATAACAAGACGTCTGAGAAGACCGAATACTCACTAACCAATGGCTCGATGATTGCCATGTGTGGCGACTGCCAGACACACTATAAGCATCAAGTTCCAAAGGAACTAAAAGTAACAGAGCCACGTATCAATCTAACATTTAGGAAGAACTAACTTGTCTTCGTCATCGTCGTCATTGTCTTTGTTATTTAATTAATTGTTTGATCATAATAATAAATAAAAAGTATTCGTTGTCCTGGAAATTGTATCATTTGTAACTTCATTCATGAGATAACTTTGAACAAATAACTTAGAATACTACTACGACTTATACATGATGGACGACTTGTTAGACTTTGCCTCTGATAACATGTTCACTGATGATGGTGACGGGAAACAATCAGAGAATAAGGACGGGACCAAGTCAGCGACCTCATCCTCAACCTCATCGTCATCTTCGTTGTCACCTGCCTCAAACTCTGCTCAGTCGACATCCCAGCAGCAACAGAGGTACTCATTCGCTACTCCAACATCTACTATGCATCGTAGTAGTGGTGGTAGCGCGTCTTATTCACCATTGGCAGCACAACAGATACCATTCGGTAGTAGTATGAATAGTATGAGCAGTAGTAGTAATGGTGCCCCTCAATCATTATCAAAGTCACAACAGCAACAACAGAAACAACAACAACAATCTGAATCATTGGATAGCAATGTCACATGTATGGATGGATCACTCACTCAACCAGATGACTTTGACAACAATGTGATTATGATGGGATTGAACGATAGCACTAGCATCGATCTTGGTGATGGCGGTGTCAATGACAGCAATGGCAGTATCAACAGTGACGGCAGTAGTAACAACAACAACAACAACAGTAACAATGATATCAGTCAAATGCTATATGATAGCTACTCACAAGACTTTGGTGATATGCCTCCCAACCTCAACAACAATGATGTGTTGTTATCGTCTCCAATCAGTAGTCGACCATTGAAGAAGCAACGTGTGGATGTGACTCAAGCCGATGATCAAGCACAAGACTCAAGCAAGGCTATACGTAGATTGCCCACATGGATGGGCAAGAAGATGCCAAGTGCTATCAATGATGATGTCAATGAAGAGGTACGCTGTCTTACTCACTCAATCAATCAATCATTCAATCAATATCTAACTAACACTGATGACGATTAATCTAGGATTTGAAGAAACAACATAATAACAAGTCAAAAACAAAGAAGGACAAGGTCGCATCGGCCAATCCATCGTGGATCAAGTCATTGAGAGGCTTCACTGAAGTGGAGGAGCCTCCTGTTGAGAGCAGGGTCGTTTGCTTTGATTTGGAAACATCGGGATTCGGCCCAGAAGATAGTATAATAGAGATTGGCGCAGTAGAGTTGATCAATGGATGTCGCACTGGACTCACTTTCCAGAGCTATGCCAAGCCCAAGAACGTCATACATCCTGCCGCCCAAGAAATCCATCGACTCTCCTCGTTCCTGCTTCAGAGTTCACCACCCATCGAGTACGTGCTCGCCAGCTTCCTGGACTTTGTCGGCGACTCGCCACTCGTGGCGCACAATCTGGCATTTGATCGCAGGATGTTGATCCAGGAGATGATGCGTTGCAAGATACCGGTCAAGGCGGAGCAGAAGTGTTTCTGTACGATGCGATACTTTAGAAGGATGTACAGGGAGACCAACTACAGTCTCGACTCTGTCAGCCAGCGACTAAACATCAACAAGCTATTACTGCGGCGAACACATGGAGCGTTGGTGGACAGCGAGATCCTGGCCATCGTATACAATCACTTGGTCAGTCTTCCCGCCAACTTTGCCAACCTCAGGCTTCTAAAGACAATGGACGACAACAACAAAGCATCAACAACTTCATCATCGACATCATCAGACAATGTTGTGTCCACGAACCAGGTCGTGGCCTGCGACACCAACAACAACAACAACAATACGTCATCAATCATGGACTCAATCACAAACGGTGGTGGTAGTGGCGATGGATGCCTGTTGGACCACTTGGATCACATTGTACTGACGACGAAGGACTTGGACTCTTGTGTACAGTTCTATACAAAGGTGTTGGGCCTTAGGATGGAGACGTTTGGCGAGAATAGAGTGGCCCTCAAGTTTGGCAATCAGAAGATCAATGTACATATTTATGGCAAGGAGTTCAAGCCTCATGCCAGCCTTCCAACACCAGGCTCACTCGATCTCTGCTTCATATCATCGGTGCCAATCAGAGAAACTATGAAACGACTGTTCGCCATGGATGTCAATATCGAAGAAGGCCCAGTGCCACGAACTGGCGCAATGGGCAAGATCCTCTCCGTCTACATACGCGACCCAGACAACAATCTCATTGAGATAGCCGAACAACTCAAAGAATAGAGTAGTATTGTAAGAGTAGAATACAGGTGGATCGTCATTGTACATGATTGTGGCTGCATGTGTAGCCACACGCACAATGGGTCATCCATCTTGTGACCTTTCGTCCGTCGGTTCGACCATTGGCCTGGCTTCAGTTGGACGACTCTTCGACCAAACATTACATCGCGAGCCCACCCCCTACATCCATCTATCTATACATCATGCCCACCCCAATCACTATAATTAGCCGCCACGTCTAAGCTTAGTATTCCTCACTCATTCCACTCAAACAGATACATACAAACTCAAACACACAAGTGTTAACACCTAGACATACACAGACATACATTACAAGTAACCCTTTACCTTACCTTGGACTTTCACCATCATTGAAGCCCAACGTACATCCCTGCGCCCCTTACGTCAAATCTTCCCGACTGTGATCAGGCCACGAGCGTGTGGTGGCGAGGCCTGGCACTACGAGTGGTCGTCTGATCGCTGAAAAGCTGTGTGTGGGCCTTGGGGTGTGTCACACGATTAGCTGACATGTCGCCCCCACCCACATATTCCAATCAATCTCCATCCGAGCTCCACACTCCCTTTGGTGTGATCACTCTCCTTTTAGTCAAGCCCCCTACACCCGGCCTCACTCATTCCCATCAACCATGCTTCCAACACCTGTCGTCGTACACACAGAGTGGGGGGTGTTCGTTCTTCAAGCAAGTTAATTAAAGAGATTGCTCCTTCGTGCATTGCCTTGCTTGGTAGCTTGCAATGAATGTCTGTCTGAGAGTGGGTGATTGATTGATTGATTGCCTGATTGACTGAATGAGCAAACTGTTAATTCAATCAATCAATCATTTATTCAAACAATCAATTAATCAATCAAACAACCAACCAATCATATATCTCTATATCTTGTAACATACAATTATCTCCTCATTCATGACCTCATTCAATCAATCAGCTTTGCTGGTGATACTGCTGACGACCGCCACACTTGTGGCAGCAGATACTTTGACATGGGTCAACAACCCCAATCACTACAACTACTTTGAGTCGACCAATTGGAACCCCAGCGCCGTGCCCAGTACCGACAGCTCCCTCCAGATTACCAACCCCAACTCTTACGTGCTGCTCTCGACCGCTGCTTCATCCGTCTCATCACTGCTGTTCAACACGACGTCCAATGGCACATTAGTGATCAAAACGTCGGGCAGCCTATCAGCTCAATCGGCTCAGATTCTCGGCGCCTCCACACTCTTTGTGGACAAGTCCTCACAAACTACACCAGCATTCTCCGTTGCCCAAGGTGGATCAATGTCCTCCAATCTCTTCTTTAAGTCCGGTCTAATGAATGTCAACAACTTCCAATTCAGCAATGCTCAGCTGCAGTTCCGTAAGTCGTCCTCGAGTTTGATTGTACATGTACTGGCGTGTGTCTAACCCTTCATTCATTCATACCTTCAGCCTCTGGACAGCAGACTATCAACTCAAACTTCTTGACTCTATCCAACAGCAAGATTACACAGAGCTCTGGATCGACCTGCAGCCTTGGTGTCTCTGCTCGTATCATCTCGTCATCGATTGACTCTCAATATGCCACACTTACCAACAATGTATGTGAACCAATCAATCACGTGACATCAGATATATCACGTGACATCAGATCGTTATATAATTTACTTACCATCCTTGTAGAACAATGTAACATCAACCATTCACTCGTCTAATCTGACGTTTTTAGGATCGACATATACTACTACGAGCTACTACTTGATGGAGAATGTAGCATTCACTGCCAAACTGTCTAATGTGGCCTTTGACACAATAAGCCTCGTTCAAAGCGCAAGCTTCAGCGCCGAGAGCTCTTTGGTATCATTCAACAAGGTGTTCTCGACTATAAGCTCCAACAGAGTGTCCCTGCGTAACTTTTGTCTGCTTACAAGCTCGGCAACATCCTCCAGCTTGGTCGGCGGCTTCAACTCCACCATCTATCTGGAGAACGTCATACTGGCACTCAAGGGCAAGGTGGTGATCAGGGACAATGCAAATATTATCTTCTCGGGACTGGTGCTGCCCATCCTGCCACTCAACATCAAGGTGTACGACAATGCCAAGATCAAGTTCCAGCCCTACTCTCCACCCGTCCAACCAATCCGTCACAACCTCTATGCGTCCGCTGCTGAGGCTGGCGCCAACACAACACAGAGCAACATCACCGTTCCAACCAACGCCACATCCCCACTCAGCATCGAGTTGAATGGCAATGCTCAACTCCACGTGGAGAACAACCAGCTCCAAAACCTAAACCTTGTCAACAGTGGAACAGGTCTCATTTCATTCGTAAGTCACTCCATCAGTCGCACGCCAACCTTGGACCAAGTAACTAACTCTATCCATGTTATAGTCCAACTCCAACGTGACCAACTCGACCATATCAACACCAAACTTGGTTGTCAGTGGAACATTCAAGATGAATCAATCAAGGATCAATGCTGATGTCAATAATCAGGGTGATATAATTGGAAATGGAGTGCTCAATGGTGATGTGATCAATTCTGGTAGCGTTGGCTCAATCTACACCACCGACAAGATTCAAGTCAATGGTGCCCTCACCTCTGGCGACTCTTCATCCTCAGTTGGCATCCTCATCGAGTCAGTCAACAGTTATTCACAGAGTATGTATATTCATTCATTGGTTGATTCAAACAACTTTGATTGATCAATGACTAACCCTTACCCTTGCCCCTTTAGTCAACATTACCGAACTTGTCAACTTCACTGGCACTGTATACATTCGTATCAATCAAGGAGCGATCGTACCTAATGCCATTTACAATGTGTTGTATTATAAGAACAAGACAGACTCTGACTTTAACAATATTACAATAGTCTATGGTGGCGCGAATAGTACAGGTGGCAACACAAACACAGCCAACTCCAACATTGCATACTCTGTCAAGTATGTTGTTGATGGTGATCAACAGGTTGTAATGACAGTACAGATGCATGGAGAGCCAGCCAAACAAAGTGTTATGATCTACAGTGTTGTGGCTGCTGGATGTCTTGTCCTTGTGGCAACCATCGTTGCCACTGCATTCCTAGTCATCCGTAGACAACGTAACAAGAAGCTGATGACTCCAACCACAGTGGACAGTCCATCAACCAACACAGAGCTGACAATCATTAACTAGATTGATTGAATTGACTGTGGCGTGCCCAAGTCCACTCCATCTCGCACACACACCCTCACCCAATGTTCAAAAGACGCATCTGGTTGATCAAATAAATATTTATAATTTATATATTTATTATTAATAATATTTATATCTAAATCTGTTGTTTTTACAAACTCACTCATTCACTCTTCATTCATCCATCAACCAATATTTGATTCAGACCATCACTTTCAAGTGTTAGTAATACTAATTATAATAAATATGATTAATCAATTTCCAAAGTTGAGTGAAGATTTACTTAAAAATTCTAAAATACCTCCTCCTCAAGTTGATCCAAGTAATCCAACTCTTGAGGAGACTTGCCCAAGCAATAGATTGTTATCATGGATTCAAAAACCAAAGATTACTACTTGGTAGAGATAATAAAGTTACCGATAAAGACCTAGTGGCCCTTGCAATCTGGGAGAGGAACACACTTATCTACTACATGAGCCATCATCCAGATCAATGATCCCATCAATCACTTTGGTTCTTGGACCTTTGAAAGTTTCACACTTGGCAAATGTGAAAGGTGATGTGAAGTTCATCTTGATATTTCATTCATTTCATTCATTCAATCAATCATAATAAATAATGATGATGGATAGACAACAGATACAACAACATCAATATAGTTTGTTAACGGATTGCCAGAGACTTGGTCATTTGTGTCAACAAGTCGATGGTCTGTTGCGACAGATAAAGTCAACGACGACAGCAGCATCGACAGCAGCATCTCTATCACTTACATTGGACGATACGAATCAATGTAGTTTGTTACAATTACCAATCACTCGACTAGAGTTGGCATTGTCATCACTCGAACGTTGTCCAGTATTCCACAAACAACAACTATCACAACTATCATTATTATATTGCAATCACTTTCATTATCAGGCTGCGACATCACTATCGGGTACAACACCAGAGTCGAACATAGGCAGTGGCAACAGATTACTCATCAAGCCAACAACAACAACTACAACACAGACATCATCAACTTCTTCACCAAAGCATGCTGCTGGTCCCAACTCACCTTCAACCTTGACAACGCCAAACAAGGGCGCCAACAACAACAATGAATCGTTTGCCTCGCCACAGACACAACAACAACAACATCAACAACAACATATTACAAGTGATACTAAGCCAACTCACATGGTGCTGTCATCGCCTCAAACAAAGGAGTTGCGTAGACATAAGCAACAACAACATCAACATCAACATCATCACTCTCAACAACATAAACAACATCATCAATTCAAACATATTGATGAACATATATTAGTGACACATGAGTACTTGGTATCATTGCTCGATCGCAATCCAACTGGCTGGTACACAGCCATCCTTCAGTGGACCCTACAGACCCTGGCACTCATCGACCGACTAAGTACAATCAACACGCCTCTACACCAACTGCACACAGTCGATGGCGCAGTAGTTGGACAGTCCGCCAGTGTCATGATCCAGAGCAACCTACGCTACCTCTCAATCAGGACACTCTCTTCAATCTTGCTACACTTGACCAAGGATGGAATAGGTATGTGATTGTATTGTTTGTCCAACACGCTCAATCATTCGATCACTGACCCAATCACTGTATCAAAGATCGCTTCCTGAATCAATCTAGGTTACTGGATGGCATGCCAATCAGTTGGATAACATCATTCATTTGTGCCAAGTATCCATTGATGACCTTGAGTCGTTCTCTTCAGACTTGCTTGAAGTGCTTGGATGATGGAGTCGAATCCAAGGCAGCACAGTTCAGCACGCTCGAATACCTATCAACTCAGTTCACAGAGATTATGGGACATACGATATCCAATCACATCAAGCAACAACAACAAGGTGGAGGCGAGTCAACCAACAAGTTCCTCAAACTACTACACCAATGCCCTGTCCTCATAACTATATCAACGCCAATCATACTCAATCTACTTGGCGCCAACAACAACTACACGACGACCACGACGGACTTGCTCAACAAGTTGATACTCGATCGTATCTCATACTTTGAGACAACAACCTTTAGCAACATAATCACTCTACTCTACAACAACAACGACAACAACAGCAACAAGTCATTCTCAAGTGCATTACTATCATCAATCATTGAACAACTAGAGAGAAGTTGGATATTTGGTCAACAGGGCGTGTCGCCATCGGACGATGATGTTGGCAACGTTGCAGCATCACCCTTTAAAGTCATTCTCCAAGAACTCGCCCATTCAATCAAACTCTTTTGCGATCTTATAATCCAACAACCAACAACAACCATGCACAAACGCATGATGGACCTCACTGCCATCGTCGCGCTGGCCAGCTCCAAGGAGACCTGCATCCAAACACTGCTATTCTTCCTCTGTAAATCATCACCCAATCACCTTCATCATCACTTTGTACACTTCTCTCGCCAGTTCTCAATCGTTCATCCATCCGCCGTGCAGGACTGCGTGGCGCTGGCATTCAAGACGATCGACACCTTTGCCCAGGCCGACGCCGAGCGACTCCTCGAGAACATACTCTACCTGCTACAGTTGGCCACCGATGATTCAACCCACGCGCTCACGACACAGACCCTCCAGGCCACGCTGTCCAGCTGGTGGGTTCTGCTCCCGATGATGGCGCATCCAATCCCTCGCATTCAGCAACTGCCCCTGCTCATACTGAAGTGCGCGTTGGACCTTGTACATGACCGTCCATCAATAGGCTTCAAGGATTTGGTCGACATGAGGATACTGGGCGAGAGGATACTCAAGATTGTCTTTGCCCAGTTACTCCAGATGCCAGTGGAAGTGCGCGATATCCAACAAGAGATGCAAAGGATCAACAAACTCAATCAACTCAAACATATTTGTAAGTCGACTCCAAGTAGCGAGAGAGTGCTTCATTCACTAACTCCTTCCCTCCACTCAATCAATCATTAGATCACTCAATATGCTCACAGAGTTTGTTCCAGCTTCATTGGGGCGTCGACCTGATACTTGACCTCATTCTCTCGCCATCGACGGCTGATGATAGACTAAAGTGTCCTGTTACTTTGGTTGTAGCGCCAGCCAACAGTCCCACTCATATGGAGAACGAACAACAAGAACAACAAGACTCAAACTGTGCCAATCGCATCAAGGTCGATCTGATACTCTACCCAACTGCGCCACTCTCACAACCCATACCACTGGAGTGGAATACAAAGGAGACGGCTGCGGCTGCCGAAGCAGGAGACAACGAGTCGACATTGCTCGAGGTCAACTTCAAGCGCAAGACCTATCAATACAAGTTCCACGACATGAACAATCCACGACACCAGCCCTTCAAGAATGTAAGGGTGCGCTTTGACGACTCGTCCGATGTCCACGACAGGGGCACGCGGGCTACTGGTCTGCCAGCCAACTACAACCAAGCAGCCAATCAAGCAGAGATCATTGCACTGCTTCAATCAATGATGCATGATCGTGACGCTCAGAAGACATTGAACAGTGACAAGTTGGCCATTCTATCGGAACACATTGCACTGCGCACGCTGCCCAGCCACATGAACCCATCATACGACAGCTATCAAGACATCCTGCCCAAGCCCTCAACATTTGATCGCGACATCTATGTCCGCAAGCTATTCCAACAGAATGACATACTCTGGGACATACTCGAGATTGTGTCATTGGATGGCAGAGAGCTGTGCAAGTGCTTGGAGTTGGTCAAAGCGTTGTTGGTCAACGCCATTTCATATTGGTATGCAGAGAAGTATGTTGTGTCGCCTTCAAAGTCATCACAGTTCCGTCACACATGTCAATTGGTACGCATCATTGCCAATGCTCAGCTGGTGCCCTCGCCACTCGGTCACTCATCCGAACTGTTTGATTGGATCACCACAGAGGAGATATCATTCATCTTAATGACAATGTGGAACTTTATCAAGTATCATCAGCCAACTCCATCACAATACTCAAGTAGTAGTACATCAGCATCATCATCAACAACAACAACTTGGCAACCTATATCAAAGCGTGACTTTTATGATGAAGGCAATACATTAGCCACACCTAACCTGGAGATGTACACTCAAGCACTCAAGTCCATCTTCCACAATCATATCAAACAACTTGCGCCACTCTATGGTCGATACATCCATCAATAAAATGTGTTGTTGGGACTTCATTTATTTGATTAATAAGAATAGTGATAATCATAGTGATTACCATATGGACGAATGAAGCTATTATCAGCTACGTAATGATTGTGATAATCACTATTGTAATAATATATAAGTTAATATATATATCATTGTTTTGATTCATCATTAAAAGGAATACTTACTTCACATATTGTGGTTGACCAGCATAACCAAAGGTTGGTTGTTGAACATATTGGTAGTTCCAAAAAGTTTGTCCCATTACCAAACTGATGGTCATCAAGAGAACAATAAAAACAAGTAATCTAGACATTATGGTTATATTATTACTTTGTTGGTATGTAGTTTTACAAATATTATATGATATCGATGTTATATTTATTGACCTTGGTCAAAGTATCATATTTATACTTATGATTTTTGTCCAAAGAGTGAAAGGTATGACAAATTCCTGATTTAATGATTGTTCCAGTGTGTGGGTGTGGTGTGTATGTGTGATTGTGATTGAACCCCCCACAGACTTGATGGATCTTGAAATGTGATTGGTTAACAATTATATTTGTAATCTACATACTTGATTACAGTAATCCTATTTAAATCCATCCATTACCGAACAGAATGATAAATTAATAAATTTCAATAGTAATATACATATAAAATTAATCTATTTGAGAACTAGACAAAGAAGAGTCAATACCATTTTACACAGATCTGTTTGAAGGACGAACGTTTTAATTTTATTGTGAGCTATCAGGTTGTCTATGAATCAGAAAGTCAACAAAATAATCCCCCTCTATCGGTACAAAGTCTAATAGTGTGATTGATATGTTGGATATTATATTGGTGACTATCTTATCTTTAGATTCTTATCTCAAAGTTACCTTTGACCTTCATCAAATATTTTTTGGTCCATCTCTTCACCCAAATCAGATCCTCTTTTACGGGGGGTTGCCCACAAGTGAAGATGCCGATACTGATTCTTATTACTCCTCTCACCTTGACAATAATATCCAAATGATTTGGGAGTGATTAAGACACTTGGGTGTATGAGTTTCTACTCTGTCCATAGGCTTAACTCAACAATATACTAGGACATGATCAACATTCTTTTGATTTCTTTATCAACCCAATATCTAGATGTACATTATAAAACTATGAAGTTGATTATTAATTTAATCTACTTAATATTAATATTCTTTGTAGTCTTGGAGACCACACAAGGCCAATGTCTTCCAGGATACTCAATCAACTCAGCATCACAATGTCAACTTGATTATTTACCTTTCTCAAGGTTCCAGATGTCCTTTGTATGTGCTTGGAACTAATCCTCTGAATTGATCAATGATAGTTACTAACCAGCAATCAATAGTGTGGAAATGGAACAAACTCTATATTATCTCTTTATTTTAATCAAACCATTATCCCTGATCCAGCTTGCAGGGCAACATCACTATCACCTTTGAACTCTATATTCTATATTTTATCTTGTAACACAGATGATATTCTATCACCTTTACCATATGCTAGGATATCACGGACACCAGCTATTACTTGTTTTGGAAATGATAAGAGTATCACACCCAAACCAACTACAATAGATACAACAAATAATAATAATTATCTTGTAATGGCATTGTGTCAGATTGGATCAACATCTTGGTGGGCATTTGGTCAAACCAACAATGTTGGTACTATCATGGGTGCAATGTTCTGTCTTCAAATATACGCCGGATCTCAATTTGTATCTGGATCAAACAACTACACTCTTTTAACCAACCCTCAATACCCAGCTCTATCATGTCCAACTTGTGGTCTTGGTGGAACATGTAACTTCCTCTCCAACAAATGTACCTGCAACTTTGGGTTCAAAGGTCTCCTATGTGACAATGGTATGTTTGGAACTATCCCTTTAATATGGAAACAATCTCACTCATACACTAAATCACTTAGATGTTGATGAATGTGCAAATGGAAATAACAATTGTAATGGATTGGCTATATGTCATAATAAGAGTCCTGGATTTGTTTGTGATTGTCCAATCGACTATGTGATGAATGGTCAAGGTGGATGTAACCCAATACCATTGTGCGTAAAGGGTAATCCTGGATATGGTGAATGTGGTAATGGCACAATATGTACAGATAATAGGAATGGTACATTCTATTGTAAATGTCAAGATGGTTACAAAAGATTATCTGATTTCTACTGCTCTCCTTACTTCACATTATCAAGGATCTCTCAATCAACAAGGAAATCATTCATCCTCAATGTTAGTGATACTGGTACTGGATTGACCCCAAACATTCAAGTCAAGTTGATATCTCATTTGGCTGGAAATATGGAAATAGTTAGTCTACGTGGAAATATACAAGTAGTCAACTCATCAATCAATTGTACATTCAGTGACACATCAACTCAATATCCATTCATTGGTCAGTGGAGTGTTTGGATTGATGGGAAGAGTTCAAATAGCTTATTCTACACTCCAACCTACATTCTGTCTTCATCAACACCACCAACTACTGGAGGTACCGTCACAATCAAAGTGATATTCCTCCCATTACAATATGCTCTATATGTTGGTGGACAGTTCACAAGTAGTTTCTTCCTTACAAACAGTAATCTGCCAAACACTACATATCCCTTCTCAGCTGTAACCTTCTCAGTCCCGGCAGGAACCGGAACAAGAGTACTTAGATTGGCAAACACTACATCAGAGAATACCAATGAGGCATTGTTTGAATATGCTCCACCATTTATCAACTCAACAACATCAATAAGTGAACTTGGAGGAGTGTTGTCAATCATTGGAGGTAACTTTGGTACCAATCAATCTTTGATCAAGGTTTCCATGGGACCATTCCAATGCATCAATGCCACACTGATTATTCCAAATACCCAGATTACTTGCCAATTAGTTGGAAACATACCTCCCATTACATATGTATTGTTGGTGGATACTGATGGAGTTCAATCAAATGAATACTATATCACAATCACCTTCAACAACTCAACTGGATCTATCGACTTCTGTTACAACAATACTTGTAGTTATCGAGGTCAATGTAGAGATAATACTTGTCATTGTACAACAGGATATATTGGAAGTATTTGTGAACAAACGATCTCTGGTGACGTTGTTATCCAACCTGGTTCCAACACCTCTACCGTTACATTGGTGGCTGGCAATCAACATTACTCAGTGTCATTGGTATCGATCGAGGAGGTCTTACCAACTGATACAATAATGATGGACATTGACTTGGCTTCATTGAAATGGCAACTTAATATGTCATTTCCAAACTTATGGGAGTACACAATCATACTTCCTTCAGAGTCGATATTTGACATCCCTTCAATCACTACACGTTTTGAATACTTCACTCAGCCTACAAACATCTCCTTTGGTGGACAAACTCTACTGATAGATACCAACACTTTAAAGTTAACAATCCTCGTCAATATGTGGCCATTCAAGTCCAGAATGAACACCCTTCGTCTATCGCTGAGAACTGAGGTCAACACTCAGACACCCACATGCTTCAACTCGTCCACATCAGGCACACTTGTACAACAAGCTGGATATGAATGGTCAACTCTGGATAATGGTAACAACGGTTTGATCTCAAGATTGATTCATCACTCTGTCATTGATGGCCGAGAAGTATTGGCTCGCATCCAGACAACACTCAACAACTCATTCATAACATATGGTATTAGTGTTCCATACTTTACTCATTCAGCAATGTTTGATCCAGATTATAGTGTATTCTTAAATGTTGATCACCAACAAGGTGAATGCAATCCATCCAAGCCTGACAACAATCAATGGAAGATCATAACTGTGTCTGTGGTAGTTGGAACTGCTCTGTTGTCCACTGTAATTGGTGTCTCCATCTTGATGGTCAAGAGACATCGAGACAATCTTGAAGTCCAGAGGTTGGAGAATAAGTTATGTAAATTAGAAACAAAGTAATAAAATAAACTGGACCTCGGTCAATGGATGGCTTGTATTGTTATAAACATATATTTCTTGAGTTAATCAGTCGATGAAGATGATGACTGGTCCTCAGACTCGTCATCCTCCTCTGAAGAATATTCACTTTCATCTTCGGACGATGACTCTTGCTTCCTTTTGTTCTTGGCGGTCGTCTTCTTCTTCTCTGCGGCTGTTGTATTGAATGGATACATCTTCTCCTGTTTCTTGGACGCTTCGATTAGCTTGTCCAATCGTCCCCATATTGTCTGCTCTCTGACTGGTAACATTACATATCTGTTGGCCATCCTTTGATAGGATTCAGTTGTTGACAGGAAGTATTTGTAGGCTTTCTTCTCTGACTTTAACCTCTCGAGATACTGACCATCAATCTTTTTGTTCTCCATCTTAATGGCATCGTGGACAGTTGCCACCATGCGCTTGGAATAGGCAAGCAGACCGGCCTCGGTCATCAAATTCTGTTTGATCAACTCCTCCACCTTGTTGATGTTGATACTGCTCCAATTAGATTTGCCATCGGCACGACGAGGCGTGAAACGATTGCAGTAGGACTCTTCATCTATCCTCCTGCGCACACCATCAATCCAGCCAAAGCACAGGGCCACGTCCAGTGCCTCGACATAACTGATGCATTTGTCCATCTTGCCAGATGCCTTTGTATAGAAACAAATGAATATCTCTTTGGATGTCTTGTGATTATCTTGTAACCAACTTCTAAACACCTGAGGTGTTCTAAAGTGTCTATACAACGTATCACCCTCTATCTTCTTTATTGCATTGCCCAACTTATCATCCTCACTCTCCACAACAACACTAGCACCATCTAACTTTACTCTCTTCTTACTTATTATTCTTGAAGATAATGATGTTGTAGTAGTTGTTGTTGTCTTTGTTGAAGTAGTCATATTGGTTGAAGTGTAATGTTTAACAAATAAATAAGGTAATGATGTTGATTGTGATGGCAATGGAGATGATGCTTGAACAAATGATGATTGAAGATGAAGTGATATATGTTGACGAATAGGTGATCTAAGTCTATTTGCACAATGATATAACAATGACATTATGTTTGAATGGTTACCATTGTTGTTGTGTCTCAAGAGTTACCTCTTCGTCCTTTCGCGACTACTTTGTGTGTTACCAAGACGTCACTTCTTAGAAAACACCCCATCACTCAACAGAACTCTGTTCCATTGTTGTTGTGTGTGTGGATCTAAATACCTATTATGGTATCTTCGAAGATGTCTATCATGGTCATCCAGGATCAACTGAATGAATGAATGATATTATTATTATATCTGTATCACTTTGTGTTTGTTTGTGGTTGTGTGTATGTCGATACAGATTTGAGACAATTACTTTATTAGGACAGGTGAACATCCATTCTTGCATTCACACTCATTCATTCTTTCATTCATTCATCCAACTATTTATACTCATAATACATAATATACATAAACAATGAACAATACAGTGGCAGCACAGACTGCAACACAGATAATAGCAAAGATAAAGTCTAAAGACTTTAAGGATAGGTTGAATGCATATGATGATATGTTGAATTTGTTCTCGACATTACCAGATGGCAATGCACCAGAGTTTGCTAGACTGTCTCCAGCATTTGAAAAGTATCTGTTGGTTGATATACAGCCCGCTAACAAGGAGAAGGCTCTACAGGTGTTAATGGTGTTCTTGGATCGCGCCGGTTGTCTACACGTGCCACAGGCCCTGCCGGCACCCTTTATCACCGACCTCACAACATGTATCATCGAGAACTGTTTGAGTGGACGCGACTCTACCAAGCTCAAAGCCATCGATTGTCTGTTGATGCTGGTCGAGGTCATTGGACCAGACACTATCCTGCCATGTATCTGTGCAGCGGCGCAGCACAAGACGCCCAAGATTGCCACATACTCAATCTTTACACTCAAGGAGGTTGTCAGACAGTTTGGCGCATCGCCTCCYTATCAACATCGATGCAATCCTTGCTCAGTTGCTCGTTGGCTTTGAGCATCAGGTGAAGGATGTTCGTGCCGAGGCAATGGCTTTGGCTGCCGAACTCTATAACTGGCTAGGTGACACACTGCTCACATTCCATCTCAAAGGGCTACGGCCTGCACAAATGAAGGAGTTGGAGACGACCATTCAATCAACATCGAGTAACAACAACAATAACACTGCAACACCCCTACGCACAGTGAGACAGAATCGAGCACGACCGACAACACCTGTGGCAAAGGCGACTCCAACACCCCCCGCCTTCAGGGCCAAGCTCGTCCCCTCCATTGTCCTCTGTCCAGACACCAACAAAATCAATGCCTGCTCCAATGGCCATCACGACATCACCCATAAAGCAACATCAACAACCTCAACAGCCACAACCTCCTCAAACACCAACAAAAGCTACTACTACATCAACAACTTCGACTACCAATCCCACAACTGACAAACTATCAGAGCTGTATAGGATGTCAGAGGATCAGTCTTGGAGCATAAGAAAACAGGGTATAACCGAGGTCTTTATACCCTTGATATCAAATGAGAAGATGGCCAGCTCACTTAGCCATCAAGACTATCAAAGGATCTCTTCCACACTGGCCAAACTACTTGGTGACAGCAACATCTTTGTAATCCTGACCTGTATCAATGCCATTGAACTATTGGCCAAACGGTTGTCCAAGGATACCTTTAACAACTATATCACTCCACTCTTTCCCACGATGGTATGATCATGGATCATAGTCACAAGCTTCAACATTCACTCATTCACTCACTGACTGACACTCACGTATATTCACAGCTTGATAGCTTCAAGGAGAAACGGCCACAACTCAGCGACTCTATCCACGCATGTCTGAACACAATCATGGAGAAGCAGTTGAGCATCAAAGATGTGTTGGACCGTAAGTCGTCTGATTGCACGGACCACATGAAGTCGACTTTGTCACTAACACTCAACATCCATGTAGCCATACTCAATGTGTTGGGAAACAACACACATAAACAGGCATCAAAGTTGAAGTTGGAAACAATGATTTGGTTAAAGAGAATGATACTCAGTCCAACATCTCAAGGGTACCGCGACAAACTACCAGAGATCATCAAAGCATTAGTATTGGTCTTGGATGACCCATTGAAAGAGACTAGGGACATTGCCCTTGTAAATTTATGTACACTAATGGTGATCTATGGCGAGAAGGATGTACTCCCATTGCTGGAACCAATCTTGGACGGTACCAAGATAGCTTCAATACGCGAGGGTACAAAGGATGTGGTCATCCCCCTGACACATTGGTCGCGCCCAAAGAAGGGTGCCACATTGTCACGAGGCAGCATGGCCTCTGTAAGCCCGCGAGCCTCACTCAACATATCGGCGTCCAGGCAACAGAATACCCCAACAACAGCCACTGATGGACATGATCAATCAAGGCGTATGCTCAAAGATATGCAATCAGAGATGGACGAGTATTCTCAACGAATGAGCGAGAAAATGCGCCAGCTAATGAGGACAATGGAGGATGAATATGCCTCGCTGCAGGACAGGATCATGCAAGGCACGCAGGGCGATGCCAACGTGCCACACACATCACACGCAGAGTCAGACTCTAGCTTCTACGAGACGTTAAATATGGAGCTGACAAAGGAGCTCCAGAGCGAGAAGGACAAGAAGAAGGAGCTGATTTGCCGTGTACAGACACTGGAGCAACAGGTGGCCGACATTCAGCAGATGTGTCACGCGCTCACCGACGAGAAGATGAGGCTACAAGAGACCATGATCAAACAGAGCGAAGAGATTGACGAGCTGAATGAGATGATTGACAGTGACGAGCAGATGCAACAGGACCTGCTGGATGAGATCGAGCGACTGAAAGGCAGCACTATCACCGTGGGCTCATTCAATGATCCCAATCGATACCTGGTCGAGCTGCCCAAGAACATCATCGACATGTTGCCACCAGATGAACTAGAGTTGTTTGAAGAAGTGTACCAGGCCAACGTGCGCATAATCCAAGAGGCCAAAGAGAGGTTGTAGTTTGTTGTAATAATAATAAAACATTGACGATCCAATCCATATTCATATTTATAACTTGGCAAGTCTATCCTTGTGATCCTTCATCAATACAGAGACGTTCTTGAATAGTGGATCCTTGGCATCCTTCACCAGTTGGAATAGAACACTCTCTGTTGATGTGATGAATGCTCCACTCTGTCGCATTCTCTCGATGGCTGTAACCTTGTCGGCCAATCTCTGTGAACTCACTGCATCCTCAACGACATGAACCTCATAACCATCCTCCAGAAGGTCCAATGTTGTTTGAAGTATACATACATGGGTCTATCCAAGTTTGTTAACAAGACTGATTGTGCAATCTGATCAACATCGCTCCATCATACATACCTCTATTCCAGTCAAGATCACTGATTTGACATGCTTCAAGTCTGTCTTTAATCTATCTTTAACAGAGGGAACATACATGGAGAACAAGGTCTTGGGATACACTTCATATTGAGATGGATTGACCTGGTCCACCAACTTGCCAAGTCCCTGTGGATACTGTTCTGTTCCAATGATAGGGATTGACTTTAAGCCTTGGCATCCTTTGACCAATGTCTGTGCATGCTCCAACACACGAGGCATATCATGAATCAAAGGAATAAACTTATGTTGAATGTCACAGCTATGTATGTATTTGTATGTACATCATCTGTTAACACTCATTCAATCATTCAATCAATAGAATATATATACCTACACAAACAATGCTGTTGAATCTACAAATAATCTACCTATTGCTCTAGATGACATTGAATAATTATAAGTTTAGAATAATAATTATGGATGTTAAAGTGAACTTGCTCACTCATATTAAATTTTTATCCCATAAATAGAGTTTTGTTATTATCCAAAATGGGGCTTCAAAGACAATGATGATGAAGTTCCAAACTTATGATTCCACGATTGAATTTTTCCAAGACGATCTCCACGGATCTGTGCAAAATAAAAAAACATTCAGATCACCAAACAATTTTTGGTAGTGAGTCTTCAGATTGGGCACACCCCTCTCAACGTAACTGCCGTTCGTGTACCCAATTTATAAAGTGGTTTGGTGGTTGTAGTTAGAGTGGGAAGAGGTGGAAGGCATGGATTAATGAAAGAATGACCCAGGCCGAAAACAAAACATTCACCACACGCTCTCTCTCTACCTTATTATTCCCCCACCAAACCCACGAATGCAATGCACTCATGTGTGAATGAACGCCTCCTCTCGAGATTTAGAGTGTTGGTGGTGGAAGGAAGAAGCATGAGCTCCTTCAAAACAATACCTTGATGTCAAACCTGCGTTCATTCAACAAACAATCCAAAATCATACATACACATAACATATTATCTCTTTTTATTATATTATATATATTTGTAAATACTAACTGTATAAATTTATAATTCACATTCTTCTGCTACTGCATACACATCATTACATCCTTTATTATTATAATCTATAATATTTGTATAAATCATATTATCCCTTTTCTCTCTCTTTTTTTTTTTAAAGGTAGGTTGAAAGCCCCATCATTATTGACTATGACCTTTGGATCTGTGGCCCGACTGCCCTCACATCATCCCACCCCCAACCCAATCAACCAAACCCAACTATTATTATTGTTGTTGTTGTTGTTATTTAACGCTTGGCTTATACCCAATACTTATGTGTCAACACAACGACATTGCGTTGACCATCTATCTATCTATCATCTCACATCATACATAACAATCTCTTTATCATCGTTTCATTGTCATAATCATCATGTGATCGGTATCGTTTGCCGTTGACGACAAACCGAACGAAACAATAATGACACTCACCATCATTCATACACACACACTATCTCTTCATTACTTACTCCACCATCCACCCACCAACCACGCCTACACCCACACTCACACTCACTCACACAAACACATAACAATTCAATAAGTTTGATCAATGACCCCTCCATCAAACAACACTTCTGTGTGTTTATGTGTGTGGATTGTTGGTTAACTGTTGCCAACACAACACGACACAACACAACGCAATGCCAATCAATCACGTGAACAACACCCATCTCTCAACAATTTCATACTTATGCCTCAACGCAACAACAACCGTTGCAACAGTGTGTGATGTGAAGTGAGTGTGTTGTTGTTGTTGAAACAGTGATCACACTGGTGGTTGTGTTGCGTCGTGCGTGTACTAGTGTTGTTGATGGTCAGTTAGTTGGTGATTTCGCACTACATCACCCACGCACTCACTCATCACTCTTTCCATCACTCCATCCATCATTCCATCCTTCCAGCAACCTATTTATTGTTGCACTTTCACTTCCAGTCCACATCCAAGATCAATAACAACAACAATAGCCAAGCAAGCAGCGAGCGAATTGCCAATCACCATCTCAACATCTCAATCCATCAATCCATCAATCAATCAATCTATCATTCCAAACCATTATTAGTGTTCCCTCTTTACAACATTCATTATCTCTCTTTACAAAGTTACTTCTACCTGCACTCATTTACATTTATTTTTTTGATCACTCACTGTCAATCACACTCAAGTCGGGTCATTCAGTCAATCAATCGGTCAATCAATCACCAGTATCATTGTGTCATTAACATTTTTTTTTTGTCAATCATTCCGTCAATCAGTCAGTCAATCAATTAGCAAACCTAGAAACACCAGCAGAAGCAGCAACAACAGCAGAAGCAGTATAAATATATTATTATTATTATTATTAATTATTATCAACATATAGTCATTAGACATTTATTCACATAATCCAATCCAATCAATTCAATCAACACAACACTTACACATACATATAAATATATACAGTTGTATTCTATTATTACCCTTTACACATATATACACATACATAATCAATCATGGAAGGAGACTCAACCCAAAAGACTACCACCCCAATCCAATGTGCCAACAACTGTGGCTTCTTTGGTAACCCATTGACAGCCAACTATTGCTCCAAATGCTATCGCGACATTAAGCCACAGCAGGAGGAGAAGCCAAGAGAGCAGACCCTGACTGCTGCCGTCGCCAGTCCCGCCGCCGGACTGGAAACAGAGAGCGACGCACCAGACGTCCCCGCCAAGAAGGTGCAGGTCGACACCACCAAGTGCTTCAGCTGCACAAAGAAGGTCGGTCTGCTGGGCTTCAAGTGCCGCTGCGATTACACATTCTGCTCGATGCATCGCTATGCCGACAAGCACGAGTGCAGCTTCGATTACAAGACTGCCGGAAAGGCTGCGATCGCCAAGGCCAACCCTTTGGTGTCGGGCTCCAAGATCACCAAGATCTAAACAGCTCGTCTCCTCCCCACCCTACCTCAAGCTTGGCCGATGAACGATCATCTCCCTTCAAACAAATATATAGTATACCCTACCCCAAGGTATTTTGCCGTGGACTTCAACCTCCCCTCCTCCTCCTACTACCCTCATCCTCTCCTCCTCTACTCCTCAATGATGCTGCTTGAGCCGATAGGCAACATTGCCATCATGATGGATTGACTGGCGACAACAACAAACACACATTTTCCACGCTACCCAAACTCTCCTTCCTTCAATCCAATCAATCAATCTATCACCTAACTACACACACAAGCCCGTTTGTTGTTATTGCAATAAACATGTACCGATATCTAAATCCTTACGTAATCAATCTTATTATTATTATTATTTGTTGGTGATACCATGGTTTCATGGGAAGTTGGAAACGGTACAGATGTATCGATAGATCGCCGATCGATCAAACAAACAACACACTAACTGGATGGTTGTGGGAGAAAGGGCTTCAACAAGACCACTCCACCACAATATAACTTAAACAACCAACTAACCAACCAACCATCAAACGACTTCATCCGATGTTACTGCCACCCTCTTAACTCGATCTATCAAACACACACAAATAATATTAATTATAACAACGCGGAGTGGAGTCTGTTGATCATGCTGAAGCCAACAATGAATGGACCTATGGGAGTGGTTGGTGAGTGGTGGCACATGGCTCTTCCACATCACATCACAACACATCAATCCTATGCAATGCAAGGCATGGAATGGCAAACCCCACTTGTTAACTCCTACCCTTTAGTTGGCTGAGCCCACTGGTGCAGCCCAACTTCCTCAATAGTTGTTGCAACACTAACAAACAAACAAGGTGTTGTTGACACAACAGGAGTGAGGAGAAGACCTCAACGTATTCGTGTAAGTTGGCGGGCAGGCAACAATATGAGGGCGAATAAGGGCAGAAAGTAATCAATCATATAAAGGTCACATCTGATGATGTGGTCGTGATGATGGGCATCGACTCATTACCTTTACCTCATTTATTCAATCAATCAATCAATCACAGTTCAATCAATCAACTGCTCTATATTTACAACTTACTATATAGCTTACTTCTAAATTAATCTTTAAAGATGGACGTTGATATAAGTTATGCATTGGTACTCTATGACTTTGAAGCTGCCAACACATATGGAGAGATGGAATTAGTTCAGAACTCAATCATAGTAGTAACTGAAATGAGTAAAGATGGATGGTGGAAAGGATACAATATGGATCGTACACAATTTGGAGAATTCCCCTACAACTATGTCCGTTTACTAGACCGAAGTGATCCAGATTGGAGTTTGGAACTCTAAATAATAGCTTCGCCATACCCTACACTACCTACACTATTCCCTTTGCTATCACTTCCAATGACATATATGCGCAGTCCTTTGGAAGAAACACCTTGTACATGTACCATACCTGTAAATTAACCTAACTTATCTTATCTTTTAACTTATGATGATAGTTTATTAAATAAACGTGTTATCCTTGATGACTTCCTACGATGGAGGGTCAACATAACTCTCTTGGCACTATACTGTTCGGTCTCGGCAATCTCTTCGTCTATACTATCGTTGGAGGACATATCGTCCAGATGCTCCTGGATGTGAATCAGTGACATGGACTTTGATCTCTTGGACAGTTTGAACTTGGCCTCTGACTGCAAGTCCTCACTGGATATATGTGTACTTGAAATTGTATAAATATAGATGGCAAGTTGATCATGCATTGGTGATGATGTATCATTGATAATATCATTCAGTTGAACTTGTAGACATTTGGCAATCCTAACATGTAGTTCAAACTTTAGAGCGTCACACAACTCAATACCATAGACATGAGGTGATATCAGAGCCGGCAGGACAGTTCTGAAGAAGATGAAGGTGCAGACAGCGCCCGTCCAGTGATCATGGAACTTTCTGCCAATGATGGTTCGCAATAGGAAACATATGTATCGAATTGATGGTGGACATTGACGACCACTTGTGAGGACTCGGGAGATGATGTTCCTGGCGATGGCGTTTGGTTTGAGCAGTTTCTCAGAGGACACTTCCAACTGGACGACAAAAGGTTGAATGAGAGCTTTGATATATTCAATGGCTGATCGTTGACTAAGTATAAACTGTCTTATAATGTCTGTTGCCGGTGTGTTGAGGCGGAGTAATGTAGATGGATCATTACATCTCATCACTTCAAAGTTGATAAAGTATTCCAAAAGGTCAAGGTTATTCATTGTTGGTTGGTTCGGATGGTTAGTTGGTTCGTTCGTTGGTTGGATGTTGAATAAATAATAAATAGGAGGAGATATATTATATTATATCTTTGTTTGTTAGATGTAATTAAACTGATTGATCACAACATGTTGAGGTTATATAGATGAATTGAGAACAACGACAGGTCCTTCTCCTGGTGTTGGAGCTTACTTATCCCGTGTCCCTTCGGCGCCGCCACTACACACTAGTGATCAACAACAATAACAACACTATTAATAGCTTCAATTAAATGAATTAAGTGTGAGTGACCATCATTACCCAATCAGGATAGGTTGTTTAAACGGTGTGGTAGTCTCGCTGGCGGTAGCCCCGCAAATCACCCCGGTGTGATCACCCCTACAGCTTGATTGACTTCCAATCAGTGGTCCCCCGCTTGCCACTGGCAACAAACCATCAAACAAAACACTAGTGCTAAAGACGTGGGAAGAGCGGTAGGCGTGGGAGGAGGGTGTTCTAGAGACCTAGCCACCTCACCTGGAGACGTTTATTTAACGTCCAGAGCGGGGAGGCTAGTGACGGTCGACAGGCGTGAGTGTGACACCTCGTTTATTCATACGAATCAACGGCTTCAACATGGGTGACGGTTCGTTGGATTGAGCAATTGAATTGAATTGTTGATTGCCGTTGCTGTTCAGTTACTCTTGTATCTGCCCAGAGGTGGTATCGAACCAGAGTTACTACCGCCACTACCGCTAGTACTAGTACTGTTGCCGTGATGGAAAGGAGGTGGATGTGGTTGATGATGGGGCGGCAGGTGTGGCGACGAGGACTCATAGCCGGACAGGAACTTGGATGAGGGCGACCGCCAATCTTCTTGCAAACCAGAGGTGGGCGATGATGAGGATGACAGCAGCGGTGATACGGATGATGGTGGCATTTTGTTGTAGGATGGATGGTTTGGAGGTGCGTCACTTCGAGGCATGTAGTTTGGCTGGCGGTATGGATGATGATGATGAAAGCCGGGTCCAGCCAATGCTTGCATTGGTGGTTGACCCGGGTAGGGGTGGTATGGATGTGAGGACTGTCTTGGTGATAGTGGATAGATAGGGTACTCTCTTGGGACGACACTGTGGCGAGGTGGCGTTGGAGGCGATGACGGCGTGTACACTGAGTCCATAGGACCGTATGAACGTGTGTACTGTTGGTGCTGGTGCATATCCGAGTGAACCATTGTGTTGCGCTGTTGTTGTTGTTGTTGTGGCTCGTCCATCAAATGAATTGACCTCTTGCGCTCCACATTGTGGCCACTGCTGATGTTGGCGATCATATTGCTGCCGCCGCCGCCGCTCATGTTTCCACTGGCACCACCACTGCCTATAAAGCTACTGGCAACTGCCGAGCCAGGCATGCCAGTCGTCGTGGACGACCACTTGTTCATCAATCGCATGTACTTCTTGCGCGTGGAAGTGACAGTGCGCCCCAGACTGTTGGAGATAGCGCGCCATCTATTCTCCGACTCTCTTGACTTGTACGACTGTGGATCGTACTTGACGACCAGCTCCATGAGTTGCAGACACTCCTCCGGTGTCCACAGCTTACGGTTGACAACCAAGGGGTCCTCGGCGTCGGTGTGCAGGTCTGGGCGCTCCATCCAAGAGGCCTCTTTGGGCATATCCGGCGCACCGGGGCCGGGATATTTGTGTCGTGAGTGATCGATACTCTTTGTGCTGCCCGCTGCCTCCATCATTGGCAGAGGGGGAAGGGATGTTGGTGGTGATGGCGATCTGGCCGAGTGTTCCGACAAGAGTATTGAGTTGAAGTTGCTGATGGCAGTCCCCAGGTCTTTGGGTGGCTTTTGTTGTTGTTGTTGTTGTTGTTGAGATTGTGATAATTGAGACGATAGAGGGGATGGAGGTTGTGAGTGTGATTGTGATTGAGGATGTGGCTGAGGCTTTATCTGTGGATGTGGAAACGTGTAGTTTAAAGGTGGCAGGGAAAACATGGGAGGAGATTGCCTCTCATGGGAGGGATGTGGTTTTTGTTGTTGTTGTAATGGCGAGGAAGACCCGCTGTCATCTGCAGATACATCATTGAATGATGATGATCTCCTCATTGTTGGACTGGACTGTTGTTGTTGCGAGAGGCTGCCCTCAACTCCGCGAGGGGTCGAGTTGGCCGACCTGTCATGAACCTTGTTGTTTCCGCTCATTTGGAAACGAGGCGGAGCTGTTACCATTCCACCATTGCTCAGTAGTTCAAATGCCGATTGTATTGTTGTGGTGTTGGACCTTGTATCTCTGTTGTTATTGTTGTTGGTTTGTGTTGGCGCTTGTTTGTTGCTCGAGTTGGTGGCGTTGTGTTGTGTGATGTGTGAGCCTTCGTCATCACTTCCAGGCCCACTGCCAACGTCACCACCAAGGTAGCGAGAGTGTAGTGGGTATGTTGATGGGCCATTGTTACTGCTGCTGCTGTTGGAGTTGCTGTTTAGGAGTCCTCCTATTTTCATTCGATCGGGTGTATGATAGTCCATTACAGCATGCATTTATATTTGTTGGTAGTAATAATATAGTATATGTTGGTAGTATATATATATGTATAAATAATTATATGTTCGGTTGGTTGTTGGTTGGTAGATTGGTGGCGGTGGTTGGAGATGTGTTGTCTATCTATCTAATTATCTCTATATCTGTATATGAATCTGTGCCTGTCTATATATCAATGAATGTGTACTTTGGATGATTGTTGATTACTTGGTTGAATGGGATCAGGATTGGGGAGGCAACACAGGGACTGGATGATGGATTGATTGATGGATGCTGGTGGTCGTGGTAGTGGGGCGTTGGAGATGCTTGGTGAACCTTCTGGACAATGAGAATGTGGCGCGCCACAAAGTATGTCACAGCGACTTGCTGGCTGAGGTTCCCGAGATAATATCTTTGAATCAGGGAACTGCAGTGGACTCGCGATCAGAAGACCTTGTCCTTGGTCTCTGTGGGGGGTGTGCACGCGTGTGTTGTTTTTTGATTGGTTGTTTGACTTGGTCCAGGGCCTCCAAGCGTTGCCAAAGGGGTGGGTGATGGGTTGGTTGCTTGCTGATCAAAGTGATTTAAGCTTGGTTGGATGGGCTTGGTGTTCTACACAAGTTACAATGCAATTCAAATATGTTGTGTGTGATTGATTGTTTGATTAAGTGATGATTGATTGATTGATTGATTAATTGTGTGAGTCGAATTGATCAGATCGTTCATCAAAATAATATATATTAATAAACTTGTTCACTCACTCACTTTTGTGATGATGAAAGATAGCCAGTCAACCAGCCAGGTAGTTTAATCGTCTCGTAGGGTGGTTTGGAGATTTGATGTAAGTATGTATCTGTAGATAGTTGTCGTAGTAAATCAGTCAGTAAACTTATGGCGGTGAGCTTGCCTTGCTTAAACCAACCAAACCACATTGATGCGACATCGGGCCTACTTGGACATTCTGTGTAATGGTCTGCAGACAGCAGGCAGGGGTAAGGCAGGTAAGTAAGACCAAAGATATCTCCACGACCTTTGGTTAGACAGACCCTCAGTTGTACCGAGCAGGCCTGCGTGTCAAGGCCAATCATTGGTTGGAAGAGTGATGAAAAAAAACACACAATCAACATCATCTCTACCTGTGATCCAATTGGGGACCAAACAGAGAGAGAGACATGGCATCTGACCTTGGTCTAGAGGTCACCCATCAACAGCGGCGACAGGTAGACCAAATTTGGTGTAGTTTGGCACACAACGAATGACCAACGAAGGCCCACAAAAGTCAATCAAATTAATCAAAAAGTTGACATATTAATTGGGCTTGGCCTCGTCCTACCTTCTGGGGGTTGGCCTTTCAGCAAATCGATTTTTTTGCTCGCACACATCCGCGCGGACATGGTGCAAACACAACGGCGATGGCCTTGCCCTTCCCTCGACCACGGGGTCTGATCATGTGCACCGAAATATCTGAATGAGGAGGTCTTTCTGCCCATGACCACCATGACCACCCGACGAACCAAAGAAGGATAGGTAGATGGACCACCCCCAATCTAGGGCGACCTGTCCTTCAAGTATAATTCATGTAACTCGCTGGCTGACTGGATAGATTAGGTAATCCATCACTCCAACCTTTTGGCGCGGGGCGATCTAAGATGAATGGTAGGTCTTTGCGTCTTTGATGGTGGTCGTCCCCATGCCCACCATCCAACCTCATCCCACTCATTCATTCATTCATTACACACGTTCAATCAAAGCGTGTGAAGGGTTCTCCCTCTACCAATGTTCTGATTGGTTGACTGTTGATGACGCTGTTGTTGGGTGAATGGTGTGGTGTGACAGGGGCTTTGAAGGATTGGTTTGATGGCCTTTCGTCTAACCCGTTCCTTCGCAGACCGTCTATCCAACAACCAACCATCCAACCAATCAATCAATTGTTACTACCAACTGCGAAGTGTCGTCTAGATATAAATAAATTACATACACAAAGTGTGCGTTTATATGAATGAATGGGGACGTCGTCTATTCATTCCTCAGAGTCCTTCTTTTTCTTTTGTTGCTGTCTCGTTGGGTACAGTATCTTACCGTGCGTGCCAAACGAGCTGTCAATGAGTGGGAGGAAAGGGGATGTGATGTTAGTTGATCAATCAAACATTCAGAGGTTGCCGCAACCAATACTACAACATACTTTGCATTAGGTATAGGAGGTTCTTTGAAGTATGGATGGTCCAATGCCTCTTGCGCTGATATCCTTTTAGAAGGGTCGTATTGTATCATCTTTAGGATAAGGTCATAGGCTGCGCTGTTCTGATCAATACCAAGACACTTGGCCAGGTTGTTCTCGTAGGGTTCATCTTTCCATTGAGCCATCTTCTTCCACTCTGGGAGATGCTTGGCGTCTGGCCACATCTCCAAGTTGGGCTTCCCCAGCACCTTGATGATCTTGTCTACTTGGTCGTCTTGGAAGAGTGATGGCTGTTTGGGGTCCTTCTCGCGTCCAGGGAACAGCGGCTTTGTCGTTATCAGCTCGGCGAATATACAACCGATGGCCCAAATGTCCACGGCACTAGTGTAGTGTTTGGAGCCAAGCAAGAGCTCCGGTGATCGATACCATATAGTGACAACGACTCCATTCTCGTGAAGTGGACGTAGTGGCGACTGAAAGATGCGCGCCAGTCCAAAGTCGCCAATCTTTACCATGCCAAACTCCTTGCCTTCGCCCATCACCAAGATGTTGCTGGGCTTGAGATCGCGATGTATCACCCAATTGCTATGTAAGTAATGTATACCATTTAGGATCTGCCATACTAGCGACTTGATTGTATGATCAGGGCATAGAGTTGATGGGTGATCTCTGTGGAACTTGATGATGCCCTGTCAATGATTGATGTGTGAGTGTGAGTGGGCATCTTGGAGGCAGGGGTGGCGTTGTTACGACAATGATCGATCACTTACAAAGAGATCAAACTCTGCATAGTCAAACACAAGATTGAGGGACTTGTCCTTTGGATTCAAACAGATGTCCTGTACCTTTACTATATTCTCATGCATCATCTCTTTCAGTAGCTGTTGTTGAATAATGTGTGAGTGAGTGTCTGTTTGGTTCACACTGTTCCTCCCTCCATCATCAACTTACTCCTATCTCGCGAATAGCTGTCAGAGAGATGCCTTCACCCTCCTTTGTACTGCGAAACTTCTTGATAGCCACTCGAGTGTTTGGTCGCTTCCTGTCGTCGGCCTTGTACACCATACCATAGGTGCCAGAGCCGACCTCATAGTTGAATGAATACTTCTCGCTCACATCCAAACGAGATGTGGATGTCTGTACAATTGGTTGATATTGTTGTTGCATTTGTTGATGTTGTTGTTGTGGCTGTTGTTGTTGCTGTTGTTGCATTTGATGATGGTGTAACTGTTGTTGTTGATGTTGTGGTTGTTGCTGTTGTAGCAGCTGTTGCTGTTGTTGATGTTGTTGGTGTATCTGTTGCTGTTGCTGTTGGTATATCTGCTGTTGTTGGACCTGCTGTACCTGTTGCTGTTGGTAATTTATATGTTGTTGTTGTTGTTGTTGCTGTTGTTGATAACTACTCATTATTCCTATACACCTTTATATTAACTAACAACTTGTTTGTCGCTTGTCTACACGCTCTCACTCTCTCACTCACTGTCTCTATATGTATATTAATATTGTTGTTATTGTTAATGTTAGATGTTCAAGTCAGGCAAGTAAGTCAATATTGTAATATGTTGAAAACCATGTCCAACTCATCACTTTCAAAGTCAACATACCAGTTTGTTAGAGATAAGAAGACAACAACCTATATATACACCTAATGCAACACAACAATATAAGTATGACCATGACGACCTTTGGAAGTCACATGATGTAGGTCACACACAACCCCAACCTTGACCTTTAATCTAAGCTTCATTTGTCCCATAATACTTGTATGTTGGGGTAAGGGGTAATTTTGAATTTGAATTCTAACTAGTCCGTTAAAACCGTTTGATTTTCCCTCCTAAACTCAATCAACTCATCAGTCAGTTAATGACATTAATGGTATTCGTCCTTTACAATATTGACTATTGTACATACATACCTAACCCTACATACATATACATACTTATACAATGTCAGACTCATTACAAGAGAGGATTAAAACGTTGGATGATGAGGTCGACATGCTCAAGAAGCAGAAGCGCCAGAAGCAGGTGCAGTTCGACCAGGTGTCCAAACAACTCGAGGAGTCTCGTGTTGAGGTCACCAAGTACACCACAGAGAATACAAAGTTGAAACAATCAGTATGTACTTTACTATATGAGTTACGGAACTATCACTCACTCACTCACTCAATCAATCAATCTAACAATGGACGACTAACATGAATGAATAGCTTACAACAATTGAGGATAAAGATAAAAAGTCACAGATAGCAATTAACAAGGCTAATGAAACTATAAAGACTTTGAGATCGGAACTCAAGGTGGCAATGGAGAAGTCATCGGGCAAGCCATCTGCCATCTCCACAATGGAGAGGACTGCTGCCAACAATGAGAAGAAAGAGTTTGAGACCAAGATCTCAATGCTCAAGCAACAAGTCGACCACTACGAGAAGGAAAGAAAGACTTTGGCACTAGAGCGTGACAACCTCAAGCTCAGAGTCGATCAATCAGAGGTAGAGTATCGCGCCTGCTGGAGGGCATTGCCAAGCCAACTAGCCACAAGCATACTCACACTTGTCCCAATCAATCAATCAATTAAACAGAAACAACTAAAGATATCAGAGTGCAATATTGAACAACTTCGTGCAGAGTTGCAAAAGTTGTCCAAGGACAAGAGTTCGTTGGAGAGCAAGTTGGAGGAGTTGAAGAAGGCCGCCAACACTGACAAGGTCAACCTCGAGAATAAGCAATTCGTCATCAATGATCTGAAGCAAAAGAACCAAGAGGTATGTTTTGGAAACATAATCCAGTCCAATTGGACACTCAATCAATCACTCATACTCACTCATCCTCAATCAATCTAACAATCAATCATTCCAGTTGGAAGTCCAATTGAGGGATCATGCCGCAAGTATCCATAGATTGGAGAATGACAATGCTATATTCATTACCCAGGGTGATGAATTGACCACCGCTCACGCTGTTATTACTGAGCTCGAGGCTAGAGTTGCCAAGCAACAGGCCGAGCTGCAAAGTACCAACGCCACCAATCAGCAATACGAGCTGATAGCCAATGAGCTACAAGAGACACTTGACCAGATGGAAGCCAACACACGCAAAGAGAGCCTCACTGCCAAGGTGGAGATCGACGCTCTCAACCTCCGCATGGACGAGTTGATCGAGCAGAATGACCTTTTGAAATCAGTATGTTACTAGTTTGGCGAGAGCTTGGATCTTGAGAGAATGCATCATACTTACACACTCCTCGTGAATCGTCCAGAACATGGAAGCAGAGTCCAAGAGATTGGAGCAGGCTGAGATTAAGTTCAACGCCGACAAGATTGGACTTATGTCTCAGATCAAGGAGCAGGAGGACGAGGTGGCCCACCTCAATGTGCAGTTGGAGAACGAAACCAAGAACTGCCAGGTCCTCAGTGAGGAGCTGAGCGCGGCAAAGAGTGAGCTCAAGACAATGTCGACCAAGTTGCAATCACGCATCGATGAGCTGCAGCAGGAGTTGGCCACACAGGCTGCCAACGCCGCACAACAAGAGAGCGAGCTGCGTGAGCAGTTGTCCAGCGCAAAGATCGCTCTGGAGAACCATAGCGCCATGCTGGGCCAACGCGATGCCGCCATCATCGAGTTTGAAAAGACCATCGAGCAGCTTGAGGGCCAGTTGGCCATCCTCTCACAAGAGAATGCCGACCAGGAGCAGCGCCTAAAGGACGCCGCCGAGCAGCACGCCGACATATCCTATCGCCTGGACAACACTACCGCCGCCAAGGACTCTCTGAGCACCCGCCTGCAGGACCAGATCACCGAGTTGAGCAAGCAGATCGAGTCGCACATCCAAGCCCTCAAGTCCAAGGATGCCGAGATCGAGTTGAGAGAACAGACACACAAGCAGAGCGACGAGGCACTGAGGTCCCAGATGGCCAAGCTAAGCGATACCCTCGACCAGGCCCGTCGCGAGACCGAGGAGTTCAAGACCAACTGCGCTCATCTGGAGGAGCAGCTCGAGGACGAGCGTTCGAAGCTGTCCGACCTGTCTACAGCCAAGCTTGAGTTGAAGGATAAGCTGCACCAGAGAACCAAGAGTCTGGAGGCCAAGGAGGCCGACATCGCCTCGTTACAGGCTGCCAATCGCGAGCTGGAACAAACGATCGAGCAACTTACCATCAATCTGGCCCAGGCCAACGACACCGTCATTCCCGAGAAGGAGGAGATCATTGGTCAGCTTGAGCAGTCGATTGAGTCACTTAAGTGCCAGCTGCAAGATGGTCAAAATGACCTGGCCGCCCGCGAGAAGGACATGGCTGAGCTGCGTGCCCAGCATGAACAACAGATCGCCGCTCTAGAGCAAGAGTCTGCCAAGTCCGCACGCAAGATGACCAAGGCAATCGACGCCAAGGTTAAGAAGATCGGCCAACTCAGCCAAGAGGTTGACCGCCTGGCACCCCTGCTTGAGCAGGCCCAGGCCGCATTAGAGACCCAACAGGCTCGCTACCAGGAGCTTGCTCAGCAAGAGCAGGAGAGGGCTGCACAGGTCGACACCCTGCAGGCCCAGTGTGACGAGCGCCAGAACAAGTTTGACGCTCTCAAGCTCGCAATGGAGGGTGACAAGAGTGATGCAGAACGCCAGCATCTCAGCGAGGTGGCCCGTCTCCAGCAGGAGATTGAGCAACTTCGCGACGACCTCGACAATGGACGTCGACAGTTCGAAGAAGTAAGACAGAACGTGGGCGAGATCGAGCAGTCGTCCACAGAGCTCAAGGACACTGTCGAACGCCAGAGCAAGCACATTGAGTCACTCAAGCGCGAGGTTGCCCATGAGCGTGCCGCCATCCAATCCATGCGTGATGAGCTGTCCACTTGCGAGACACAACTTCGCGATGCCCACACCGCCCTGGCCACCAAGGAGACTGACAACGCGACACTTATACGTGGTATCCACGAGAAGGATGACGCAATCCGCGAGCTTAAGGCCGAGATTACACAGACTTCCAGCCAACACCGCGCAGCCATCCAAGAGGCCACCCAAGTGGCCAGCCAGCTCAGCGAGGCTCAGTCCACCATCGAACAGCTGGAGCAAGCCATCAAGAGCAAGGAGGAGGCCATGCGCGACCTGGCCCACCAGCTAGCCGGTACCAAGGAGAACATGGAGAGCACTGGCAGCGAGTGGGAGGAGCGTCTTGCTACTCTGTCAGAGGAACACGAAGAGCTCAAGACCGAGCGTGACCAAGCTCTCGAGCGCATTGTAGAGCTAGAGCACCAGGTTAGCGAATCGATGGGCGAGATGGCCAAGTATCTCGAGGCGATGGAGTCTCTGGACGCCAAGCATGTCGAAGTCGCCGCTGAAAAGGAGAAGCTGGAGCACGAGCTCGAAGAGATGTGTCTGCTCATGGAGTCGTCAGACGAGGTCCACCAACAAAAGGTCTCAGATCTCGAGATTGAGCGCGATGAGCTTGCCCAGCGCGTGGCCCAGATGGAGGAAGATGCCGCCGGACTCCAGATCACAATCGAGGAGAAGCAACTGGAGTATGACGAGCTCTTTGAGAACCTGGAGGCCGAGCGCGTCAAAGGCGCCAACATCCTGCAGGAGGTCGAGACAAACATCAACGAGATGGAGGAGGAGCACCTGGCCAAGAAGCAGGAGCTCGAGCAGATGATCGAGGAACATAGTGGCACCATTGCCGACCTCCTCGAGCAGCTGGCCAAGGCCAATGCTGATGCCGAGAACAAGCAGGAGGAGTTGGTTGCGCTGCAGGAGACCGCCGAACAAGGAGCCTCCAACATTGACCGTTTGAAGCAGAATGTGGCCGCCAACAAGACCGAGCTTGAGCGCAAGGAGACAGAGTTGGTGGAGCTGCGCGAAGCGCTACACAGACGCGAGCAAGAGTACAACGACCTGTTGGAGAACAAGTCTGGCGAACTAGACAATGCTGGCGCACTCATGCGTCAACTCAACGACCGCATTGCCGAGTTGGCAAAGTCTGTTCAGCAGCTTCAGGCTGAGAAGCAGGAGCTGATCTCGAGCAAGGCCGATCTTCAGTTTAAGTACGAGCAGTTGGAGCAGGACAAGATTGCCGCTGAGAAGCAAGCCAGCACTAGCGCCAAGACTGTTGCCGAGCTTACCACGCGTCTCCAGGACGAGCGTGCCCAAACCGAGACCCTGACACATCAGCTTGCACAGAGGGGCGAGCAGGTGTCTGAGCTTACTGAGCAGCTGGCCCAGCTGCGCATTGAGATGGAGGCTGAGGCCACAAACAAGGAGGCCTCAGACCAGCTAGTGTCTGCAGCCAACGATCAGATCGCACAACTGCACGACAAGGTCCAGACCACAGAGTCTGAGCTGCATTCCGAGGTCCAGCTCAAGGACGCGTTGATTCAGGACATGGAGGAGCTTCGCACACAGCTCAACAACATCACCAAGGAGAGGACCACGTTTGAGGACAAGTCCAAGGAGCTGGAGCTCACTGTCCACGCCCTGACCGAACAAAGCCAGTCCGCACAGGCTCAGTCTGTGTCCGAGCAGACCATCCTCACACAGCTCAGAGCAGAACTCGAGGAAGCACGCACCGGCCAGGCCACCACAATCCAAGGACTTGAGCAACAGTTGGCCTCACAAACGGCCTCTGCCAAGGCATTGGCCCAAGAACTAGACCAGCTCAAGATCAGCGCCACACAACTTGGACACGACAATGCTCATTTGCAGAGTGAGCGCGACAAGGACACATTTGAGTTGGAGCAACACAAGAGTGCAGCACAGGCATTGGAGCAAGAGTACGAGCGACGCATCAAGGAGCTCAACGACGAGAAGGAGGACATGTCCAAGAAGTTCAACGAGCTCTCACAGACTCTCACAGCCGAGCGCTACCGCTGGCAGCAACAGATGAGCGAGCAACAGGCGACCTTGGGCAACACATCCGAGATGGACGCACAGCTGGCCGCCCTACGCGCTCACCTCGACGAGGAGAAGGAGGCCAACCAGGTGAGCATCAAACAGATGTCCAACGACTATGAGCTTTTGGTAATGGACAAGGAGAGCGTGGAGACCAGCCTCGAGTCAGCCAACGAGCGCGTCAAGCAGCAGGCCGAGGAGCTGGAGCGTCTCACCGCCGAGATGGAGCAGGCACAGAAGGCCAACGCCAACAACACGTTGGCCAAGGAGCTGGCCACTGCCAAGCTGGCCATCGCCGAACTCGAGTCATCCATGGCCGACAAGGATGGCGAGGTTGACAAGTACCTCGACAAGTGTGAGGAGTTGATCAACAAGAACAAGGCCTACGAGAAGAAGATCGCCATGCTGGAGGCCAAGCTGAGTGCACCTGCAGTTGAAGCCCTTGGCGACACGACTCTGCGCCACACAAACAACAAGAACATCGCAAACAACGTCGCTGCTACACTGGTGTCGCCCACCAAGTCACTGCACACTCAGCCATCCAAGTCACACATGCCTCCAGTCAAGCCACTCGGGCTCCAACTCAAGAGAAAGGCGGTTGTACCCGAGCCTGGCGCAGAGGCCATCCTTAAGAAGAGCAAACCCTCCTCTTGAGTTGAATCCAATCATTCAATCATTCAACCATTCAATGGCGTCAATAAAGTATTCCATTCATGTACAGTACAATGATTGATCTCTCTCTTCCTTCGCCTGATCATATTTATTCAAGGGTCCAGGTCCTGGTGTCGTCTTCGCGGACGCGCAGTGGAGGTGATAGTCTTTCTTTGTCATACTTCGTCGTCTGTCATGTGAGCCTGTTCGATGTGGTGATTGATTGTGTAGTCTGTGGCGCTGCGAGTATCAATGATGTGTTGTTGTTGTTTGTTGTACACTTTAATATGAATGAAGGGTCGACGCTTCGAGGTAGCTTGGCAGGCTTGGCTGGCTTGGGCTCACTCACTTTGATTGATTGGTTGATGAAGATGATGAAGATGATGATGGTGTGTTTGTATATACAACGTTGGCCAATGAATGATCCTGATCATGATCCCAGAGCGCTTGATCAGTCAGAGAAATACGTATAAAGTTAGTTGGACAACAATCCAAGTTGCTTGATTGCACTGTTTGTTGGGATAGAATGAAGAAAGGAAGTTGTTAGTGATCATTCTCTCGACCAATTAATCACCTGTCTTTAGACGACTTACGCGAATTGATCTGGAATCTCCTGAAGAGCGGCAACGGCAAACTCAACTTTTCTGTTCTCAGCCTTGGACATGATGGAACTGTAGTTGACAAACTGGAAGTTGTCAAATTGACGCTCGGGCAGGTCATCGTCGAACTTCTCCATCAGATCCCATGGACCATCTCCGACACCGACGGTGATGATCGACAGTGGGTACTGTGAGGCCTCAACGATGGCCTTGGTGGTCTCGTTGACAACGGTCACCTCACCATCGGCAATGATCACCAGGATGTGATACTGACGTGACTGGGAGACGATGTTGATGGCCTCGCGAATCAGTGGAGCGAACGATGTTGGGCCAGACAAAGAGATGAGCGGGGTGATCTCGTTGTAGGTGTTGAGCACCTCTTGGAAACCAAAGCAAGGACGGTCGGCCGTGAACTTGAACACAGACTTGTCTGTTGTGCGGCTGTCACCAAAGCCAAAGCAAGGAATGAGATTATCATCATCGAATGCCGCTAGTGTCTCACCAACAATAGCAATGGCCTCTTGGTATGGGTTCAATATGCCCGGTTCAATCTGATGCAAACACTTGCCTTGGAATGTTCTATTACCATTCCATGTGTTACTCTTTGTCTGTTATATGATTGATTGATTGAATGATGTTAGTACATTGAATGATTGATTGAGTCGCGAGTGGACGGCCGTTATGAACAACATACATAGTCGATACCAATGAGAAGATTGGATGACTCGAGACCAGCTTGACGGAGTGCTTGTTGTACTTCTTGAAGACTTTGGTACTTGTCTGGGATGGCAATGAATCTTGGTTGACCACTTGGTCCATCAGACTTCTTTTGCAGGGTTACAGCTGGTCCTGACCTTGTAGTCTGGCTACCAGATGGTACACCATGATGCTTTGATGATCCACAACCCATAATATATTATATATATATATATATTATATATCTATATAACTGTCTTCAATATAAGTATGATTATATATTTATACAAAGGTAAGTTATATTATATATATATTTTTAAAGATGAAAGGTTAGTTAGTTGTATTGTATGACTTAGCTTGCTTGGTCGATGTTTGATGATGACTCAACGGTTGAGGACTTCAATTTAAAGAGGAGGCTATTTTTAAATATTATTTCACAGTTTGTTGTGTTCTCTTCCAACATCAAGTGAAGTGAGTGACCAGTTCAAACTTTATTTTTTTTAAAATATTTTCGTCATCAACCATACACCAACTCAACTCTCGATCTTGACAAGTTAGCATAAACCATCATCATTGCTTGTTTGGTGTTAGTTTGATGTGGTGTGGTGTGTGAGTGGTTATGCAAGAGGGGTATGGTGCAACTTGGGGAAGAGGTTGGTATTGACACATTGAATGCCCTTTGACCAGGCTGATCTCATCAATCAAAGAAGTAGAGTAGAAGTTCTATAAAAGGAAAGATATAATTGACGAAGAGATTCTTATTAGTTTCTCTTGCTTGATTCAATACCAGGGAATGAACAGTCGCATCACTCACAGGTATTCATACTTTCATTCTCTCTTCTCAACAACAACTTTATAAGCTCACAAGACACATCCATCGCGCGCATTATTATATATTAGTCTGGCTAATATTTGTTGTAGTAATAAGTTGTAATAATCATAAATATATATACTACGAGAGTAAAGTTATAATAGAATTCTATATGTTAGATACATTACCTTTCTTGATCATTGTACAAATATTGACATGGTTAAATAATAATGATGATAGGTTGTTGTTGACTTTGGTTTGTAAGAGGCTTTATGTTAATAGACTAAAGTATCTTAAGTTGGCTGGTGGTCAAGATGACCCTGCTGTACAATGGCATGAAGGTAATCAACTACCAAGATATGATGATCTTGTTATTCGTACTTGTATTACATCATCTTCATCTACATCATCTTCATCTACATCTTCATCATCATCATCACTTCAACAATTTATAGACAAGTATGTGTTGGATAATGTAAAGCCACATAGTATAATGGTGCATACTTATGGTCCTAAAGACTATAACTGTGAATACAACCAATCAATTATTAACAAAGAAGTTGATAACCTACGCTCAAACTACGATCGTTTGTATTCGATCAAGGATCACTATGGTAAAGTATAAATAGATGTTATAGTTGCTACCCTATTCACTCACTAATTCACTCATTCACATATACATTATTGTCTAGACTTTGATTTGGAGACAGGCTCTACGTCTTATCACGACTTGATAGATCGATTAAGGAAGGACTCTGTCAATGTCGGCTCTATAACATTTAAAGACAGAGGTGATTTCCCATTTGACCAGGAGTTCTGGTCTTGTCTTGATGAGCTCATGCATGAAATGTACTCACGTTCAATCCCTTTGACATTCATCAACTCACTCTCAAGGGTAACGGATATGCGCAATGTTCCTTTGACTAGTATGACCATTAGGTATCAAAGTGAAGATGGAAGTCCTTTGAAACCCACAAGGTCATACTTTCCAGACACATTAACCTATTTGGCATTGTCTTGTAAGTACGATGGCCCTCTTGATGGCCTCCTACCAGATGGTCTAAAGACACTCGACTTGGAGGACACAGTGCCATGGAACCAACCAATTGCACCCGGAGCCTTGCCCGCCAAGCTCGAGACACTGATGTTGGGCACATGGTTCAACCAGCCCCCAAGCCAAGTCACCTATCCAAGTTCTTTGCGAAGGTTAACCTTTGGATCAAAGTGGATTGGAGGAATGCGCTCAGACATTGAATTCAATCAACAACTGACTAATCTGCCACCAAGTGTCACCGAGCTACAGTTGGCAGAATGTTTTGCCCAGCGGTTGGACAGTGTTAGTCTGACACGACTTACCCTCATCATGAAAGTCCCTTTCGACATCACATTTCCAAATCTCTCAGTGCTTATCCTCAAGTTTGTCAATATAATACACTTGGCAACCGTCAACTCTACTCATTTCCCGAACCTTGAACGACTTGAGGCTCGCTATATCCAAAACAAAGATGAAGATCCCCTTGCCCCAATGGACCTCTCCAATCTACCAACATCTATTAACTCCCTGGTTTTGGGACCAAGTACATCATTCCTACCTCTGGCTCCACATCGTGTTGACACTCTCAAAGTTCATTGTGGTATTACGGAGTTTAAATTATACAAAGGATTACTGCCAACAACCATTCAAATATTATCCCTATCATCATACTACTATCCATTGAATGTTGGTGATATACCCGAATCAACAAAATCATTATCAATTGAATATTATAATTTTAATATCTCTTTGATACAGTCACCATCAGTGTTACCAAAGTCATTAAGAAAATTGGTTATAACACCTAGAAAAGAGGATAATATGACTGAAATAATCAAGTCATTACCAACACATATTGTACACATTGGTATAACTGCAACACATTATAGAGATTGTCTATACACCAATCTTTATCGTATCTCAAATGACCAATTCATGGGTATCTCCCAGAGTCTAAGATACTGTGGATTCATCACAACAGATATGTGTAAGAATCTGTTCGCCAAATAACATCCCATCAACTCATCAATCAATCCTATCCATTGGACAATATATCAATAAATATGTATTTATTCATTCAAACAATTTCCCAGGTTCCTGGTCGATGACACGACGTGGGGTTCCTGAATTGAATGAAAAAGTTGAAGAAGAAGATGATTCGGATGCTTGTTCAAAAAAGCTGAATGATTAATTGCTCATTTATTGACATCAAGTCTCATTATCTTTATTTCTATCTCAATCTATCTATTATCTATATATATCTTCAATCAAACACATTCAATCATACATATTCAATCATTAAATATATAAATATATATGATACTAAATGTCAACAAACTCATTTGACAATAAGGATGGCAGCAGCAGTAGTAGCAAGACAACAACGTTTGGTGGCGCAGCTGCAACATCTATAGTACCTCAACAACAACAGGTCAATGGATCAGTTAGTGATACAATTGCAACAACAACTATAACATTGCCACCACAGAATGGTAGTGGTGGACGATCGCCTGCAACCTCATCTCCTACATTATCATCACAGCCTACAGCAGCATCAACAACAGCAACAACATCTACACCTTCAACAACAACAGCAACATCTAACATATTATCATCATCAAGTACAACAACTGTACACAGAGATATATTACTACCGGTAGTGTTGTGGTGCGGACCACCAACACACTGGATAACGGCCATCCTCATCACACCGGACAAGCGTACGATTGTGACCGGCTCGCAAGCCGGCCACATTGTCATCTCGTCCGTCTATCTCGACTCTCTCAAAGAGAGCCAGTTCATGCCCAAGATCTTCACCCTCGGTCACAACGGATCGCCCGTTACATGTCTCGCCATGTGCCAAGTCGAGGGCCACGAGGCTGTCGTCAGCACGGCTGCCGATGGCTCCCTGGCCGTCTGGAACATCAGTGATGGCTTCTGTCTGGTAGCCTCACCTCCCAACCTCCTAATGTGCTCGCCCTCATTCATGGTGACCCTGCCTAACAAACGACGCGTTGCCATCGTTGGCAAGGGATCCAACTCAATCTACATTGTCGATGTCCAGACTCTAAGCGTATGTATACCATTATCCCTCGTGCGCATACTCCCTCTCTGACTCGACGTGCCACACTCACAGATCATAGCGACACTGTCTGAGCACACTGATTGGATCACTTGTTTGTTCACATGCACGATATCACAGAACGCTTCACCTTTGTTGTTGAGCGCCAGTCTTGACGGAACGATTCGCTTCTGGTCTCTCAATGAGGGCGAGTTTGACTTCTCCCTGCAGACCATCTGTCTCTCACCCGAGGGCAACTGCTCTCACTTGGACGCCCCCCTCGCGATCGAGTTCTCGCCCAATGGCAAGCTGCTGCTGGTCGTCTCCAAGAACAACTGGTCAGTGTTCTCAACGAACAACTCTTATAAGCTGTGGTCAATCAAGTGTCCCCATCCACAGGGTTGGTACGGTGGAAGCTTTGTCAACAACTCGATGTCGTTGGTATGGACACGCGATGGCAGATCCTTCTTGTACAAGCTGGACCAGGTGCAAGGCGAGCAGCTCAAGTCATTCTCGATGGGCCATCCCATGCCCATGCCCGGAACCTCACCAATCAATCTCATTCCCAAGATCAACATTACCGACTCAACACCTGGAGCAAGCGTTGGACAAATCTGTGATTCAATCGAGGTCACTTACCTTGCGCCAGAGTATGTCATTAATCGATCACTCACACTCAATCATTCTAACTTTGGCCCCTACCTCTCCAAAACCAGGACACCTCCACCTCAGTTGATCCTGAGCTTTGCCAACTATGATACGACATCAAAGCATCCACTCTCACATTCACAACAGACGTCTGGCGCAGGTGGACTCTCATCATCAATGTCATCGTCATCAATGCAGCATCAAAGTCTAGGTCAACAACATGTTCAACAGCATGCAGGTTGTGATATAACAAACAAGATTGGAGCGGCGATGTGTTGGAGCAATGTATTCTTGGTGGGCGACTCTTATGGACGCGTGAAGATATGGGTCATACCCGTGGATGACATGCCACCTCAGAGCATGAGAAAGTTAGTTCGCGAACCAAACCTCATTGGACATATCTCAAGTGGATGGAGTGGATGTGAGACCAAGACCCGATCCAAAGTGACTGCGTCACTCGTCCTTGAAGACATGCTATTGTTGGTCAGAGGTTATGGTAAGTCATGTCGTACCGCATGATCAGACTCAACTCTCTCACTCACTCATACTTGATCAAATCATTCAGAGGACGGCAGCATAAGTACATCAAAGCTACCAACTGATCTGTTGACAAAGTTCCATCCTGGATCACATACAAGTCGTGTGAATTGTTTAATGAGCTCACAGCCTGTGGGCAACAATACGAGGCGTCGTCTGTTCTCTGCGTCAAGTGACACCACCATCAAGGTGTGGGAGTTGTCAACCTTTACACTGCTTCATACATTCTCACATCACACTGGACCAGTCACCTCAATATTCTCACTTCCTCAAATGAAGAAGCCAACCTTTGTATCCATATCCGATGACAAAACACTTGGAATGTACTCCTCTGAGGATCTCGTCTGGTAAGTCCCATCCCCTTCCTTCCCGATCACAACCAACTACTAACCATCCCGACAGCAAACACATGTTTGGAGTACATTCATCATCTGTAGCGCGAGTGTTTTGGAAGCCAGAGCAGGGATACTTGATTGTGGAGACAGTGGACGGATCAGTGGCACTCTGGGAGATTGGTTCTGGTGAGCTAGAAGGTGTAGTCTATGGTCAAGTAGCCAAGGACATCATTGACAATGCTCTCCTCCTATCCATCTCACCAAATCCCAAGGACACCATCCTAAACAACTTCACACAGACCACTCAATCACTGATATTCACAAACAAGAATGGTAATATATCTTTGGACTTCACTCAATCAATCAATCAATCAACACTAACATCGCCATTCAAACTCTAGATCCTCCAATTCAAACAATATTCCTCAATGTCAAGGCCATATCTGATGAGATTATCAAGTACACAGAGATGGCTGCTACATATAGCGCTTCGCTAAACACCAATCCAACAGCCATTTCATCGATACATAAGGTGCTAGAGCATCTGATTTCAATCTTCTCCTATCTTATACCATGGGGAATGGACCGCAATCTAGATCCCATGTTCAAGAAGGACTTTAAACTGCGTCCACCTCAGCCCGACTTCTCATTGGGTCTGATGGGGGAGGGCGGCAACATAAGCTTCCTCACGCCACAGGCTTCCAGTACTAATGGCAAGATGCAATGCTCCGAGTATCTGACTGCACAGATCACACTGTCTGCCGTAGCACTGGCTCGTTCCATCCTGAGGATTGGCGGAATGGAGAATGTGTGCAGCCAACTGACCACCTACTATTGTATCACACTGCCCGACAGTCTGCCCACCTATGTCTTCCCCGACTTCTCCTATCTAGCCTCCTACTGCCAAGACAACTCCGACGACATTATGTTCTCAGCTCGCTCCATCTTCAAGAGTTCAATAGAAATGATGCCCACTCCTCAGTTCCAGAAGCTTCTCGATTATTACTCTCAATTACGTAAGTTTACTCATTCGAATGAATGTGGCGATGTAGACACATTATACTGACTTCCAAGTACTATTTAGTGAGATCAGACTCTTTGGGACATGTAGAGAGGGCTCGAGCAGTTATCGTACTTGGCAAGATTGCATCACATCGAAAGGACTTGGTACCACCAGAGTTCTCATTGAAGATTGGTCAAGAGTTGCTCAAGATGATATTCAAGGGCAAAGGACATCTTACCACTGCTGCCGTAGAGTTGATTGGAAAAGGATTCTTACTCTGGAAGGAGTGTAAGTTGACTACACCTCCATCTGTATTGTATTCTTTCAACACGTGGACTAACCCAACACCTTTCCACATCATCTAGCAATAAGGGATCATGTTCCAAACTTGATCAAGTGTTTGTTCACATTGACTACTCAGAATGACATCCTGTCGACAACAGCCACCAACTCTCTACTACTGATCGGATCGATTGATACTGTTGTATGTTAATGATCACCTCTGACTTCCAGCAAACATTCACTCACTCAATCAATCAATGTACACAGAGATTTATACAAACTGTTGGAGATGAGATCACACATGAAGCAGGTGGCGTATCGACTACTATTCATGCTATAATGCTTATTGGACTGTTGATCAAGAACAACTCGGATGCTGTACTCCCCTTCCTGCCACGTGTAATCGATTACATCATGAAGTGTTTGGATCCGCATATGCCATCGTTTAGGGACGCCTGTCTCAAGCAGACGACATCGGTGCTGCATCTGATGGTGCAAAAGTACCCGATGGTATCATTCCATCATGATACTCAGCGTCTGCTGCTCGGCACACTGGATGGCTCCATTGTAATATATGATATGAAGTCTGCGACTAGATGGCACAGAATCGATGCGAATGCGGATCGCGCATTTGTCTCTGCCGTATCGTTCAGCGACAGTGGCAAGGCATTGGCATCTTTCAGCTCAAAGGACAGTCTGGTCAAGATCTTCCAGACCAACACCAGCTTCTTTGGTTTGCTGGGCTCCCAATTCAGCTGCACCAAGACAGTGAAGCTGCCCTGGGAGTGTGCACCGCTCGACAAGCCCAAGGTCGAGAACATCAAGTTACAATGGACCACACCATCGCAGCTCTTCCTCAAGAAGGATGTTAACAGTCTCACAATCAATCTAGATTCGGCGCATTAAACATTCATTCCATTCTTTGATTGGTAACCTAAAAGAATCATTGTATTTCTATCTATTGAGAAGGTAGTTGGGATATGATTTGTACTGTTTGATGAATGAATCCAATCAATGTCTTGACAGATAGATAGCCTTGGATATCGTTTGGAGTCTTCATTTCTTTTGTTATCCATATTCCATGTACATGAGAGTCAACAAGAAGTCTAATGGCGTCCTCTATTGATTGATCTTTTCCAATTGACTTTAAAGGATGGTCCTTAATATATTCCAAGAGTTAATATCATCAGATCCAAGGACTGGACTTGACTTAGGACTTACCTTGGGTTTATATTTACAAAGATATTCGCTCAATGGAAGTTTAAGGTCCTCGGTAATTGCTCCTTTGAGATCACTGAGACTGAAGTTTGAGACTATTTTACCGGAATGACTGTCTGTTACCAATATCGCTTGTTTACATTGACTCTCCATTAGATTGAATGCTGCTGCAGTGCACGTATCATCAGTAACTGATACATATTGATCGATGGCAAAATTAACCTCCTTTGGTAGTGCACCAATGGCAGTATGATAAATGCTTGGTAATTTAGAAACATATAGCAGTCTCTCTAGTAGGTCAGTGGCTGACACCATTCCAATAACCTTGTCATCTTGGAAAACAGGTAGCCTGTTGAATCTTGTTAAACACATTGTCCTTGCAAACATTGCCAGGTTATCATTGATGTACAGTTTGGAGGGATGATAATCTTTTCTTGATAGATTGATGATGTCTATTATCGGTGTATTTTGGAATACATCGGTATTCAAAGTGGATGAAATATCCCTCCATGAATCAACTTGAATTGGACCGACTACAGTGTCCACAGTTTGTCTATTCTTGAAGAATCCCAACAAGTACTCTACTATCTCATGAATACCTATCATACCAAGATAGTTATATGATTGACAGTTTGATCTACTTTCTTCATCCTCTTTGAATACAGGTGCAGAGAACAATCCATTCCTTGATAACAATGTCAATGCATTGCCAACATTATCATGAGCGGATATTGAAATAAGTTGACTTCTATTATTTAAACTCTTTGTCTCTAATATATCTTTAATAGTTGTTTTAAATAATATATTCTGATACGCTATACTTGATATCATATCATTCTTATAACCCTCCATTATCTTTATCTTTATCTTTATCTCAATTTGATAATGAATGAATGAATGAATGAACTAACAAAGTTGAGTGGTCTTATCCTTTCCCTTTGCACGAAGTAGATAGTCGGTGTGGTGGAGGGGTGATAACAAGTGACACACTATACTTCACTCATTCATTCATTAATTGGTGACACAATGGTAGAGATAGAGATAATTGGGGGTATGGAATGGTCGATTTAATGGTGCAATGTGATGGAATGGATGTCATAGTAGAAGAAGTCAAGGATGATACTTCCTCCAACATCATCGCGAATGAGTAGGAAGTTGTGGAAACCTGGGAACATGAACTTGAGGTATTGATTGATCCATCGATCGATTGCCTTGGCTTGCAGCTTGAGATGAATCGATGCCTTTCCAACATGCTTGTTGATCTCTTCCGATGTGGGCTGGTTCTCATTCGTAGGCAGAGTCATCTGACTGCTTAGATCGGCAATGAGTTCAATCGGTTGGTTGTTGGCCAGGATCTCAATGTGCTCGAGTTGCTTGATGGCTGAGAACTCGAGGATTAGCTTGAACTCGTTGACAAAGTTGAATGAATGGCCTTCTTTGTTGAACAGGTACTTCTTGGATGTGAGCGACAACTCCACACGCAGGTTGCCATTGGAAGAGTTGATCTCATAGGCGTAGCGTGGCTTGAACGTCTCCTCGAGCAGCAGCAGGCGGATCCACTCTGCCAGGCTGGTGTAGTGGCCATAGAGCGACTTGAACGAGGTGTTGAACAGTCGTTGAGGTGAGGGCAGTAGACTGCTACGCGAGATGCTGAACAGTGAGAACAACTTGTTCTTCCAGAACATGCTGTCACTTAGCACACGATTGAATTGCCAGTTGAGCTGTGTAAGATGAATGATGTCGGTCCAAGAGTCCATCTTACTGCAAATGGATATGATCAGTTCATGTGGCAGCATGTTGAATGGGGCATAGTCCTTGTCCTTGGCAGGTGGTGCCATAATAGCGTTAAAGTTGGACAATGGGGATCGCTGGGCAAGGTGAAGAAGTGCATCCAATGATTTGGAAGTGAGCATAACCTTACTGTAGTGCAATCTGATCGAGTTGCAGTTTGGTAGATGCTGGATATGGTTCATAATATCATTCTCTTCGACGAATGTACCACCCAAGGACAACTCCGCGGTTACACCCAAGAATGCCATCGACTGGCAACATGGACAGCATACCAACAATTGTGGATAGTTCTTCAAGATTGAGTGATAGTTCCTAATCAAGTACTTCACCTCCTTCTTGGCAATTATACGTGTCTATTATGATTATTGAGTAAGTAAATTGGATTGATTGATTAATTGGAGTTAAGGAGTGGAACTTACATATTCATCCTTGAATGTTAGAGGGAAGTTACAGGACTGACAGTTGGATGGTCTTGGACAACGACATGTTGAGGTTTGGAATATTGGGGAGTTGCGATACTCTGTGCACATTGGGACATCAATGGAATAGCATCTTGGACACTTCACTACCGCAACCTCATGGAAGTTTGATGATATAAATGCTGGAATTGGATGATGTCATATTAGTAAGATTGATTGGTGTACATGTTATGTCAACATAACTTACATGTTGCAAACTGGAAGGTTGCCCTAGTTCTACAATACTTGAATATATCATCTCCCTTCTTGTTCCTAAAGCTTGGGTCTGGAAATAATAATAATAATAATTAATTAGTATGATTGGTTATGAGTGATTGAAAGAAAGAGTGATACATACTGGCTCCAGCATCTAGGAGAACTCTGGCAACGTGGATACATGATGGCTGATGGATACCCTCGAATTGGAATGCCTTCATCAGGGGAGTGAAGCCTTCGGGATCAGCAAAGTTAACATTGGCACCAAGTTCCACGAGGGACTTGACCAGATGGAGATTGCCATTCTTGGCAGCTTTGATCAATGGCGTGGTGTAGGATGGATGATCGGCATTTCTATTCTCAATGAAATAACTATTAATCTTGGCACCTTGTTGGAGCAATGAAGATATCAGGACACGATCTTGGCCACAGAGTGATTGGTACAATAACTCGGTCATCTCATCATTGTTCATGCGTCCAGTTGTATACTTCAACACAAGATGGACCTTGGGTGAACAGGACATGTCTTCGTATTGAGAGTTCGTGATCTTGATCGGCATCCAGAGCTCAGTAATCTTCTCACGCTCGAGAGAATACAAGTTGAGTTCCTTGGATTCGCCAAACACTGTGGGTGGGGTCGTCGAGTGATCCAACAATTGGATAGTGAGCAACTGCATTGAGACTGAGAATCTTTGAAGTGGATGTGCCAATGAGATGTCAAAGAATTGTTTCCATAGCAATTGAGACGATGGCTTGAGTATCGTGTCCTTCTTGTTCTCCATCGATGTGCCAATCTTGACGCGACAACCCATCATCAAAGTGTTGGCTGCAAACTCCTTCTCGAGCCCACTGCATTGAATGACCACCAACTGAACAGTGTCGGACAATGATGGTTGTGATCTGATTGCCTTCTCCTCTCGTCTCAAAAATGACTTCATCTCCTTGACCAGGTTCTTGGCCTCGGGATGATCACTCGAGTTGCCAAAACTTGATGACCTGCCTCTAATGGCGTCGATGATCATCTGTGAGGCCGAACTGATTGACTCCTTCAGCTGCTCCTTGAAGGTCGAAGAGTGGGTTGTGACCACCTCTTGCTCGGGGACCATCTGATCGCTATCAATAGCCATATGATCACTTCCATTCTCATGTATTGGTACACCAGATTTGTCGTCTGCATCATCACTCTTGGCTGGTATGCCATCGGCAATGGCTTTGGCTGGTGCGCCAATATTCCTACTGCTACCCATACCACTTGAGCAAGACCCAACAGTCAATATTAGCTCGCCAACTCGAATGGGAGCAGTCTTTGACTGATCATAACCTGGACTCATCAAGTGTAGTGGTACACATAATGTCTGGCTATTATTATTATTATTCATTGACAAGCTGCCTATTTCGATGACGCTCTCTCCAATGATATTGCTCAGGAATCCATCTTCCATCAGCTGTGCAACAATAGCAATATGTAATGTTAGTATATCACGTGTAGATCAAATTTGGTGTCACGTGATAGGATATGATGTCACGTGATCAGATTTAATATAACGTTAAGTTCAGATAACATACTCTAATATATATATATTGGTTCTTGGGCTTATACTTTAGTGATAATGACCAATCCCAATTGATATCGACATGGCCATTGTTCAAGGCAATATGGTCCAGTGGTAGACTGGAAGAACATTGTTTAATCCATCCTCCCAGCTTTCCAGTGCCAATCTTTAGTTTGATATTCTGTTGTTGGTTCTGTTTCAGCAATATGCACTTTGTCTCCAATATCCTGATATCCAAAGACTCCATCATCATGTAATATCTTAACTAAACTAAATCTATATATTCTATATATTATCAATAATTGATTGATTGTGTGTGTATGTGTGTGGTATCTGATTGATTGTTGGTCGTCTGTATTCTATAATCCAGTCAATAATATATATAATGGGCAATGATTGATTGGATGACACTTTAGTAATGTTGACAGATGTAATAGTGGCAGGTGGTAGTAGTAGTATCAGTAGTAGTAGTAGTAATAGTAGTAGTAGAGGTATTAGTGATTAATGATTGATGGCCACCACACAACACCCATCATACTATTACGATTGATAATGGTCCAGTGGACCTGCTGGTGCTCCAACCGAATAATACTATGTCCCCACTCACTGTCTATCACTTTTGGCACACACAACCTAACACACTCACTTAAAAGGGCAAAAGACGAGAGTGATGAGTGTGTTGGGCCATTCACACACTCACTCAGAGTCAGTTACAATTTTGATCATTTAGAGCTAAATCATGCACTTTCAACTGACACCCATAGTGTGTGGGTAAACACACTAATCTCGATGTGTTTCTTTGATCCCAGACGACAATTGGTCATTTACCGGTGATCAAGATTTGTGGGGGTGGGTGGCGTGGGTGTTGGTAGACCGTCTTACATTCGACTGGTACCCATCCAGACAAAACACACACAACGGGAATGATCGAAAGGCCGTAATTAAACGCGTTATATCTGTCTGTTTGTTGAATGGTGTGTTTGTAGGTTTATTTAGCTCTGATCTGTCCAATCTCGACGGCATTGATCGTTTGGACGACAGCCTTGGCCAGACCCTTGGCACACTTGACGAGCTGTTGCTTGTTGGTGTTGGAGTCATCCTCCTCACTGGCTGCCTTGACGGCGGCAATGATCTTGAGCTGCACGGTCCAGTTGCGTGCGGCCTGAGCGGCCGTGATGATTTGCTCGCGCAGCTTGGGGTCTGTGCACTTGGCTGCAGTATCCTTGGCCTGCTGCAGGTAGATGGTGACCTGCTCGGACAGCTGCTTCGAGGTGGTGAGCATGCCCTTCTTGTTGTTGCTGGCGGCGGCCTCGGAGAGGGCTGCCATCAGGCCGGCAATGCCGTGTGCAGTATTGTACAGTTTGCCCTCGCTACTGTTGTCCTTGACCAGATCCTTGGTTCTCTCTTGGATCTTTTGGGCGGCGGCCATGACCTCGTCACGCTCGGCACGCTCCTTCTCCTCGCGCTCATGACGCTCGCGTTCCTGTCTCTGTTGCTCTGCGATGATTGCACGCTCCTTGGCCTCCTTGTCTGCCTTCTCTCCGAGTGCCTCGTTGACAATCTTCTGGTTGTTGCTCTTCATCAACTGTGTCAAGCCATCGAGCTTGTCCACGGCAGCCTTGTCTGAGGGGTTGTTCTGGATGGACTTGGCAAGTGCATCGATCTGTGGCAGAGCCTGCTCCAAGGCGTTGGCCTTGTTGATGAGCTCCTGCTTGCGCTGTTGGTTCTCGGTCTGAGAGGCCAGGGCACGGGCCAGCAAAGCCTGCTCAGATGCAGCCTTTTGGGAGGTCTCGGCAAACGACTCGACGGCCTTCTTGTCTCCGCTCTTGGCCTGCTTGGCGAGGTTGTCCAGCTCGTTGTTGACCACGCTGCCGTTGGCAATGATGTGCTCCTCGGGCTTGGAGTTGGCCAGCGACAATGTGTTGGACAGCTGCTCAATTGCGCGCTTGGAGTGAGTGTCGATAAGTTGCTTGGCTTGGGCATCGCCTGGCTTGGAGATCAATGTGTTGCCAGCGCCAACCAAAATTGGGATGGTGTTGTTGAGTGCGTCCAATGATTGCTTGATGTTGGCGTCTTGAGTGGCACCTCCGATCAACTTCAGACGCTTCTCAGAGTCCTGCACGGCATTGACAGCCTCGCCGATCGACTTTTGGTCGCCAGTCTGTGCAGAAGCATGCAGACGATTGATGTCATTGTTGGCCTTGAGCACAGTGTCCTCGACCAGGGAGCTTGGGCTGCTGGAGGCGGTGGTGGCTGCCTTGCCAAGGATCTCCTTGGTGCTCTGGATGGCAGCTGCAAGGTCTGCCTGGGCCTTGGCGTCGTTGGGACGCTCGGCGGCAGTGTTGGCAGCGGCGGCCAATGGCTGCTGGGCATTCTTTAGTCTCTCGGCCAGGTCGTTGAGGGCGACCTTCTTTTGCTGATCGCGGGTGTTGTCAGCGGCCTGCTTGATGAGCTGAACAGTGTCGTTGACCTCATCGCGGAGATCTCTGAGGTTGTTTTCCACGTCGGGCTTTGAACCCTTCTTTGAGGAGGCCTGGACACGGTCCAGAGTCTCGGAGATCTTTACAGCCTGTGACAGGATGCGGTCCTCAGCAGAGGGGGTGGCAGCCTTGATGACACGGTCGGACGAGGCAGACGATGCCTCGGCCAAGTTCTTGAGCTGTCTGAGTGAGTCTGGTGTGGGCTTGCCAGAGATCTTGTCAGCCTGGGTGATGGTGTCGTTGACGTTCTTCTCGAGCTCCTGGACAGCTTGACGGATTGTACGCTTCAGGAATGGATCCTGGACGTGATCGTTGTAGGCCTTGAGCTGCTCAAGCTTCTGCTTGATCTCGCCCTCCTTGAACGAGCCGACGGCCGACTGAACATCGTCCGGAGTGCCAGTGTTGATGGTGTCGACCAAGTGCTGCAAATCCTTCTTGATCGAGGCGGCAGTGGCGGCAACCTGCTCCTCGGCAACCTTGTTGGACGAGGCGGCAATGAGCTGAGCCATGAGGACGCGAGTTGCGGCGGTGGCCTCGGAAAGTTTGGCGCGGGCAGCTGCGTTGTTGGGGTTGGCCATTGACTCCTTGACGGCGTTGGACAGGATCACAGCCTGCTTCTCCAGACGGTCAGTGAGGTCCATGATGGCGCGCTTCTGTGGCAGGTTGTTAGTCTGCTCGGCGATGTGCTTGGAGAGCTGGATCTGATGCTTGATGCCCTGCAGCGCCTTCTGGTGATGCTCGTTGACATCGGATTGCTTGTTGTTGTGCACGGCAGCCTCGAGCTTGGTGAGCTCCTTGGCGACGGCCAACGACTTGGACTCGAGATCACGAGTGGATGCGGCGGCAGACACGTTCTCGACTCCCTCCTTGAGACGACGGAGAAGCTGGTTGAGGCTATCGCGGGCCAATGGGTTGTTGGGGTCGGCCAAGAAGTCCATGACTGATGGGTAGAGTGAGTTGTTCAACATCTCAAGCTGCAGGATGGCGTCCTGCAACTGCTTCTTGCGCTCTGGGTCGTCGATTGAGCTCTCGGCAATGCGTGCCAAGAACAGCTGCTTGGCAATCTCGGTCTGCAGCTCCTTGAGGGCGGCACGGATTGCGTCGGGGTCGCCTGAAGCGATGGCCTCCTCCAAACGGCTGATGAGCTTGAGCAGGTTGGGTGTGCCGTAGACGAGCTCGTCGGCGGCAGACATCTTGGCGCCATTGTTGAACAGATCCATGTTAGCCTTGGCGACGCCGTCCAAGAGAGCGGCGAGCTGGCGCTGGGTCTCGGGGTCGTTCATTGAGTTCTTGCATGCATCGACCAACAGTGAGACGAGGCGGTTCAGCTGCTCAGTCGACTCGAGCAGGTGCTGCTTGGCCTTGGGGTCCTTGAGGTTGTTGGCGTGCTGATGAGCCAGCTTGATCTGATTGTTCATCTTCCTGACGAGTGCCTTGACCTCGCCAATGTTGACTGGCTCGCCTGCGTCCAACTTCTGACGGATGCGACGCATGTCAGCGTCGATCTTGGCAGCGTTCTCGAGGATCTCCTGCTCGGTGGTGAGCAGGACGGCGTTGGTGAACTCGTGGTTCGTGTCGAGGATGTGGGCAATCTGTTGTGCGACGGCAGTCTGGTTCTCGGCAGTGAAGTTGGTGATCACCTCCTTGACAGCCTTGACCAAGGCGGGACCACCCTCGGTCAGCTCCTGAGCGCGATCGCGGACACGTTGTGCGCGGTCCTGATCCGAGACGGCGATGTATGATGCAGCGGGCTGCGAGACGGCAACCTGTCGCTTAATGTCGTGGATGATGTCCTTGAGAGTCGAGACAGCAACGTCGTTCTGTTGATGTCTGATGGCGCTGGCAAGCGCAGAGATCTTGGACTCCATGTCGCGGGTGTTGTGCTCGACGAGGTCGCGGCTGACGGCGCCAACCAGGTTGGAGTTGAGGTTGTCGATGCTCGAGATGATCTCGTCCAATGATTGGACGGCACGGGTGTTGGACGGGTCGTCCACGGTCTCCTGGGCAAACTTGTACAAGTCCTCAATCATTGATTGCAACTTCTGATCGGCCTCCAAGATGGCGGCCTCGAGGGCCTCCTTGACCTGCTCGTCGTCGGTGGTACGAGCAATGGACTTGGCCAGATTGATCTCGTCGTACAAACCCTTGCGGATGGCACGCAGCGATGACTGAACCTCCTTCTTGTTGCCGTCGAGGGCGTTCTGACGCAGCTTGGCCAGCTGCTCCTCGATCGATGTAGTCTTGTGGTAGAGGTCGTTGGAGGTTCCAATCGATGTGGACTTGACAACGTCACGGCCCATCTGCTGCAGCTCGGTAAGAGCGGCGTTGAGCTCGTTGATGGTCTGCTGGTCGTGTGGGTTCTTGGCAGCCTTGGCCTGCAGAGCCTCGATTCTGGCGAGGAGGGCGGTGCCTCTGGACCTAGTGTCGTGGGCCACCTTCTCGATGTGGGCCTTGATCATGGGGTCCTCTGTGGCGCTTATCAGACCGTCGAGGTAGGTGAGCACGTTGTTGAAGTTCTCTCTGATCTCGGCAAGGTCGTGCTGCGAGGCAACAAAGTCGCCGCGAGCAATGTCGCTCTTCATCTTCTCGATCGACAGCTCGAGGTCGCGCTCGGCGTCGGCAACGTCGGTTGAGGTGAGCTTGGCCGAGCTGGTGACCATGAGGTCACTGGCCGACTTGATCGTGCCCAGGTTCTCCTGGAGGGCGTGCAAGAGACGAGCATTGTCTGGGCGGGCCAGCAGCTCCTCAACAGCCTGTCCAAACTCTGCAATGATCGAGTCCAACAATCGCTGTGCATTCTGTGCAGCATGCTCCATACGTCTTCTCTGGATAGGATTGTCGGCAGACTTTGCCAACGCCTTTGAAATAACAATTTCATCATTCAATCCCTTCTTTATGGCCTTCAATGCTCTTGATGCTTCCTTTCCATCGCCAGCTAATGGTAGTGTGGAGTGTGGGTGTCCATGTGTTAGTTCGAGCACGCTACAGTCGCCAGTCGCCAGTCGCCAGTCTCTCACTTACATTCAATTGCTGACAACAACTTCTCACGCTCATGTGCAATGAGGATGGCAGCATCGCGCAGATCATCCTCGTCACGGAGGTCGAGTCCAGAGATCATGGAAAGATCGAATGGAGACTTGGCAGAGAGACGCGCCACGGTGATGATCTCCTCGATCAGGTCGAAAATCTTGCGGGCAACCTGCGCGCCGAGGTTGAGGTTGTGCTTGTCGTTGGGGTCGCGCTGGTACAGTGCATAGTACTGCAGGACGACGGGCACCTCGACCTTGATGCCAGTGTTGGCCTCCTCGAACCTGCGCTTGCATCCAAAGTCATCGATCTCTGTCATGCGCTTGTTGACGATCTTGCCCAGATCGATGGTGGCCGTGACAAAGTCCTGCGCGGCCTGGGCAAAGAAGGACTCGCCCGGGTCCAGACCGATCAGCACCTTTAGCTTGGCGTCTGTGACGCGGGCCTTCTTTATGAGACGCGTGACCTCGTAGAGATCGGCCTGTTGCAACAGCACGACCATGTGCTCCATGATGCCCTTGGCCGACTTCAACAACGTTCTCTTTGCAGGCTTGTTGAATGGCATGTTTGAAAGAATCGTTGCCGACTCCAACAAATCATTACATGCTTGTCTAATGTTGGCGCATGATTCCAACATCTTTGTCTTCATATCTGGTTGATTGAAGTTCATCCATAATCCTGCAGACTGATAACCAACGTATGAGTTAGTCGTTTGATTGATTGAATGTGATTGATTGATTGAAATGAATGAATGAACATACTCTCTCGGCCAAGTCGACCAAGTAGTCGACGGTAGTCTTTACAGAGTGAGCACCTGGCAAGATGTTTGGAATGGCGGCATTGGTCTCGTCAGCCTCTACCGAGTATAACACCATCGATGAGACGGCATCACTGATAGCTTCCAATAACTGTTCCATTTCTTATTTATATTTATATATGATATGTTTGAATGATATACTTGAAAGATTATATTATAATTACAACAACAACAATGAGATATATCAATCACACGAGTACAACAACACAATAACAACTAAGTAGAGATATGTTGTGTTTGATTTAGGGAGGGAAGGAGGGAAGCCAATGACCAAAGCCAAGTGATAGATATTGGGTTGATCGATTGTGTGTGTATGTACGTGAATGTGAATGAATGAATGAATGAATGAATGTGATAGTGAATGAATGAAAGAATCAATGTACAAGTGTGTGGGGGTGGGGCACTTGTTTGAATAACAGCAACAACAAATATATCTCATCAATGGTGAGAGAGACTATGATCATCACAAAACACCTACACCCCACACCATCAAAACACTTCATTTCAAACCCATTCATCATGGATACTTTTATTCGAATATCTGTTTTTAGGTCCTAAAATAAATAAATCTATTCTTTTGATCATTTTGCCTTGTGGTAAAAAGTCTAGCAATTGAATGTGATTTCCGACAGACGACTGACTGACATCGGTGTCATCTCCGACCATTCAATTATCGAATTAGAGTAGTTGTTCTAGATAATGTACTTGCTTACTTAAGACTCTATCCACTTTGAAGATTTAATAATTGTACTCATTCCCATTATTGAGGTAGAATCTTTATTCCTTTTATAATGGTAATAATGATTGAAAAATGAGATTGGAAGTGAGTATTATTAATAATTATAATTATAATATATATTATTATGATTGATCATATTAATATTATATTTATTATTAATCTAACTTTTAGAACTTTTAACTATTTGAATATCCATTTAAATGTCAACAATTATAAAATAATCCAAAGGAATAAGAATTATACTTTCCATCATATATCATTAAGTTCAATCTTATATTCTCAAGACTTACCAATGAATCATTCAAGTCAATGGTAGGTAGACCTCAGTTTGAAGTTTGGTCAACGATTTTACAAGAAGTTCACTTCCAAACAATCCTGATCTACTTCAACTTTAGTTCATTTATCGTTCACTCACACAAACAAACTTCATTTCACTTATCTATCTGTATATATATATATATAATCTCTACTTCTGTCAGAAGACAATGACAACTTCACAACAACATTCATTCCTTACAAAGGATACAACTCCTGAGCAAATCAGTGCTCATTTGAAGCTAGACAATGAAGACACCAACAGAATGGTCAAAGAAAAGATAACTGGTGATACACTGTCTACTTCAAGCGTCCAAGAACTTCAAAAGAGTGGTTTCTCATTGGGCACTGCAAAGAAATTGATTGCTCTTGTCTCCCAACCAACTTGTAAGTACAATCAATAACGACTCAATGTCTTCATTCAATACTAACATACTCACTCGATAGTATCACCAGGTATTCAGTCTCGTAAGTACAAATATGCAAGTTCATCACCTCAGCAGCAATGTATCCTAACTCAATGAATGAATGAATGAATGAATGAATGAATGAAACACATATAGATAAGCAATGGACATTTGGTGTACCTGTTGATTACTATCATTATCATGTCCCCATATCAAGCTTGCAGCTCAACAAGTTGGCGCAATCTGCTCGGAATCATGGTTGCTATCTCGCCCAAGGTCCTTTCAGAAGTGGCAAGACTAGTCATCTCAAAGCTCTTCTCTCAGTCATACAAGCCGATTACTGCGTCATTCCGTATGTATACTCTGGTCGATGGTACCGTCGTTTGCAAACTCACCACTTACACACGTAGGTCAATATTCGTGTAGGATGACAATGAACGAGACTGCCTCCTCAGACATGTGGTCATGGATGACAACACAGATCAGATATACATGCAAGGATATACCGGATATCAAGAATGCCGATGGATTTCACAATCTCTTCACATTTGCCAATGGCGCTCACTTTGGAAACAAATCCGTTGTATTGCTGATTGACGAGTTCCAGATGATAGAGACCTGCGTACATAGGAAAGATTTCCTTATCACTCTGAAGGCAATCATGGACGACATCACCATGACTCACAATCTCTGGAGCGTCATTGGATTTGGCACATCTCAGTTGGTCACTCTTGCTCAATCCGATGAATTCAAGAAGAAGTTCAAGGACACTTTCAGCCCGTTTCCTCTCAACAATGTCATCTACATTGAACCACTTCCCCGACACGAGGTCTCATTGCTTCTCCAGAGATGGGCAAGCGACAGGAGTGTCAAAATCGAAGCCAAAACGGTTGAGGAGATCTACAATACCACTGGAGGATATGCAGGCCTTTTGGGAATCATTGGAATCATCTTGGACAATAGTTTCCCCACGATCATTGCCAAACATTCAGGGCTAATCGACTCCAAGGTGTGGCTTTGGCTGAGGACCATGGCAACCAATCTATTTCTCGAGCAAGATCAGTTCAAACGGTTGACCGAGTTGGTCCTCAGCGACAAGTCTCTTTCTCGGCTCATTCCAATAATTGTTGGAAGTGGCGAGCCGTTTATTTTCAAAGGTAGGTTATATAGTATTTGATCAATGGTTGTCAGTCAATTTACATACTTACGCAATGGTTCCCCCGCAACTACATATAGGTGAGGACTATGTGAGCGCCCTCACTCTGTGTGCTTTTGGAGTTCTGTGGCCAGAAGAGAAGCACACCTTCAATCTATGTTCACCTCTGATGCGACAGTTGCTGCTCTCTGAGCTGTATCGACCTATTGACCAGTTTACATTGCCAAAGGATTGGCCAGAGGACATTCAATCACTTCTTGAGGCAGTGTTTCAACGATTCGACTTCTCCTTGTTCCTCGTCAATGGTAAGATAGATCACCAGAACCAACCATCCTAGACAGAGGCTCATGACAACTAATCAATCACTTTAGAGTCGTTAAACTTCACAACAAACTATCCATCAGAGTACAACTTCCAAGCAGAGTTCTTTGCCGTCCTACAGCGCGGCCTCCAACTTTATAACTTCACAAACAAGACTTTCTATGTTGCCTCGACCGAGCCAAAAGCACCTGGAATGGGTAAGTTCAATCCATGCTCGTGCGACACTTTGATTGGATCATTGCTGACCTTTGATCACACAGGCCGATCGCGTGGAGACATACTCGTTCAGAATGGGAAGAGAATATTGTTCGAGCTCAAGTCACACCAAACCTGGAAAGATTGTAAGTTGTTGTTGTTGAGCACCCAAAACAACGACCGCCAGACCAATATTAATACATCCTCGTATCCTACTATTCAGACAAAGATCTTGAGAGTGCGATGTTGCAGGTACTAGAGTATTCTTACTACTTGGATTCCAAACAGATTGTCATTTTGAACTTGGTCCCAGTGGCAACACAAATCTCCAACATTAAGATAGACTTTACAAACCTCCAAGGAAGATCGTTGACAGTGTTTGAAGCCGTTTGGAATGGAGGAAAAGTGGTCCTCAACACCCCAAAGCGCACCACCCATTCCTCTTTGATCACTGCTCTCCAACTCGAGCTGGCCATCCAGAAAGCCAGCAATGAAGATGCTAAGCAGTCATAGGGATTATACTATCTATTGACATGGACAACCTGAAGTTCATATTCCATCCCATCACACTGGATCGATACTATAAATACTTGTAAATTAATCCCCTAACTATATATATTCATGAATGATTGGTGTATTGAATGAATGATGGATGTGTCTTTTGAGCTAAGTATAGTTATTTTGTGATTTGTTAATTGATTGATCACCATTCATTTGGTACTTCCCCTCTTATGAAAGTATTCCAACAGCACCATGGCTGTTTGTTTTGGTGATCTTTCTGTTAAACTCTTTCCATTCTCCTTTGCCTGTGCGTAGACTGTCCCATTTGATTCCACCACAATCATCACCTTTATCAAAGTGATAGCAATACTGTAACAAGTCTGTGATTAACCAGATCTTGAAGCCATCATTGTATCCAAACACCATAGACAAACCAGTGCCACCCTTTGGGAAAATAGGATATACCAGTGTTTTGTCCATCTTCCATTCATAGATTGAGATGCGATAGATGTACGTCTTTGTGATTATGTAGATGTACTCTCTGTTGTCGAAACAACATCCATCCACTATCTCTCGCTCTTCATCCCTGAATTGGTATACTATCTCTGAGCTCCTGTCCTCGACGTTGAATGCTTCGATGTTGTCAACGCCCATACAAGGTCCTTTGGAGCTCTTGGTCGTGCCACCAATGATATAGATTACTCCATCCTTGTAGAAACTGAATGAGTGATACCTGGCACACTTTAGTTTGGCAAAGTCACACTTGAACATTCCTGTCAGAATGTCAAACCGATCGATACGGTCCAATGCTTCAATGTTCTGGATACCTCCAATGATGTAGATGTATCTGCCTCGATCATAGCAACACGCAATGTATGAGCCACCCTTCTCCATTCTCTCATGGATGTCCCATTGACATGTTTGGATATTGAACCGTTCGTATGTATTGAGATTGACTTTTCCGCCAAACACATAGATGTATGATCCAATTGATACCATTGATGATGATGAGTATGGCCTTGGTTCCACTGTTGCAGGTCCATTGCGCCATTGCCCATCTTTCATGTTGTAACACTCCATATTGACTTGTGTTCCTGTATTAAATAATGATCTAACATGTTTATCGTTACCATTCGATCCATTGATACAGTATATCTGATTGATTGTATTGTTTGCTATGTATCTGTCAATGTGTATGTGATTTACACCGACACTCTTGTCAATCATATTGATGGCATACAAGGCCTGTTCTCTCAGTTTCTCCAAATAGAGATTCTTTGTGATTTTTGACAGCTCATCATGTGCCTCGATATCGACTTGCCACAGACCGCGCATGGTATCCTCTCTGTTCATGTGACTTCAAGATTAGTGTCAACCTTTACTTGATTTGGAAACTACTGGTCTTCTAAATACACACACATTCTGACCAATCATTCAATTTCATTCATTCATTCATTCAATCAAAGATATACATTCTGGTTAGATGTACAATCAACAACTACAACAACAACATCAACAATGGGATGGTGTACAACATCATCAAATGGATACACAGATACAACAACATCAATGGGATACACAACCACAACAACAACAACAACAATATATAGGACCAGGAGGCGGTGGACCAGGAGGTAGTGGACCAGGATATATCGATAATCAATACCAACAACAATACTATCAACAACAACAACAACAACAACAACAACAACAACAACAACAACAACAACAACAACAACAACAACAACAACAAACAATGATGTATCAACAACAACAACTACTACAACAACAACAACAACAAATGATTGATGATCAGACATTGACATATCAACTCAATGAGATCCTGACGTCGATAATCGATACGAATGAATATATAAAGAATGCAAAGGATTGGATATTGTTGAATGAATCACGTGCTGCTATGATAGTGGAGTTGATAACGATGCGAATGGCATTGAACATGGACACGAACAACATTGCAAAGAACCGAGCGATCTTCTTCCTAATCAGTGATGTCTTGCACTTTAGCTCGATGAACAAGCTATTCAAAGCTGGCAATGACCTCTACATGCTACTATTCTTTCAACGAATGGACACAATACTGCGGTTCTATTACAAGTTGGATCAGAAACAAAAGGATGAGATAAAAGAGGTGAGTAGAGTTGGGCTCATCACTCGATCAATCACTTTGGAACTATTCCACTCACTCACTCAAACACTCAATCATACGATCAATCACTTTGGAACTATTCCACTCACTCTCACTCAATCATACGATCAATGATCAGATCATAGATTTATGGTCACAAAGATTGATATATACACATGATGAATGTGATTTGATCAGGAAACAGTTGAAGAATACACCATCGGAATTGGTTACACCTGGATTAGTTGTTTCACATCTGAAACAAATGAATAGACAACGACTACCTTGCAAACTGGACGAAATCGATCACTACCAACTGACACTGGCACAATCTGACAAGGACCAAGAGCACACGATACGCTGTCTAAACGATTACTATCATTCAAACCCTTAAACATTCATTACGTTAATGACCTTTATTTATTTGTATTGATGACCATGGTACATTATCAGTTGAGACTGACCAACGTACTACTTCACTCACTCACTCACTTAATCACGCGCACAACGATCAGGTCATAGTTGAATCTGATTAGATTAATTACTATCTAACATACAAATAACAACATTCAATGAGTGATTATGACCAGTATTTATTGATTGGATACATCCAAGTACGAGTAAACGAACAGAGGACCCTTCAAAGGATTACGGGTTAATATTTATCTTATCAAATGGTAATAATATAATTTTTCCAGCAATATTAATGTAATAATTAATTTTTCCGTTGTCCTCTGAAGCAAATATACTATAAATATTATGATCGGATTGAAGGTACAAGTCGGGAAAAGAACCTACAAGATAATACTTGACGTATTGATCCCCTTCCATAATGTTAACAAAGGAAGGTAGACCATAATAATTTCCATCTCTATAACCATAGTAGACTTTAATTCCTTCACTAAAAGTTTTCGTAATCACAGGAAAGTGCAATTGACTTAATCTAATATAATTTCTATCTTGACTACTGGTAGAATCAATAATGGACGAATCTAATGATTATAATTGTTAATAAATGGAAAAATTAATTTTAATTTATTATTTATTTAATTTATATAATACATACCTGATGATTCTTGACAATCTATTACATTGATTATGGATATCACCAAGATTAAAAAAAAGAAGGAATTGATTGTTATTCAATTTAGACATGTTATTGAGATTAATAATATTGTATTTGAAGAATCTCTTTGAATGAATTAATTAATTCAACCTCATTTATATATATCTTTTGAACAGTATCTATATTACAAATTATCATAAAACATTATTATTATTATTTTTATTTCGACACCATACCCCGATGATGGTTATACACAAATTGCCAGATAGGACTAAATCTTTGTATTGCAAACACAATTATCCAATAACATCGACCGGTAATGTAGTGTGTCTGCTTGCGTGTGTGTGTTTGTTTGCGGATCGAGAAGGAAGAACAACAATAATAATGATGTGTTGGGTAGAATAAGGTTTGTGGACTGATTGATCATTCGTACCAACTTGGGTAACCAAGCTAATTATGAACAGTAGACGCTTTACGAATGGTGATCTTCATCATGATGTCGCACTCAACGCTTTGTCGGCATCCAACTATGAGATCTGATCATCATTATCATCCTGCGTTGTTGCTGTTGTTATTGATGAAGATGTCTCGATGACTGTTCATTTACAGAGTATAAAACAAGAGTCACCTACTCGACTCGACGATTGTATTTATTCCTTCGCAACCATTGATCGATAACTAGTTGCCCTTTCGCGATTGTGCTGATATATATAGTACTAGTAGTAGTGTTGAAGTGAATGAGTGAATGAGTGATTGATCGATTGATTGAATGATTGAATGAGCGAATGAGATGAGATACATACCATTGTTACCTCTCAGGAAGCAATCACCGTACTTGGTTTTCAGTTGTCCATTCAGATACTCTTCAGTCTGCTCCATTACAATGTTCATGTTACCATCGACCACTTCAAGTATACCTCTATATTCAACTCCATTGTTTAGCTTTACAACAACAGGACGACCAATACACATCTTAAAGAAGTTGAATTGTGCACTGTTTGATTGTTGTTGTTGTTGTTGTTGACCTGTAGTTGTTGACATCTCTGTATTATATATATCTATGTATCTTTATCTCTTTGATTGATTAATCGCGATCAAAGTAATGCGCGAGATGATGAACCTTGAAAAGTTCAAAAAGCTCAAGTTCACTCATTTTCATTCATTTTGAAAGTTGTACAACAGACTCAAAGAGATAGATTATAACATCGACGACGATGACGATGATGAAGAAGAATGATTCATTCATTGATACTGTTGTGACATATGTTGTTGTTGCAATAGTTGCTGTTGTTGTTGAAGTTGCTGTTGTTGACGTGGTGACATTGGAGGCGGAGGTAGGATGATGGTCTTCAATGGTATTCTAGAGTTCAGTTCGTTGCTCCATTGTCTCCACTCCTTCAACTCATTCTCATTGAACCATTTCAGATTGCTAAAGATATCACCAATGATATCACGTATGTTTGATGGCAGATGTAGGAATGATGGTGACTTGGATGCCAGGTATCTGTGATCGTTCAAGTCCTCCTTGAACTCAAACACACGACACAGCCTATTCAACTGATCATTTGACAATAGCTTCCTATCAATCACCGATGGTATCAAGTAATCCTCAACATTCAACCTATCCACCAATGTCTTGGTCAGCTACATGTAGTCAAGAGGGAGTGAGTTAGTGATTGAGTGAGGGAGTGCGAGTGGACAAGCGGGTCGATGGGATACATACCTTTCTCCATTCAAAGGATACCTTGCGAACTAACTCCTCTGGAACTAGTTTGTTGGGCGCGTCGTGGAAGTCTGGATCGATGTTTAGGTCGTTGTACCATTCGTCCACACGATTGACACAGACTACGATTGGTCGCTTGGGCGATGCAGAGCGGAACTGTTGCACGATCTCATAGGTGTCGTGCGAGCTCAGTGATGAGCAACGCAGGAATATCATACAGATGCCTGGAATGGCCATGGCCACATCGGCGATCGACTTGATCGTGGGGTCGGGGTCGTCCGAGCCGGGGAAGTCAATCACTCTAACGTTTGGACCGACCTTGTAGAAGCCGGGCACATTGGTGCGGTCCTCCTCGCGTGCGCCATAATGCAGTCCAGTTCCAGACACATGGCTCTTGGGTATTCCAAATACCTTTTCAATAGATGTCGATTTGCCAATCATCTTGAGGCCGGCGACCACGACGCGTGGCACTGCCAGTTCAATGCGTAGCTCATGGATCAACATCGTCTGGTAAAGTGACATGATGCGCTCGGGCCTGTTGAGTGCCCAGTGTTGGTCGGACAAGTCTTTGTCGAATGAGTTGGTTGTGGAGAATCCCCGTTGTGTGAAGTGGCGGTAGATCGCCAGCTCGGTCATGAAGTCCTCGGACAGGTTGAGGCCGCCAGGCAGTGAATCGATCTTGAACACCTTGGTCAACACCTTCTTTATCTCCTCGAATGAGCGATGATTATGGATGGGCAGCAGGGAGATGGACCCCAATAGTCGCTCGATGATCCCATCAGGGAACAGAACAGGCAGACGCCTGAAGTCGACAAACAGGTCCAGCCACTTCTTTGACCGCTCGTAGGTCGTCAACAGGCTGTTCCATGATGATGTGTTGTTTGACAGATCAGGTGCAGCTGCCGCGGCCGCCGCGTTGATCTCCAGGAGCTGGTCCTCGAGACAAGTGTGCAAGTTGCTACTGGGCAGCGAGCCAAAGATGTCGCGAGCGTCCTTGTTCAGTTCCCCGCACACGTACTGTTTGATCTTTGCCAGGGAAACGCCGAGTTGGTGGCAGTTGGTGACGGCACGTGACAGCTGCTCGTCCTTTAGATTGCAAAGTATCAGCTTACACAGGCTGCGTGTGTATTCGTCCTCTGAGCGAATCGCCTGGAACAGTAGGTAGTAGTCTGGCACTGTGGACAACAACCTATTGACGATGCCTCGTAGTCGTCCAGCATCGTGCTGGTCCGACAGGAACACGACCCAGAATGCAGCGTACAAGAGCTCTTGGGCGGATCGCGAGCCCACCATCGATAGCAGGTCAGACACGACATAGTTTGTCACCTTGCATGGGAAGAAGTTATCCTCGTAAGAGCGGAAGATTGAAAGGAACTTGACCTTGATGCGCTCGGTGCTTGCGTCAATGTCCACCTCCTTCTTGTACTCCATCTCTATGCTGTTGACCTTGTTGATGGTAACCTGAACCATGGGCAGCTTGCCAGGCAGCCCGGCCGCACCGATGAATGACACATACGGGCCCTCCAGTTTGACGATCACTCCATTGCCATGAACGATGTTGATGCTGATGCTGTCGATACGTGGCTGGCAGTCCATCACGGACATACCGCCAATGCTGTTGTATGATTGAGTGGAGTGCTTGGCGACGGCGGCGATTGCCGACTCTGGGCTGAGACTCATCAGGTCCTGCTGGTAGTGAGCCAACAGATGCTGCGAGAGTGACTCCTCGATGCTGTCAATGTCCTTGAGCGGGTTGGCAATCTCGCTCGATAGTATTCGCTCTAGTCGCACGCGGTCCTCCTCAACCCATGCGCGGAGTGTGTCGATCTGAGTCTGTTGCGTGGGTGGCGGGGTTGAGAGCAGTGTAGCCGCGCCGGCAGCCGCCTCTGGCAGGGCACGTCGCGAGATGATATGATACTGGCCAAAGAATGTTAGTTTGGGCAGAGAGCGCATCAGGTCTGTAGACTCCTCGGTAAAGAGTGAGGGCGTGTCCTTGAGGATGGTCGTGGGCAGGTTGGAGTTGGTGAAGATCTTGGAGAGGATGTTCTTGACAAACGCGCTTGACTGATCGAGCAGGTCCTGCAGCATAAGAGTGCGCTCACAAACATACTCGCGATCAGACGCTTTGCTGGCAATCTGGAGCGTGGTCAGAGAGTCGATGAGGCTGGGGATGGGGTCGTCGACCTTGTGGAAGAAGTGGAACTGCTTGCCCTTGCTGTCGTGAGAGTTGAGATAGCGGCCAAACACGCCGTCCAGCACCAGCGGCTGGCCAAAGGTAATGCACATCAGACGTGATGTAATGAGGTCACGTGAGATGAATGGCTCGCAGATCATTCGTAGAGCTATGATGGTGGCGACGGCGCCACCGCCGCTGTGGCCTGTCAGCACCACATTGCAGCCCTTTTGTATCCACTTGAACAGCTGCATGAAGGGGAATGAGTCGGCGCTGCGGTAGAAAGTGCCGTGCAGCGAGCCCAGTCCGTTGAACTTTTGTAGCATATGTACATCGCCGAGCACGTCGGCTACGTCGGCCGTGCCGCGAAACGATACGTAGTAGGTCTTGCGCGAGCGGAATCCTGCGTGGTCTGAGCTGGCGGGTCGCGACGCCATGACGAATGGCTGCACCAGCTTCATGGACGATCGCTTGTCAAACACGAATGTGTCGCCATTGATCACCTGTGTCAGAGTGTGGCGTGGCTTGATGTCCAGGCGATTGAGGTACTGTAGCGAGTTGAACTCGTACGACGAACTTGAGAGATACAGACAGTTGTCCACCTCGTGCTCCCAGTCATCGTCAAACGTCTCTAGATGTGATGGTGCCAGTTGTCGCATGTTATTGCGCATCAGCTTGGGGTGCACCAGCCCGCCGTCCATTGTACCGCCACGTGGTGATGGCGAAGAGTGTGAGGGTGAGGGCAGGGGAAGACTGCTGGACATGGCCACTAGTGGAGGCGAAGACGCAGCCGCCTGCTCCATCGTGATGGGCTCCAACACCCTATACTGATTCTTGTGAGTGGCCAGACTCCACTTGAGTGTGCTGCCACTGCTGCTGCTGCCGCCGTCAATGTCTGGGCTGGTCGGCTCGCCGCCAGCGCCATAAACACGAGGCTCTTCCTCTGCGCTGTCAAACACCTCGATGGTGATGCGCTGTCCAGTCCAAATGGCAAAGAGTTCAGTGAGGGCATTGATCTCCAATGTGCCAGGGTATAAGTTCTCGCAGACGGACAAGACAAAGTCCTCCCAATTGGCGATGTTCAGCTCGCCCTGTATCTCATTGATCTCCTCCAGTCGCTGACCAAATGACTCTGGCACGCCATTTGAAGTATGTCTTTCGTCCAAATAATCGCTGATTCTATATCTTAATTGTTGTACATTCCTTGGTATTAGAGGATTGTCCAACGATGACGTTGTCAAGTAATGTATTATGCAATGGTAGAAGCAATGTGGGAAGGCGCCCTGATCAGTGTGTCGTCCCAAATTATAAGATTGATCACGTGACAAATCATCAATCACGTGACAGGATATTATTGATCATGTGACAGGTGTGTGTTTGGTGCCGCGGGAATGTTAGCTACCATGCATGAACGTCCTCTGGTAACGCCTGTCCTTGACATACCTTCTGGACTAGCCTTGTAAACTTGAATCGCATATGTTCAAAGTCCTTCCAACTCTTGATGCCTCCATTAGATGTGATTGGACTACTCATCCTTTAAATCAATCATACAAATAAATAAATAGAAATAAGGTATATACAAGTTGAGTGATCAAATGAATGAATGAATGAATGAGGCATTGATGATGAGCTCTTCTAGATAAGGTGGCTAGAGGGTCACCATTGTTGGTCCAAATCAACAACAATCTGATGTGCCCCCGTCTTATTTGCATGCAAATATCTTGTTTGGAATTGGGCTAAGGACTCACTCCCATTTTTTGGTGATCGAATTATGCCCAATCACCAACACCTGCAAACGAATCAAAAATATCTTTTACTCATCGCGGACTACTTTCACATCACCTTTGCTTCAACTTTATCTCTTTTGTCTACATTCAATTATCTTTGCTTACCTTCTTCTGTGTACAATGTAACAATTTATAAATTATGATACCATTGTTGTTGTTGTTGTAGTACTTCAACTAGTTACCCTTCATCTCCGAATGATGCAAACATCTTTGCATTCCACTACACTATCGTATCGTATTACAAACAATATTTAACTGATATATATCTATATCTATATTTCATTGTTTATTTCTATCTTTAATAATACTATTATGATCACATAATGATACAATTACATTAAAGTTGAAGTGAGATAGAGATAGAGATACTCTAACTCACGCAATCATTCTCATTAGCTCGTCAACCTTGAAGACCACGTGGTCTCCTTCATCGCAAGGATTTCGAATCAACTTGATCTCATGGTGTGTGTGTGTGTGAAGGTGTAGCATTGCATACTTTGAGCTTTCCTTTGCCAAGTCATTCTAATTATTGAGGTGTTCACCAAAGAGGGGCTGCCCAGTATTATCACAAACATAAATATACAAATACATATATACATATATAATTATATAACATAACATAGAAATGGTTAATAATAAAGGAATGCTTCATTTCAAGTTCCTCATCATTGGTGATCCTAATGTTGGTATGTTGTCTGGCATGATCAAATCAACATCGCAATCGCAGATTGATTGGTCGATCGATTGAGACATCATTCAGACGATACTAACTATCATTGTAATACAACGACTACACTTATGATGTAATAGGGAAATCATGCTTGTTATATAGATTCACAGATAATAAGTGTAGGTTGTTGGAGAGAGTGATTGATTGATCGATTGAATGATTGAGAGTGAATCAGGGATGGACAGACAACTAATATATATCGATTGCTATTTAGTTAAGAGTCAATCAAATCATACTATAGGAGTAGACTTTGCATCTAGGATAGTAGAGGTCGGAGGAAGGTCTGTCAAGCTACAGGTTTGGGATACAGCCGGTCAAGAGAGGTTCAGATCAGTTACAAGAAGTTATTATAGAGGATCAGCAGGTGTTATCCTGGTATATGATATTGCCAAGTATGTTGTTGTTGGAATGATGGCGATCAAACAAACAAGTGACTAACATGTTTCGTCTTGATAGCCGAGAGACTTATAATCACATCACAAACTGGCTGAGTGATGCCAGAGCACTCGCGAGCAAGGACGTAACGATTATATTGGTTGGAAACAAGAGCGATATGTCTGCAGAGAGAGAAGTATCATTTTTGGAGGCGATCAAGGTGGCTCAGGAGAATGGTATGACTGAACTCATGCGATGATTGATTGAGTAATTGATAGTATCTGACGCCAACCATCATTATAGACTTGTTGTTCCTCGAGACTAGTGCATTGTCTGGTGACAATGTCGAGGAGACATTCTTGAAGTGCGCAAAGTCGATTGTATCAAAGATTGAGGATGGTCTGATCGACATGGACAGTCTGGGAATACAGGTCAGCGATGGCGACAAGAGCGCAGTCAGAGGTGCAGGCGGTGCCCCTGCCAAGACATCATGCTGTTAACAGAGTGGAGATATCCTTCTTCTCGCTTCCTTCTCTCCTCCACAATGACGTCCATCCCATCCCATCCCATCCCATCCTACAACCCTAACATCTTTGGCCTCATTGATCATCACTCATCATCCAATGTACATACATCACATCAATTTAGCGAGAATAGAGGCAAAGCAGGTGTGGAAGAGTGGCTGACCAACTCCACTCATGCGGCACTTGACCGTTAAGTGGACATCCCATACATGGAGTCGAATAAATCACCGATGGAGATTACATCTTCACATTCGATATTAACTTGAACTTGGACTTTATTTCCTACTTTTCTTGGACGACTTTTTCTTCTCCTTTTCATCCTCCTTCTCTACAACTTTGTTTGATCGCTTCTTTGACTTTGCCTTCTTATCGGCATTGATGGACATGAAATGGATTGACTGCCTAACTATTGGAATCCCCTGGTCGTAAGGTGGCCTGTCAGTGAAAACAATAGAGTTGTTTGAATCCAGCTTGCGAATATGGATGGATCTGCGATCCAGTCCACCAACGTGTATGATGTACGTATTACAATTTGGAACGGTCGTCAATAGCTTCTTACAGTATGCCATCATCTTCTGGAATGGATTACCCGTAAAGCTTATATGACTATGAGTTACTTCCAGAGTACTTAGATTTTCTAATATAGATGGTGGTCCAAATGAGTCCTAATTTGAGAGATACCAAGTGAATCAGTGGAGTACTCTAGGTTCTTGAGTTGTACAAACTTGCCGACTACCAAGCGCGAGAGTCTAGGCAATGACATCTTTGCCTTGAGACCTTCGCCAATCTGAAGTGATGTGAGTGATGGAGGAAGTAGGTCCTTGGCGAACTTGTATTTGTAAGCGTGCCCCAGCTCCAATGTTCTGAGCGAAAGAGGCAGAGTGCCAGGCAATAGCTCATGATTGAAACGTAAGCCAACTTGGAGTAGGGTCAAAGCATTGCCAAGTACCCTTGGCGTTATTGGATGATTGAAATAGAATCCCAGTCTCAACGATTGTAGAAAAGGTAATACATGTTCATAATGGCCACTTAGATTGGTACTGGAGTAGACATGTCGAACAAGAGGATCCAGTGGCTGATCAAAGTATGGTCCAAAGCTTAGGTGAACGATGTGGGATGGTAATGACTCTGACAACAATGGTTGGTTGAACCTGTATCCAAGAAATACATTGGTGAGTGAACTCGAGTCGGGTAGGATGCCTGGGCTCAATATGTTGCCAATGAATGCATTCTGGTTCAGCCTCAATGATTTTAGTGATTGAGGTAAAGATCCAGGTTGGAGTTTGTTTGCCATTGGTTCGGTGAAATACAATTGTGGTGGATCTTCTCTGCCGTAGTTTTGGGTTGTCTCTAAGCCAAAGGTAAGTACCTCCAAGGTGTTGGGAAGAGCACCAGGAGGAAGATCAAAAGAATAATGATTGCTAATCATCAGCCTTGTCAAGGATCTTGGTAGGTTAGAGGCCAATAGTGGATAATTGAAGTCGCAGCCCAAAGATAAATGAACAAGTGACTGCGGGAGATAATTGAGAGGTTGAATAAGTTCCCCAAAATTAATGATTGAAGAGATGATGGTAGTGCACCTGGTTCAAACTCTTTGTTGTAAGACCATCCAACAAAGAGTGAGATAAGTGATTGAGGGAGAGATCCAGGTTTGATGGCATTGTGGTGAAGATATCCCAATTTAATATGGCGAAGTGATTGCGGATATGTTTCCGGGGCAGTTGTATCAATGTTGGAATAGCTGAAAGCCAATGATGTAATAGTCTCTGGAAGAAACTTTGGAATTTTTGATTCTCTGCCTATGACCAACGACCGAAGTGATGTCGGCCAATGATCGGGCGGGTTTGCTTGAATCAACACCAAGTGATTGATCGTGTCGGCAAAGGTATACTTTGGCATTTGATCCAAGTCATAACTTTGTTCTGTGTATCTCGAATACCTCTGAATGAAAGGAGTCGATAGCTTGGTCACTATCAAACCCTTTACATCTGTTGGAGTCTTGAGTTCAATCTCTGGAGTTCTGCCTTGTATCAAATTGAATAGATATTTGCATGATAGACTTAGACTGATTGCATCCAATTGATTTTGAATCAATATGTCTATCAATGTCTTTTGTAACATATTAGGTAGTTCTAGTTCATCCTTTCGATATTTATCTATTATTATTATTTGTTTGAAATTTTAAGAATGATAATGTTGGAGGTTAGCATGTTCATTGATGCTTTTGCAAAAAATGTATATTTTTGTTACCAAGAATTTGAAGTTCAAATTCAAGGGAAAGGGAAAGGGCAAGGGTAAGGGTAATGAATTATAAACAATGTTGTGTAACATTTATTTGTCGTATATACAGATAGGTGTGTCGTCACTTATACATATTAATAAAAATAATTAATTAATTAATTAATTTCCAAGATCCAGGTATCTTGGACCAACAGCAAAGGACTTTGGAGAATACCAGAAACCATTGGCAGTAGAATTGGAAGTCTGTATCAGATTGGATTGAGTGTTTCCAGAGGCACTAGACACTTGGCTAGACTGAATTGACTGAGCAGAGACAGATGAGAATGAGAATTTGGAAAGGTTCTTGAACAACATTTTGTAAGATTGATTAATTGATTGATTGGATAATTATAATTAATAATATATTAATAATGTTTATATTATGCTGTAGGATAGCTTGATAGGTATAAGCTTTGTTATTATTTGTATTGAGCAGTAACAATGTTGATTTGATTTTAAAAGTGATCAAACATTTGTCCTTTAAATAGTTGACTTGTCCGACCCAACCCAACCCATCCAACTCTTTAAACGACATTTAAGGAATCCATTGGATTAAAGTGGTGGTAATGGTGATGCTGCTGTTGGTTCAATCAATTAATCATTGTCACTGATCACATACACACTCACTCCTTGAAATGGAAGGAAGTATATATGTCCATAAATAGTGTTGTTGTTGGTTGTGTATGGTACATTCTAATTCCTTCATAATGGATAACCATCACAAGTGATCGGTTGCAATTGTACGGCATTCAGTTTGAGTTGAAGACCTTCCAACCAACTATCTATCATACATATGAGTGGTGTACTTATATGGAGTTGAATGAATGAGACAGTGGTTGTTGCAATCACAAGCTCACACTCACTCATTGAGAGGTAATAGATTCCAATGATGGTGATGTATGTTTTAGGAAAGACGTCACAGGCAGTACCAATCACACTCAATCACACTGTCTACGAATCAACAACAACCACCAACTCATAATGATCACACCTAAAGTGAGTGATCAACCACTTCAACATCACAATCAAACACTAACATAAACACACACATATAATCAATTAATCAATCTCATTCATTCATTTGGTAATGATCAATCACTCACACGACCAATCTCATAATGATAATAATACGCTCCACAGTGGAACGCACGAACACAATAACCACTTGAGGGTTTGGGTATGGTATGGCAGTACTTCAGAGTCTGTTGATTAAATGAATGGGAACTGACCATGGTCGCCATGGTCATTGTTCTGTTCTAAGTATATGAACATATTGTGTTCTTTTCTCCCTTAGAAGTGTGAGCAGTTGTGATTGATTGACTAGTCACACGTAGTCGATCAATCTGTTAACCATACCATACGTATATTGTCAACTACATCATCACATTTGGAAGTGGATACCCTTCCGAGAATAGGAATAAGTGAATCGAAGTATTGCCATCGGCCACTCACTCATTCTTTCAACTACCTGACAGCCGTATAGACTGATTGGTTATCCCAATGGGCGAAGGGAAGTTGGTGACACTCACTCCATTCAATAATATGTTTGAATGAATGATAATAATTAGTATAGTATGTTCTATACCTATTGATAATTCCTTTGATTATATTTCTGATCACCAGGATAAACAACTCATCTTAGTTTGTCACAACTAATGAAGTAAATACTAAAATTAATAAAAAAAGGATGGACCATCTATGGTGAAGCGTGTCAGGGGTTACATCAATTTCAAACAACTTCCAACATTTATTCATTTATGTTGTTCAGTCTCTCTATTCTATCTTGAACAACACTATTCAACAACTACAACACAATTACTACAACAACAACAACAAACAGATATTCACAGTGAATATCTTGATTCTGTCGACACAAGAGATATCAATAATATAGTACTTTGTATACAATAACAGGAAAGACACTACACAACTTAGACTTGAGTTAACTCCGAAAGATTACATTTACTTAATAATAATGGGCCTACCGAACAACTTAACATCATTGGACCTTCTTAAACTTGGCATTCCATTCTGTTGGGGAGTATGCATACATTCTTTAGTCTGCTGAGCTGAGTCCACATCGATGAACTCTGACTGACTGACATGACCTTATTACCTAACCATCATACATTCAGTTGGTCTGTCTGATAGCATTCATATACTATTCTGTTAAACATGAGACAGAATCATTATATCTTCCTCTTATATCATCAATCTCTGCATTCCTACTAGTCGCAGATATATGGGTATGTTTGATGCTCGAGCATGTCATGATGATAGACAGTCCCAATGCATATCCGATGACAAGACAAACCACTGACCAATCAATCAATCAATCAAACAGTTTTATTATAGATCGACACCAGGTTATCAAAGACTGAATGCAGAGAGGTCACCTAGGAACAAACTGATGGTCAATCTTAAGCTGGTACTATGTGTCGCACTGATACTTATTGCTGGCATTTCACTCATGTTCTACTTTGATATCAATCGCAAAGACGACATTGCCTGGTCAATAATGACCATCTTCTTTGCAATGGTAGGTGTTGGCAAACTGACCTCTGACCCTTACTTGTTGGTTGGCTGACTGACTGACTGACTCATTACATATCTAGATATGGGGAGTATTGACGATCAAGTATCAAGCATTTGATGAGAATACAGTCAACATTAATTCAGAGTCCAGTGTTCCTCTGTCTGGCGACAATGAATCAATGGAGATATAAATGGCATGGAATGGATGATCAACTTCGACGTCGTCCACTCCATCAGACTGCAAAGGTGTACACATGTTGGCGTCATTGTACAGAAACGACAAAACAATCCAACCAATATCAATCAATTAATTGTCCAACCAATCTATCTTTTGGTTGGAATACCATAACATGTGTTGACAAGCAGGGTGCATGCGACCTTTAATATTACATGTTTGATCGTCCACTGTGGATATACATATATGTGTGTTTGTGTGGACAGCTCATCCTCCGATGATGTACGTGCGTGCACTTGCAGCGCTGCTATTGTTGTCTACAAGGGGGGGTTTGTTTGGTGGAAAGGTGGAAAGGGGAAACGAAGAGGAGTTGGATACAGGGAAAGAGGGGAGGGGAGGGAAGTAGGAAAGGTGGACCTGTTGTTGAGTAAAGCAGCCAAACTAGTTCATGTGTGAATTCTGGAGCAGGATCTTGAAGTATGGATGCTCCATCGCCTCCTTTGTCGTCAGTCTCTCTGCTGGATCGTAGCGCAAGAGTCTGTCCAGGAAATCAATGGCCTCTGGCACAGCAAGGTTCTTGTTGTCGTTTGTAACGAACTTTGCCCATGGCTTCTTTGGATGTCTGTTCATTGATTGATTGGTTGGTGAGTATACATGCATTGTTTATGACGAGAGATATGATCAATACATACTTGCCAAGTATATTTTGTAGAGTTGGATCGATCACTATTCCATATTTGTCCAAGTATGCGTAGAACTCTTCAGTGCCCAACACCTTGACAATCTTGACAAGTTGATCAATGTTGTCATGTCCATGGAAGAATGGATCCTTCTGGAAGAGCTATGAACGTGATGACCATCATTGATTGAATGATTAGTAAAGTGTGTAGGCCCTAAGATACATTATTTCTACAACATACCATTCCAGCAAACATGCATCCAAGACTCCACATGTCCAAGCTATAATCATAGTCCTCCATATCGACGAGCAACTCTGGTCCCTTGTAGGGACGAGAGGCGACACGGACATTGTAGTCCTGGTTGGGATGGTAGAATTCAGCCAGACCCCAGTCGATGAGGAAGAGCTTGCGTTTCTGATGATCGATCATGACGTTGCTGGGCTTGACATCGCGATGCATGACGCCGTTGGAGTGGCAAAAGTCGAGGGCGCGCAGTAACTCTAATATGTAGTATCGCACATCAAAGTCGGTCAGCGTGGGCGCCAGGTGTTTGAAGTCGGTGTTGTTGATGTATTCAAAGATGAGGCTTGGTGTCTTTGATTGAGGATCGCGGACCACATCCAACAGCGTGATGATATTTGGGCCTCCGCACAAGTTCTGCAGAATCTTAATCTCTCTCTTAATCTTCTTCTTCTTTACAGGCTTCAGTACCTTGATCACACACTTCTCATTATTCTTACTATGAGCACCTTCAAATACTTCAGAGTACTTTCCACGTCCAATCTTTCTAACAATCTCATAATCATCTTGTGATCTACACAACAAATATTGAGTTCAGGCAGGTTAATGATCATTGTCCATACATTCATTCAATCATTCACTGTGATACATACCCCCATTCTACATTCAATGCTTCATAGTTCCAGTAATCCTTTGGTTTGTTATAATTGACATCACAATAGATTCTAGCTTTGTTCCTCAATATACGATTCTTATGTCTCTTTGCGTGGCTCATCTTTGTATGTCCACCAACTATATATATATATCTATCACTCTCTTCCTCTCTGTCTCTGTCTCACTGTGTGTCTTCCAAATATATATATATATGAATACTTATAAGTTGTGTGTTTGTGTGTTTATGTGTTTGAAGAAAAATTGAAATGAATGATTGATTGAAACAAACACAGACTCACAAGGTTGTTTGATTCACAGCAACCCTCACCACAATTCACACACTAATTATCTTTTTATTCAACCAATCCCACCCTTTCAATTCACTTCCCTCCATTTTTTCAACTTTATTCATTCCCTGGGTTGTGTTATTTGTAGAGACAGAGAGATAAAGAGAATGTATGAAGAGATAATGTAAGTATGAGTGAGGGTGAGAGAGAGATAATAATGATTTACAAAGTACAAGATTGATGATTCATCAATATTTAGATTTGAATGATGATAGACGACCACGTCAACAATCAATCATCATTACATACTACTTTTACTAAAAGAGAATCGTTTTCTCAATGCCTAAAGCAAAGCCAACCCAAGGGTAAATCACACAATGACAATCAATTGGATTGTACAATTGTAATTGCTGTTTCGGGTATTGAAAGCTCGAAAAAAACACTGATCCACCATGCATGTAACCCTGATGTTATCGATGATGATGATTGGGTATGGATCGACCCGAACTTATAAAAAAAAAGGTCAATGCTCTATTCTAAATAATGATAATATATACCCAGGCATAGTATCTATCACATTTAATCTCCATCTTCATCATTGATTGCCTGTTTCGGACTCAAACACCCACACTTTGTCACGCATAAGCCGAAACAAGCTGTTGAACGATCACCAAATTCATGCGATAGACCCCGACGAGTGTGAGTTGAGAGCAAATCAAGTTGGATATTGCAATATAAGTGTGTGAATGAGGTGAGGTCATCACCAAGTTAGTCCAACTATTGGACCACCCACAGCTATTCATTAACTCAATATCATCCATTCAATCATTCAATCATTCATTCTCTTTGCGATTACTTCATTTATACATATACATACTTTTAATACTTATACATTACTGATTGATTCATTCATTCAATCAATCATTATACAGTAACATCAAAGATGGGAAGGAACTATATCTTTGAGGATATAGAGTTCTATGATTATATTAATGATTGTGTTCCATACTTTATTGGATTCTTCCTCTTGGAGAACTTACTTTCAATCATTCTAAAGAAGAAAGACCTTTATTTGTTCAAGGATTCATTCTCAAGGTATGTTTGAACATGGAACATGAACATGGAGACATGGACATGGATACTGACAAAACTGATCAATCAATCACATTTAACTAGTTTGTCAACAGGATTGTCAACTATCATTTGGGAAAAGATTGTACCAAGTACATTCTTGGCCTCGATCGAGTTCGTCATTGTGTTGTACATTTGGAGATATCATAGATTGATTGACATTGCAGAGGACAACAAGATTGCTTCAATAATATGTTTCCTAAGCGTTGACTTTGGTTATTATTGTAAGTCCCTTCCATCATCAATCCCTTCCACACTACATCTCCAGACTACTTACCATTCAATCAATCAATCAATGAATCAATCTTTAGGGTTCCATAGACTTGCTCATGAAGTGAACTACATGTGGGCAACACATGTTACTCATCATTCCAGTGAGAAATACGTATGTTTAGTCAAGTCCAGACTGAGGTCACACTGATGACAATCATGGCTAACATCTTTCCAACATACTTTCATAGAACTTGACAACCGCTCTAAGACAGAGTGTCTTCCAAATATACACAAGCTGGGTGTTCTACTTACCGTTGGGCCTGTTCATTCCACCTCAAATGTACATGTTCCACAAGCAGTTTAACACTATCTATCAGTACTGGATTCATACCAAGTACATTGGTAAGCTTGGACCATTGGAGTGGATTATCAACACTCCATCGCATCACCGTGTGCACCATGCCAGGAACCCAAGATACATCGACAGGAACTACGCCGGCACCCTCATCATCTGGGACCGCATGTTTGGCACATTCATCGAGGAAGAGGAGGAGGTCTTCTACGGTCTCGTCCATCCACTGGGCAGCCACGACCCAACCTGGTGCCAGATTCACCACTGGTACGAGATGTACCAGCAGGCCAAGCAGTACCCCGCATGGGGCGACAAGATCCGCGTATACCTCAATGGCCCCGGCTGGCATCCAGGCACCGCCCGTCTGGGTGACGTCAATGAGATCCCAATGCCAACCAAGGAGGACATCCCCGAGCGTCTGGGACAGCCACTGCCTGCCCTGCTCAACAGCTACGTGTTTGTGCACTTCATGCTGATCTCCATCGCCAGTTTGGCCGTGCTGGCCATCTACGAGCACTCGCTCGGCTACTACAAGACAGGCGCCGTCATGGTGTACCTCTATCTCAGTTTGACATGCTTTGGTGCCATCTTTGACAGGAAGCGATTCGCCATGCTAGCCGAGTTGATCAGGCTGGTGATGTTCATCGGCTGTACATGGGAGATCCAGAGCTCCGTCGTCCAGTACATGAGACTCTTCTACTTTATCTCTGCCGGTTGGATGATTGCCAACAACATCTCATCGTCCACTTTCAAGACGATCAAGAAGGATTAGTTCCCTTGAGCAATATCATCAGATTAAATAATAATATTTAAATTTACATCAGACTGGCTGTGTTATCTAGATGGTGATAAATAGAAGATTTTCATTTGGAATTAAAATTATTAATATTAATATATTTTTTTAATTATTCCAACTTTGAATATGTCCAAATGACTCAACCTACAAACTCTTTAACATAGCCACCTCTCTCCTCATCAACAGCAATAATATGAATAATAATAATACAAGTACAAATACAATGAAGGACATCCAAGATGATTTAGAGTTTGATTATGATTACATTTCTGGAAGCTTAATAGAGAAAGACTTTATTATTATTTCCAAATTGAAGTTGGCCATCATCTTCAAACAGAAGGAAGAGTATAGACTTAAATATGGTGTGTGTATAACTCAGGGGGCCCCCTATCCAACATTACATCGGCTGCGCCGATTCCATTATTTACTTCCAATTACTCTTTTATATTCTTTTATATTTCTTTTGGGGAGTCTAGGGAGGATAATAATAATAATAATAATAATAATAAAGAGTATGTGTCGACTAACTTGGGGAGGATGGGGAGGAGAATGGGGAGGGAATAATAAAAGTGTATCTGTCGCAACTTGGGGAGGGAAGGGAGGGGAATGGGGATAGGGAAATTGGGGAAAAAGAGTATGTGTATCGACATAGGGAGGTTGGGGAGTCAATGGTGGAAACTTTTTAATAATAGAAAGAAATTATTTGATTCTTAAATTTCTTCCACCATCGACTCCCCGACTCCCTGTTTGGACACTGTTACGCTTTTTGGTTGATTTGAGCCTCCCCATCGGTTTAGGTTGTGGTGGAAGTGGTTGAGGAGGAGCTGGTGGTTGTTGTCGACCTATCCACGAATAGAATTTGACATTCTTTGTATCTAAGTTGTCATCATTGACAACACCAAAACTGGTATTGTAAAATCTGGAAAGACGACTAAGCTCCTGAATGGTCAGTCTGGTGAGGGTATTAGAATCTCTATGAAAATATTGGCTGGCAAAAACACAATACCTCTGTGTGAAGAGTTGGGGGAAAACGTTATCAGGGGGAAGATCACCAACCCTGCTCTCCAAACCAGCGCCCACAGCCATGAGCCCTTGGAAATTACCAATGCCAGCGACTTCTTTGAGAAGGGGGACTGGTTGGTCGCCTGGCAATCGTTCACGGTTGAGGGCCCTGACACTCGCGTTATAACTGTAGGTAGACACACCGACAAGCCTTTCAATGTGTTGATTCATCGTGATTTGATTATCTCTGATCTGGTTGACAGTTCCTCGGATCTCGTTCACTGTATCTCTTATCTCTATTGCCCATGCTGGTGCGTTGTTGTTTGCAAAGACTTGCGAGGTGGCTTGTTTATAAAGTCAGCAGGTGATCATTACAAATCAGTTTAGGAGTTACCTTGGTTGATTATATATTTTCTTTTGAGCAGAGAGAGAGTTACTTGATTTGGTGTGTAGCCAGGTGGTTCAGTATGTCTCGATCTCTTTCTTATATTCACTTCTTCATCTACCTCCCTAATTCTGTTGACATGACCTGGTTGTACAACCGGGTTGGGGAATCCTTCTATCTGTACCTCTTCTATCTGTACATCTGCCATTGCGCGCAAAATAAATTTATCTTGTACAATAAACACTCAACAATGTTCAAAAAAATATTAAATAATAATTAATAAAATTTTATCTCCAACAGATATAAGATGACATCAATCAAAAATCACTACCAATCAGACCCAGAGAACGACACAAGCTGGGCTACATTCACAAACAGTTGATGGCCAATCGCCAATATCGCTCAGGTAAGTTCACAAAGGCAGGTGATGCGATCAGTCTGTTCAACCCAGACGAGTATGATGGAGTCCCTCTCGACGACCTCACGATCAAAGGCTTCTACATATTTATCATTCATCCTAACCTCAGAGCAGGCGGCTGTGATGGCAAAGACAATGACTGCTTCTATGATTGCATCAAAGCGGCATATCCAGACAAGGTGACCAAGCACTTCAGCAAGCCATGGATCTTCAAGCGATTCTTCAAACTAGAGCGCGATGCCAAGGTTCCTCTCAAGCTCTGTTCAGAGATCGAGGACAAGCTCAAGATGCGCATCAATGTCAAAGGTGATTATTGCAAGACATCAACCAAACAGTACGTCCGAGTCGTCAATCTCAAACTAACCAAGGAGCACTACACTCTAGACAAGGATGGCGCCTTTGAGCCCAAGGGCATCATCCTCAAGCGATACAACGATGACAGAATACTGCCAGTGGTGGCATACAAATGGGACGATGACAATGAACAGGTTCAGCTCTACGATGGCACGACCCACAGCACGATGAGCAAGGCATCACTCATTGAGGAGCTCAAGAAACAAAAGTTCGAACGGACGGCAAGTGTCGATACATCAAGGTGGAGGCTGCCAAGAAGAGGAAGAGTAAGAAGCCAATCAAGACGCTGGAGGAGACATGGGAGGACTTCATCAAAGACGCCGACGCACTCAAAGAAGGTACTGACGGCGTCATCGACTTGTACTTTACAGGATCAAACATTAACAAAGCCGCCCTCAACATATTCAGCAAATACAACAAGCATGTCATTCCAGATATCATCGAGCAAGAGTAAGCCAAGTGGATATCCAAGGCATCGAATGGACCATTGAGGTTCGCCGACACATACACTGGCCCTCTCTACAAGTACGACGTCTCTGGCATGTACACCGCCATCATGAAGAGCAGCAGCTTCTCAAGAAAGGTGAGTTCCATCAACTGACTGACGAGGAGCTCAGTGCCAAGCCAGGCATCCCCTTTGGCATCTACAGGGCGATCATCAAAGGTGAGCACAGAGCATTCAGACCCAACGCGGACAACTATTATACTCACTACGACCTCACCCTTATGCAGGAGCTAGGACTCACATTCAACCTGATCAACGACAACAAGCACAATGCCCTTYCTCTACCCAACAGGCAGAGTCAATGGCAACATGCTCTTCGGCAAGTTCATCGATCAGGTGCTGGACTGGAAGAAAGCAGATGTGCCACGTGCCAAGGAGCTCTATCAACGTCTCTGGGGCGCCCTCTCCAAGTACAACAAGTCCAAAGAGTATGTCAACATCAAGGCAGAGAAGAATGTTGTCGTCGACAAGGAGCTCGGCATCACTGACATTTACTTCAAGGCCAGTCTGCCAGAGAATCACTCGATCGACGCTATGAACATCACGCACAATGGCAATGTCATGGTCAAGTCAATCAACAACCTCGACACGTTCGACACGCCCTTCGCTCGCATCATGCCATTCATCATCTCACGTGGTCGCAAGATGATTGGAACGATAATAAAGGACGACATTGACTGTATCAAGCGCGTGCACACCGATGGATTCGTCTCGACCAAACCATGGAAGGAGAAGAGAGGCAAGAAGTCACTCGATTACCCCAAGATTGGCGAAGAGTGCGGCGACCTGAAATACGAAGGCTACTGCCCCAATGCCATCGTCAACAACATGCTCAAGCCAGTTGGGGAGTTTAAAATATAGATTACTGGATATGGAAGAGCTGATCAGACGATATGGGAGGGACCCTATGGCAATCGGACACTACCCCCGGGATATCAAACATATAATGAAGAGAGTGATGAAGGAGCCAGGGTTCGAAGAGTTGAAGCACCTGCTTTTCAAGATACACGAAGAGAAGGAGGACTGGAAGAAGCTCTACCTATTTGCTCTGGAACAAAAGACTACTTTACAGCTACGAATCAATGAGTTAGAGGCCAAGCTCAATAGTCCACAATCGTTTGAGCCAGTGTTTGAGATACCAAGTGGAAATCGTCTGGAACCAGAGCTAGTACCAACCATAGATCTATGACAATATAATCTCTACTTCCATCATTATGGACGCAGCGATGAAGACGCCCTTATCGGCAGCTACAGCGGGACAGGCTCGCCCTGTCCCAATTGACGTAAAGAATACAATCGATAGGAGTGGCAGCAACACCAACAAGTCATATATGCAACAATACTACCAGGAGTTCAAAGAAGAGATCAAGGCCTACAACACAGAGAGGATACCATGCGCGGTCTGTGGCAAGTCGATATCGAGGCACATGATGAGACAACACGAGAGGAGGATGCATTGATAAAACTTGAACACTTTATTGATTGATTGATTGATTGATTGATTGATTGATTGATTGAACAACATTGGTGCTGGAGACAGCGGGATAGACAATGGCCGACTACTTCTTGCCCTTTCCCTTACCCTTGGCAGGTGGCGAGAGGAGTGGTGCCTGGTGCTTGGCCTTGGATGGCTTGGCGGGTGGCTCCTCCTCCGGTTCCTCGACGACCTTGGCCTTGGCAATCTTGGCTGGCTTGGCAGGGGGCTCCTCCTCATCCTCCGACTCGACAGGCTTGACCTTTGAGATCTGAGCAACATTGGAGGGTCCGCCATTGTCATCATCGACCTTGAACTTGACAACCTTGGCCTTGAGTTGTTGACGCTTGGCCATCTCCTTGGCAACCTCCATGTTGATGAGATGTCTCTCCAAGGCCTTCTCGAGAGCGGCATCGTAATGTCTTGCTCGGAACCTCCAATTGTCACCATCGTACAACCCATTTTGTCTTGGTCGTTGACCAAATGGCTTATGGCAACATGCGCACTGTGAGATAGGTTAGTGATGTCCAACGATAATATTGGGGATGATACCTACTTGACCTGGGACCTTGTTCATGTCCACCGAGTCGAAGAAGGCGTTGTTGATCACCACCTCTTTCTTGGCCTGGGATCTGGCGGACTCGATCTTAGCCTTGACGAGAGTTGGAGGAAGATAACTGTCAACATCAATGGCATCAGCACCATCATCAACGTGGCCATCTGAGAGGGAGGATGATCGTTAGTCTCTCCACAACAATGACAACAATATCAATGCTTACAATAGCCTCAGCCGGAACACTCTCGTTGGCGAACTTGTCTGGGGTATGGTGCAACACTCTGAGGTAGTAGGCCTTGGGACTGGGAGCACGGTCAAGGCGACTGGCAGGGACAAGGTCTGGCTTGTTGAGTTCAGCACAGCAGTGTTGAACTGTTTGGATGAAGAGAGAGAAGGACTCTTCGTTGGGAATAGTTGTTGTTGACATTGATATTGATTATTGAGGAGATGGTTGTTGATGTCTGTGATAGACCATGCTGTCTCCTTTTATAGTCATCGTTCTGTCGCATTGCTGTGCCTGTTCATCATCATTCCTAGCTATTGATCAACATGTTTAGACTTATAGCTACGTTCGTTAATGGAGTCGAACGTAAACAATGTTCTTGTCGATGACTTGAAGAGGAGGTGATCAAGAGTGAACACTTGTGATGTTTAGTTGGCGTCGGCGTATCTGTTCTTAATTTGGGGGTGAAGGTTGATCTGACCACCTGTCGTATTCATGGATCGAATAAACGATGGCACATGCACCACCTCTGTCGTACCGGTGATCACCTGTACGATCACCTTTGTAGACCATCCTTCATTATAATGAAGAGAGGATGAAGTTACTTGAGGAAAGGATACAAAAGATTGAATGTCAGGTGATGTTTAAAGATGAAGTTATCAAACTTCTGAACACTGAACGTGATGATAGGATAAAGGAACAAAAGAATATCAAAGAATTAGTGGCTCCCAACCAAGAGGGGAAGAAAGATATCAACAATGTATTCAGTCAATTTATCTTTGAATAAAAATAACAGTGGAAGGTTCAACTACTATAATCCTTCCCTCTTTATTACCAATCTTGACTAGTGTTGTGTGTGTGGACTCATGATGACATTATGACAGGCTTCTTTTCTTCCTTCTCCTCTGTGATCGCAGTTGATGACACTGATAAGTTGTCCAGCTCAGCCAGTAACTGTTCCTCTTCAGTCAGTTCCGCAGCTGACTTAATTGTTGCTGTAGTTGTTATAGTTGTGGTAGTTGTTGTAGTTGTTGGTGATGGTGTTGATTGTACAGGTGATGTTGTTGTTTGTGTTGTGGCCGCTGCCGGTGATGCCGTGGAACTCTGCTCCTTGTTCCACTCCTTCTCCAACTCTTGCAGCTCTTGCTCTAGTTTCTCCTCCTCATCTGGGTCCTGTAATGAAGCGGATGTTGCCGCAAATCCACTCTTGACAGCATCGTCAATCTCCTTCTGATCGAGCATCACCTCTGAGAAGTCGTCCATTATCTTGTCGACCTGGTCCACAGACATTCGCTCATTGACCTTCTTGAGAGTGGCCACACCATCACACAACGACTCCATTATCTGTTGATTGGAATGCGCAGACTCGATGGCCATGAGAATCTCATGAATGTTGTCCGAGTTCTTTTGACGCTTGGCAAGAATGCCTTCCAATGTACGCTTCTTCTTGAGTTGATACAATGCCTGATCCTTCTTCTTGGCACGAATGAGCTTCCTGGCCTCCTCTGCGCACCTCTCAATGTCAGCCTGTACCTTCTCCTCCTGTTGTAACAACATCTCGTATGTGTTTCGAAGTTGTAGCGTGCCCATGTCGGTCTCCAACAACACTGCCTTCTCGCCACTGTTGGCAAACTTGACGCCCTAGAGTAAAGTATGATTAGTCCATCAATGTTCATTCATACCAGCTCGCTCACTCACTGACTCGCACTTACTATTGTCTCATTCTTCTGGACGATTAGGACTGCCTTGCCATCCTTGACCAATCTGTACATGAGCAGGCCTAGCTCATCCTTGGACAGCATCCAATCGGCAACCTGTTTCTCAATGCTGGTGATCGATACAATGTTGTCAATGGGCGATACTATTCTGTCCAGTTGTTGTTGATATAGTTGTTCGGCCATCTCATTGACTAGATCGGCGTATACCAACCTCCTCTCCAACATTGCTTTGTTGCTTGTGTCATTCTTGCGTGGAGAGGTGCCACTACCTGTAGTCATCACCTTTGACAACGACCACTTTAGTGAAGGCAATGCCACTCGGTGCCACAGCCATGCAGTCCACCCCAGCTCTGTTGTATATGTACTCATTGACTGTAAGTCTCCATTCTTCTCTATCTCATCCTGTTTGAATGAATATGATTGATTGAATGAATAGGTTAGCATGTCTTTGATGTGTCTGTTGTCGACTGAACAACATACAATGATAGGTAGTATGGAGATTGGGGATACTCCGCCATCGAACGTGAAGATGTCCTTGAGTTGGGCGGGTGTGAAGATGAGAAGGTTGGACTCGGTTATCACTCGCTTGATGGCATTGGTCCAGAATGTTATCATATTGTTATAACGCTCTGGATTCTGCTCGCGAGTCGATGGCAGTCGACTGAACAATATGATTCTACTCTCATGATCCTGTTGTAATTCCTTTATCGAATTGACTACATCCTTTACTCTCTGTAGCTTTGACATTGAGATTGAAGAAGTAGATGTTGCTGTTGTCGACCTGCTACTACTACTCATTGTTGTACATATATATATTATCTATTTATCTAACTCACTAATGTGTGAACATTGAACAAATGACCACAACTTGACTAGTTCACATTCTTTATCTCTTCATTCACTCGCGACAACACACACGACTACATTTATGGGATACACTTGTGTATCCTTCAATCAATCAATCAGTCTGGACACTAGAGTAAGCAGTAATGTTGATAAGATATATTCTAATGGCATGTGCCACATCTGTGATCATTTAAATAATAACTTAAAGAGGAGGGAAAGAGGTGGAGAGGAAGAGGAAGGAGGAGGGAGGAGGAGGGGCGAGGGTTGGGGCGAGGGTTGGTTGGTTGGATGGCAAAGTATAAATGACGCCAGTTTGTCATGTTGTTGTTTGAATCGGTCTTCCATTAGTTTGTTGCGAGAGTGCTGTTGTTGTAGTTAGTTGACTATATTGTTGTTGTTGTTTTTGTTGATATTGTTGTTGTTATTGTTGCTGATGCTGCTATGTTTGGTGCGAATAGTTGGAGAATAAAAGGCAGTGACACACGGATGGTAGTGTACTGCGGTGGTTTGGACGATCGGCACAAGTATTTGCCACAAGCTTAGCAACAGCAGAGTCAAGTACCAACAACAGCAGCCACACAACTGTGGCCGCTGTTTTGGTTTTAGATACCAACAGCACCGTGGAAGTACGTGTTCTTAGACTTCTTGACAAACTGTTTCCATTCACCTTTGCCTGTGCGCAGACTGTCCCACTTGGAGCCATCGCCCTTGTCAAAGTGGTAGACGTATTGAACCTGGGACTTGCCTCCAATGAGCCAGATCTTGAAGCCCTCATTGAAGCCAAACACCATCGCCATGCCGTAGCGACCCTCGGTTAGGTCGGGTGACTGTAACTTCTCCATCTTCCAGGCGTAGATGGAGATTCGGTAGAAGTGCGACGTGGTGATCAAGTAGATGAACTCTCTGTTGTCAAAGCAGCATCCCTCTACTCTCTCGCACTCGTTGTCCTTGAATTGGTAGACGATCTCTGAGTTCCTCGCCTCGACATTGAACGCCTCAATGTTGTTGACCAGCGTGTATGGTCCTCTGGAGGTCTTGGTCGTGCCACCAACAATGTAGACGATGCCATCCTTGTAGCAACAGTAGGAGTAGTAGCGGGCACACTTAAGTGTTGCAATGTCTCGCTTGCACTTGCCTGTAAGGATGTCAAACTGGTCAATTCTATCTAATGCATCGTTATTCTGGATGCCTCCAATTAGATAGATGTATCTGCCGCGGTCGAAGCAGCACGCGATACTCGAGCCGCCCTTCTCGATGTGTTCGTGCAAGTCCCACTTGCTGGCCTGGATATTGTATCGTTCGTAGGTGTTGAGGCTGTCATTGCCTCCAAAGACATAGATGTGCGAGCCCACAGAGACGACGGACGACGACGAGCACGCCCTCTTCATCTTGGTTGGGTCGATGGCCATCCACTTGGAGTTCTTGATGTCGTACACCTCGACGTTGGAGAGGTGAGTCGTGCCCTCCATTCCGTCGACCGAGTAGATGTTGTTGATTACATTGTCCTTGACAAACTTGTCCATTGTGAATACGGAGAGCTCAGTCGAGAGGCCATTGACGGCCATGTGGCAACTAGTCTCGATCAACTCTAGCGCCTTCTTATTCTGGTGATAGTTGGGGTCCCACTCCACCGTCTTGTTCTCCAGGATGGGCAGCTCCTCTTGCAAGTCCTTGGCATGCGCAACTATGGCGGGATGTATCTCGACAAGGAGTTGGAGCATGGTGTCGGTGCTGAGGGAGATGGGTTCAGGGACTGCACAGAAGTGCCTGAACAGCTCGGGCATGGTGAACGAATTATCCTTGAAGGTCGTCATGAGATTGCCAACGGTCACGGGCGAGATTGTGGCGTACTCGAGATTGAGTAGTTTGTTGCCAGTGATCGACGCTGGGCTATTGTTCGCCGCTACAACATCAAGGTCATGACCAGTCCAGTCTGCAAAGTAATTGTCATCATTCCGAGGTTCGGCCACTGCGGTCAACTGCAGCTGTTTGTCTTTGGGCGGTGATTGTGATACGATCGAGGCAGAGGTTCGCTCGATGAGGTCCAACAGTGTCTTGTTTATCGACATTACTTTGACAGTCTTGTTCAGCGAGCCGATCAAGGGTTCGCGGTACTTGTGTAGCTCGTCCAGTCTCTTTTTCTCAGTGTCACCGACGCAGCGGTATATCTCCGCAAAGTACTCTCTGATCTGATCCTCGACCCTGGTCGCCTCGTTCACTTTGCCATACAGCATTTTCACCATGTTGAACGACGAGAAGAGATAGTCTGAGACGTACTTGTGGCACGACTTGAGGTCAAGTTTATCGGGAGCGGCCACAGTTGGCGGAGGCGAGTGCGGCGCCACCTTCATCGGTAGTGGCGATGAAGGTGGCGGCAGCTTTGAAAATTTGTGTCCATTGTGATCTTCCAAACATTCTGTACAGATCGGCTGTTTTTCGCATGTTTCGCAGTACCTGAAGAATGGAAGTTGATGCTCTCTACATAAGCTGTTGTTTTCCATAATACTGCGCTCAATATTGTGTTATTATTTATATATTATTTATGTTTGAGACCAAAAACTCTGTAATAAAACGTTGAAGTCACATATAAATAATAAATCGTTACAACTTGAATGTCTAAGTTTAATTGAATAAATGTGTGGTGACACGAGTCATCAATCACAACCTACACACTTCAAATTAGAAAAATTAATAGCAGTTAAATTTTCATATTTTGAATTGATTGGACTTTTGAACTTCAAATGTAGAGTTGCCCATCCATTATTGACTCAATCTCGAAATATTCAAGTTTCCCGAATTAATCAACCAATGGGTTGGGGGCCTGCACCAGGCCAAATATTATCACAAGCTAACCTCGAGATTTATATCTCCTTTGCCTCCTCTGTGCAAGTTGGGATAACACAAGGTTGGAAAGTGAATTTTCAAGTATGAAGAACTTTCAACTTGTGATTGGAACCAAGATCTGGAAGCTGGAGGTGATGAATCATTAAATTCCTTCAGTAAATATTGTCCACATAATTTATCCTGTTCAAAATTCAAGTTTGGAAGCCATGGATATGAACGACAATCCGGATAAAGAATAAATATTTGTTTCTCGAGTTACTCTTGATCTTGAAATCTAAGTTATTTGTGGATGCTCCTGGTTTGTTTGGTAGTAATTAGTATATCCTCCTACATATAAAGTTTGAGAGTATTCGAATGTTGTTCCAGTAACATTTTCTGAATGATAATGAATTATTATGTTAGTAATATTCCAATCTACAATAATTATAATACATTACATCAAATAATAGGGTAAGGTTGTTTGGTCCCAATATTGGGTTGTGTAGTCGGGATCATCCCATCATTGCCTCGCATTGCTTCACACCTCATCGTATTGAATCTCTATTGATATCCACTGAAATTAACTTATATTCTTTGCCTGTTGTGTGTCTGTAACATGTTGTTGTTGTGGTTAGTTGCTAACAACTGTTTATTATCAATTCAAAAGTAAGAGTTAAATAGGGGATGGTTATGTGAAGGTACAATTCTATCCTACGTGATCAACTTGAGGTCCTACGTTGAGCTAATAATAATAATAATAGAGAGTATGAGTCATGTCGTGCACTTTATTATTATATGTTTGTCAAAGATCAAACTTGAACATTCAAGTTTCAATCAACAACCACACACGCTGCAACAAACTAAACACTCTTGGATGTTGTGGCCAAAATGTTGTTGTAAGCCTTGCCCAAACGTTGGATGGCAATGCGTAGTTGTGGCTCCTTGTGACAGAAGATGAAACGGAAAAGACCTGGAACGTCACCGAGCGTGGACTTGCCAGAGTTGACCAACACCTTTGATTGCTTAAACAATTCACACCATACTGGTAACTCGGCATCGAATGTCTGCTCCTTCAGCAATTGTCTAACATCGAGCAACAAATACATTCCAGAGTCCGAATCAATATATGGTATGTTCTGTTCCTTCAACAACTGAAGAGTAAGTGCATAATGCTAATAATGTATTTGTTTGATTGATTGATTATTTGATTGATGGATTGATGGATGAGTAAGTGAATGAGGAATGATTCAATGATTGATTGAGCGATGATGGAGAGGATGCAACTTACAGACTTCAAACGCTTCTGGTTCTCTTGGATAAAGTTACCGAGGAAGGCATCATCGTTGAGGATGTTGGCGAGTACGGATTGAACTGGGTTGCTGCATTGGAAGAAGACGTACTCCTTGTAGAGGTAGCGCAACAGCTGTGCATTCTGGGTGTAGATGTATCCAGCGCGATATCCATTGAGACAGAAGTCCTTGCTGAAGCCCGACACGATATGTATGTCATTGCCAAGCTTGCCATCGAGCAGCTCATAGACACTGACGAATGGTTTTTCGCCAAAGATTGACAGAGCGTAGATCTCATCAGAGATCAGGTGAATGTTGTGCTTGCGACAGAATGCGATGACCTCGTTGAGCTCGTCCGATGAGAACACTGTACCAGTTGGATTGTTTGGACTGCAGAGCACGACGGCCTTGACCGGTGAGCCCTCATCCTTGCCCTTCTGATATGCTCTCTCCAACTCCTCCACGTTAATCTTGAATGCCACCTTGCCCTCAGCGGCGGCAGCAGTGTCTGTTAGTGAGGCTGGGATGACCTTGACGCCAGCTCTGACTCTCGCGTCTGTGTAAGTGAGGTGGGGATGATGGTTAGACAATGTGTTGGCTTGATTGAGTGGCTGCCGACTCATCGTCGCAATAGGCTTACCTGTTACAAAGGCGGGATACATTGGAGATGGGATGATGACAGAGTCACCTTGGTCACAGAGGGCAAAGAAGATACCCTCGAGCAAAGCAGTTGTACCAGCACCAACGCAGAGATGTTGGGTGTTGACAGTGTTGGCAGCACAGTGGAAGACGTACTTCTCAAGCATGTTGGCTATGCCCTTCTTGAAAGGCTCCATGCCTCCAAACATTGCATAGTTGGCCAATGCCTGATTGATGTTTGGGTCGTGCTCCAACTTGGACTGCAACAAGTCGTAACTTAACTTGTTCTCAGCGATCGAGCACAACATATAACCTTCTGGATTATTGATTGGACAGTACATATCCTTGATTGCAGTCCACAATGACATATCCTGAAATTGTTGCAGAGGTGAGCTGCCTGGTGCAGGTGTGATCTCAACGAGAGACCTATTAGATAGTTGACCTTGTGTCGGTTCCATTATATATGTGTGTATATGTAGTATAGGTATATGTTATTACATGTACAAGAGTATGTGAATGTATGAATGAATGTTAGAATGAACGTTAGAATGAAACCAAGGGTTGACCTCACTAAGATATTTGTTCTCAAACTGTTCAAGTCTTGAACAGTCGATGACTACCAATGGGGTTGGTTTCGCGCATTCATAGTCAATTTGCCTCAACAATGTGTTCTCCGACTTTGTCGCAAACCTTTCATTGGGCAACCCATCAATCTCATCTCAGCTTATTTTCAATCTCTAAAGGTCGCCATCGGGTTCATTCAATCTTCTTTTGGCAACAAAAGAGAAATCGTTTGACTTTTTCAAATAAGTATCCTTACCATTATTTATTACAAATACAAACAACTATCAATAAAATACAAATACAAATAGACATCATTCATTCTTTCAACTCAATCAATCAATCAAACAAATCATACTTAACTTCACAGGCTTGAATTGGCCTATGTGGGGAGTGTGAAGTTGACCCATTCACCCACGATGAAGCGAGGCGATGGCCCAAACGAGGGTCCAGTTGTGGGCTGTGTTGTTGGTCCTCTCATTGCCTAAATGGTAGAAAAGTGCGGGACAACACATTTATACTATAAAGAGTAAATACAAGGGTATATAAATATAATGTGGATGTAAGTTGGACATTGGATCAGACTCATGATGCCCACCTGCGCCTCAGAGCCCATCCAATGGCCCTCTCACAGGGTCAATTCATTATTTATACCTACATCTTTCATCACCCAATGAACTAAACAATACAATACAATACAATATTTAAATATAAATACTTACTTATAAATAACTTAAACATATATAAAGATATATAAATAATAATAATAATGGTAAACTTTATGATTTCAGTCGATGCCAGTTCCAACTCGGAGTTGGCTATTAAGGAGATTGCCAATCATCTGTTTGATAAGGAGAAGGATGTTATATTCCTGATCACGATTGCTGAGGATCCAGTCACTTTCCCAAGTTCTGCAATGTCCGCTGTGATCATGACCGAGTCAATGAAGGCCATCGAGAAGCAATGCAAGTCAATCCTGTTACAACGTGCAAGGATTGCCAAACATCTTGGTGTAAGTACCTACCTACCTCACTCAACCATTCAATCATTCAATCAAACATGTTGTTAACATCCAACGAACAGATCCAGAATGTTAGAGCATTGCTTGGACATGGCAATCATGTTGGCGAGGCCATTTGCAAGGCTGCTGCAGAGAAGAAGATTGATTACTTGGTGGTCGGAAGGAGAGGAATGGGTGTAGTCAAGAGGATATTCATCGGAAGCACTTCACGTTACATCCTGGAGCATGCTCCTTGTAATGTGGTTTGCATCAAGGAGACTGAGGAGTTGAAGGAGAAGATCGCCCAAGAGGAGAAGAGGGAGAACCATGAGGAGGTCGAGTCCTACAATGACTTTGAGCGACTGCACCTCCACATCTAATAAAGTTGGATTGATCGATCGGATGCATTGATGATCCAAACCATATCCATTGACTAGTTGTCATTGGCTCGTTACATTACATTACATCATCTTTGTTTATTCCTATTCCTGCTTCTTCGTCATGTTCTTCGATGTCGGTGTCGTTGTCGTTGAAGTTGATGAGGAGGTGATTGATTGAAACATGTATGTTATCTCCAAGAAGAATAGCGTCATTATTTGAAGAGGTATCAGCAAGATGGTCTTGAATGCAGAGATGAGTATTTGGTTCGATGGTATGTCGTACTCCTCTGGCTCCAATGGAGGGTAGACCCATAGGTATCTCGTGCCATTATAAACAATGAATTGAATGACAATACATATTGCAATGTTGATAAACATTAGTCGACGTATTGATGACTTGCTCTGTTGTGGCTGTTGTTGGATGTTGCGCAGTCTCCAAATGATTACAAACAATGTGATCAACTGGCATGCTGTGTGACCTACTGCCAGCGTGCCGCAGAGTATTGAGCAAGACAGTCGCCATGTGTCGTTGTATATATAGCCAGTGGGCACCTTTGTACCCAAGTATTGTTTAAAGATCAGCTCTTGGTCCATCATCATTGACCAACCTATGCAGACTACGCCCACTGCCAGCAACAAGGTGTAGAGTGTTCGCAATGTCAGAGGTTCAACGCCACCACGCTTCAATATAGTCTTGGTAACATAGAAGAACAGTATCAATAACACTATCACAATGTAAAGGAAGGTGTTCTGGTCTTGCATCTTATGTCTGCGTGTTTGTGTGTGTATCTGTACAAGTTGTAGTTGTTGATGTTCAACTAGAATGAATGATTATGTGAGGGTGCCGACTCGTTTTTCATTCATTAGATCATTCAATCAATCAAATCAATTAAGTAATAATAATAAGACTAGTGGAATGTATATACAATATCTTTAAGTGTTTAGTTGTTGGATGTTAATGTAGGTGAATGTAGAGTTGTTGGGATCAAGATAAGTTAGAGTTGGGTCACTGGGACATAGCTGGTCTCAGCATTGTCTGCCCTGTTGTCAAACCATGAGGCATCAGCCTTCTCAAAGGCCTGGGAGCCGGATGATGACGAGTCAATTCTCTTGGAGAGCGAGACATCCTTGGTCAAGGCGGCAGCCTGGCCAAAGCTTCGGCTGGTCTCAATGGTGCCTGAGCTGCTCAACTGCTGTTGGGCAGCGTAGCCCTTGAGCTGCGAGGTGTTGACAAAGAGGATTGGGTTCATGGACTGGCGGTAGTTCAAGACGCAGTGCTCGGCCTTGGTGAAGATGATCTCGGCCTGACCGGCGGACTGGGTGATGTTGACGATTGGCTCGCTCTTGAAGAGGTGCACGATTGGGTCCTGGTGCTGCACCTGGATCTGGGGAATGTCGCTCATGCCAACAGTGATGACTGGCTTGGCTGACTGGATCTTTACCTCGGGCTTGACCTGGTTGATGATGACCTGGGCCTTTGGCTGGTTGACGTGCACGATTGGCTCTCTCTGGACAAACTCCACACGTGGGGCCATCTGGTTAACATCAATGATTGGTGCCTGCTGCTCCAAGAAGATCTTGGGAGTTGGCTGGTTGATGTCCACACGTGCTGGTGGCAACTCAAGGTCAGCAGTTAGGACTCTCTGTTGGATCTCAATCTTTGGAGCATTCTCAACTATACTGATGTGTGGAGCACCTCTCTCCTCAATGTGAATGTACTCCTTTCCTACAATTATTTGGTATATTAGTCAATGAATGAATGAGTACATGTACTTGGTTGTTGGCACACTATCTATGTCTTATAAATGATCATACCTCTCTGTTGGATTGAAATATTCGATTGGTTGTTATCTAAGTAGACACGCTGGGAGGTTGATGGTGCAGCAGCAAACTCCTGGCTGACGATACGCTGGCCAGAGATTGGAGCAGAAGAATATTCCTGGCTGACAACACGCTGGGTAGTGATTGGGGCACCTGCAAACTCCTCCCTGTACACCTTCTCACCCTGCATTCCGGATGACATATCAGATGACACCAGCTTGTTTGTTCCTTGTGACAAGGTAATTGGAGTATCTGAGTCACATATAGGTTAAATCAATGTTAATAAATATCAATATCAATTTGTACTTGATCTATTATTATTATTATTGTCATCTGTTTGTTTGAGACATACCCTTGTCCAACAACACCTTCTTGGTGGTCGTGATTTGCTCTTTCATTGTTGAAGACATGTCTTATTTAATTTAAAGTTATATATATATATATTAGTTATAAATGATTGATTATGTTGAATGAATGAATGTAATGTATGAATTAATAAGTATATACACAAGTTAATATCTCTCTAATATTATTAATGACAACTAACTAGATACTAAAGTCTTTAAAGACAAGACATTGGAAGACCTTAAGAGGACACATTCATTGTAGTCTGCCATGGGTGGGCGTGTGTCGACGTCGAGTTGTCATCCATTCCATTCCATAGATTGTGTGTGAGAGAGGTTGTAGTCCAAGGTAGTCCTTCCTGTCATTGACACACACACGCACTTGGTCTTTCATTCATACCTAGACTCACTCACATACCTTTGTCATGCATGTCATAGTGTTAAGACTAAAGGAACAGACTTAGGCCCAAGTAGAACATTTACAGGATCGTGTCACCTATCACCTACTATATTGGTAGGTTTAGATTCATTGAGAAGATTGATATCACTCACCTTAAAAGGTATTTTACCTATTCAAACATCTTGCTGCGACTTTTGACCTGTTTACCATTCTAGGTAAATATGACCATCTATTCAATACCAACACAGTTGTTGAAATTCGTAGTCTTATCCTCTGTCTATACATCCCATATAATCTGTATGTCTACAAAAGGTAAATGATGAACTATCATATGATATCTTGTGTTTTGTATGTTTGTGAGTGTGAATGGTGGTGAAGAGGTGTGTGTGTTGTGTTGAGATGTAAGAGATATGAGGTGCAAGTGGGGAGGAGACAGTGTGACTACTAATCACCACACACAAACACAGACGAATGTATGTATGTCCTCCACACACACTCATTCATTGCACTCACCACACTCACTTTGACTAAGTCATGGTGCGTATCACTCAATACCTTAATGTCAATTGAATGAGGGATAGTCTGGCAGCCAAATCCTGGGAAGGGTCCAGTCCATGCTTCGTGGATGACTAACCTGGAGGATGTTCCCTTCTTAAGTTTAGTCCTGGACAAGCTACAAAGACACTTCATAATTTATTACACAAACAAACAGTCATACTTATACATATACATACATATATATATTTATATAATAATCTTATATAATATATTATTATTCCTTCATTCACTTCCATCCCATCTCATTCAATATTTAAATTAGTTGTTGTGCAATAATAATAATAATAATAATAAGAATTATTTAAAAGTAAATAACTATGGTACTTCAGAAATCATTATCAACGGAGAAGAAGGTAATCCAACATGATGGAGCTCATTATGACTTCACCATTAAGGAGAAGCCAGCGTTCATTACTTTGAACCAGCCTCAGGTGCAGCTTGAGATTCAGGAGCAGGCCCGCCAGATCAATGTGGAGCGTTCAGCTCCAACCATTAACATTGGACGTGCTTCGGATATCATCAACGTCATGGAGGAGCCAGCCAACATTCACGTGCTCCCAGCCGCTTCCGAGGTGTACGTCGATGGTGGAGAGGTCAAGGTCGAGGTCGAGCAGAAGGCTCCAGAGATCGAGGTCGAGCAGTTCATGCCCAAGATCTACTTGAAGATGCCACCCATCAAGGTGTACTTGGAGATGGACGGTGCACCAGAGATCATGATGGACTACATTCAACCAAATATCAAGGTTATCCAGTCAGACCCAATCATCCGTTTCGTGAGACCAGAGCCAAAGGTCTCCCTCACACAGCCACCACCCAAGCTCTCTGTGTCCCAAGCACCATCCAGAGTGGAGGTACTCCCATCATCAAAGGCTGCTGTAAGTAATACACATAATACTATCAATCTTTCATATATTGATACTAACAAACATATATATTACTCATACTTAGATCCAAGTCAAGGAGGCACCACCCCAGATCTCATGGAGCAACCCAGAGCCAACCATGAGATACCTGTCAACCGACAAGGGTACCATTTCATACGACCAAGCTGCACCAGAGTTGGCCTTCAGCAATGCCCACCCATCAGTGTCAGTTAGCCAAGCTGAGGCACAAGTACGTGTCAGCCATGAGGTGCCACAGGTGCACATCACACCAGTGGAGCCAACTGTCAACATCAGCGCATCCGCCCCCAAGATCGATGTCCAGCGTCACCCAGTGTCTGTGTCTGTCATCGAGCCATCCACCACTGTCACATTCGGTTCAGCTGCCGTTCGTCAAGAGTCAACAATGGCCAAGGAGACCATCGTAGAGCAGGTCGTCCACAGACCAACAACCATTGTCCGTGAGGCCGTTGTCTCGCAGCCAACCACCATCGTGCGTGAGGTCGTCCAGAAGCCAATTGCCACCACCATGGTACAAGACTCAATGTTGTCCACCGGTTCATACTGGAACCAGTTCACCACCACCATCCTTGACACTGACCAGTTCTTGACCAGACAGGGAGCCGCCCGCAACACCTTCACCGTGCTCGATGGAAGTGAACAATCATTGATCGAGGCCTTCAAGGAGGAGAAGGGCACCCACCAGTTCAACCTGCTCCTAAGAAATAACGCCGGAGAGAGCTTGATGAAGGGAGAGGCACAAGGAAGAGTGATGAGACTGTGGGACTCCAACAAGGCCCAGCTTGGATACATCGAGTGCAGCAAGGAGCAAGTGGATGCCTTCAATGACCAAGGAGTCAAGCAGTACTCATTCATCCCAAGCGCCCAGAGATGGAGATTCGACATCAAGGACGCCCTGGGTGCCAAGATCGGTTCGCTCAACAGACCAAGCAAGACCTCTGGCTATGACCTGCAGTTCAACAAGACCTTGAAGCCCGAGAACAAGATGCTGCTCCTGTCTTCATTGTTCTTGATTGACAACGTGTTTGACTAAACAATGGTTAGTCCATTCATTCAAACATTGTTGAGCAACAACAACAACAACCAACAACAACTATTCCTCCATCAAGATAACTCACACACATATACATATTAACTTTATAAGCTCAATAAACAACTTAATTGTACATACTCATTCATTTCGTTCATTCGTTCGAACACTGTTGCTTCTGTAGAGACGAGTCCCAGGTGGGGCTGTTGAGAGTGGGAAGACATTGATGCCCAAGATAGGAGCCCTGATGACCATCATAATGATCATAAATGAAGATGGGCGTGCAAACAACAAACAAACCAATCATTATTTACACATATAAAGATGTCGACATCGATCTGAGAACAATCTAGATTTGGATCATCGTCAACCGACAAGATGTTACAGGGGGATCGAAATACGAGATCGATCTTTTGCAAAACACTTTGACACAACACACCGATCCCCCCCATTGTTTTGTCAGACTCAGAGTTGTTGGGCTTGGATGGGGGTTGGGCTTTACTTAGGCCCACGCCCATCCTACTCGTTCATCCTTACTTCCACTCCTACCCGTTCTGTTACTCTCTGCATTGTGAGACAGAACATAGAGGGAATGAATGGAAGTTGCCACTGTCACCAATATTAATGTGTTAATAAATTTTGATAGATCTCACTCATCGGCATTTCATGGTCTAGACTGGCTGGAGCTCTGGTCAATCAATCATTCATATGACCATCGTCATCCTTCCATCCTTCCTTCATTACTAGTTTGTTTCATACCGATATATATTATTATTGTTGTGTGAACACATACATATAATAATATTGTTTGATTATTATTTGTATTAGTATATATAAATTAATATTAATATAAATATATATATATTCTTTGTTGTAGTAGTACTCCAACAACATCATTTACACAATCACAATCAATCAAAGTATGTTGTGGTGTTGTGTTAACTCCGAAGATTGTTTGGATCTTTGGACTCGCGGACATGAATGTCCCCCCCATCATCGCGACTCAAACCCTAACCCTCAAACCTCTTCCAATCCTACCATCACATTCAAGGTATACATAGACATAAGTTGTTGTTATTGTTGTAATATATATATAATAGATAGAAAGATAAGATAGATAAATAAGAATATAGAAATGGATGTAATATATGGAAATAAGATGGATGAATCCTTCGAGGAGGTGGAGGACATGATCACATTGTCCAACCTCACAGAGAATTCATTGCTGAGGAACATTAAGAGTCGCTATGGCAAGCGTCTAATCTACACATATACGGGCTCGATCTTGGTCGCCGTCAACCCTTACGAAATCCTGCCCATTTACACGCCGGACATTGTCAAGTCCTACTTCAACAAGCAGCGCGGCTCACTGCCCCCACACATCTTTGCCATTGCCGATGCCGCCTACTCCAGCATGTTTGAGGACAGGAAGAACCAGTCCATCATCATCAGTGGTGAGTCGGGTGCCGGCAAGACCGAGTCGACCAAGCTCATCATCCAATATCTTGCCGCACGTACCAACAAGCACAGTCAAGTCGAGCAGATGATTGTCGAGTCGTCGCCAATCCTTGAGGCCTTTGGTAATGCCAAGACTGTTAGAAATAACAATTCATCAAGATTTGTATGTATAATGATGTAGCCATTAAATGGCGACCACCTGTTACCACTCGCCACCCATGAGTGGCAATATGGAAACACGGCAACAGACTTGCTAACATGTATCCTCTTCTCATATTATAGGGAAAGTTCATCGAGATCCAATTTAACACCGATGGATACATCTGTGGAGCTCGAATTATCAACTGTAAGTTTGATTGATCAATCATGATATGGAACCATTCCATCCCTACCCCACAAACTCACACCATCACTCAATCACTCGATCAATCAATCAATTTCTAGACCTTCTCGAGAAGTCCAGAATTGCAGTCCAGGCCAAGTCCGAGAGGAACTATCATATATTCTACCAACTGTTGGCTGGTGCATCAGAGGAGCTAAAGAGCAAGCTGTGCCTTGGCACCGCCGAGCAGTATCAGTATCTCAACCAGAGTGGCTGTATCCAGATCGACAGGGTCAACGACGCCGAGGACTACGAACATGTGCGCTATGCCATGAACGTGCTTGGCATGCCAGAGGACATCCAGAACACCATCTTCACCGTCCTGGCCGCCATACTTCACATTGGTAATCTCCAATTCGCCAAGTATGAGAAGACCCCTGGCGCTGAAGGTTCACGTGTTACCAACCAAGATAGTGTGTATCTATTGACCATCCCTCACATTCATTCTTACTCACTCATTCATACCCACCGACCATCACATTAGCCCTCAAGATTGTAGCCAACTTACTTCAACTTGAACCGGCCAAGCTTGAGACATCTCTCACTATTCGCCACGTGCTCATCAAGGGTCAGAAGTTTGTAATTCCACTGAAGGTCAATGAGGCTGAGGACACTAGAGACTCATTCTCAAAGGCCCTCTACGGCAATGTGTTTGACTGGTTGGTGACATTCATCAACTCACGTATCCMACAAGCCACAGGCCAACACAACCTTTATCGGTGTGCTCGATATCTTTGGCTTTGAGAACTTTGCCAAGAACAGTTTCGAACAGTTCTGGTATGTATTCGTGATCACCTGATTGATTCGGTGCACTAAAGACGAATCTGATCATTCACACACTAACACACATGATCGTGATCAATCATTCATTCAATCAAATAATAATAGCATTAACTTTGCCAATGAGAAGCTACAACAACACTTCAATCAACATATATTCAAGCTCGAGCAGGAGGAGTATGAGAAGTATGTATACTTACAATGATGTGACCACACTCGTATCCATTAGACAGTCGACTAACTTCCAACTTCCAACATTATAAAGGGAGAAGATCAACTGGTCAAAGATAACATACAATGACAATCAAGAGTGTCTTGACTTGATTGAGAAGCGTCCACTTGGTATCTTGTCGTTGTTGGATGAGGAGTGTCGTTTCCCTCAGGCATCCGACACCACTCTGCTCGAGAAGCTGCATGCCAACCATGAGAAGCACACATACTACGAGAAGCCAAAGCTGTCCAAGACAACATTCGTCGTGAAGCATTACGCTGGTGAGGTCAGCTACATCACCCAGGGCTTCCTCGACAAGAACAAGGACACCCTGGCCGACGATTTGCTGATCATGCTACAGACATGCAAGAACAAGTTCCTCGTTCAACTGTTCACACCCAAGGACCAGTCGGGCGACGACGAGGGCGACAAGGGTGGCAGCACCAACACGATGAAGAAGAAGACGACAGCTGGTGGTCAGTTCAAGACACAGCTGCAGTCGCTCGTCAACATTCTCTCATCGACCTCGCCTCACTACGTGCGTTGCATCAAGCCCAACTCAGTCAAAGAGCCACTGACCTTTGACGACGACCTCGTCCAGGCACAGCTGCGATACGCAGGAATGATGGAGACTATTAGGATCCGTAAAACAGGTTACCCTATCCGTCACACACTCAAGGAGTTCCGCGATCGCTACCTGTTGCTAAGCCCAGGCGCACTCAACCCCGACCACAAGACCACATGCGCCAGCCTCATCAAGCGCGTGACTGCCCAGGAGTATCCAGGCATTGACCCAACTGAGTGGCAGCTCGGTGTCACCAAGGTGTTCATCCGTGATCCCCAGTTCCGCAAGCTCGAGGAGTACCGCAAGGTCAAGCTGATCAAGCATGTGTTGCTCATCCAGGCCACCTACCGTATGCATCGTCTGCGTCGCCGCTTCCTCGAGGTGCGCGCCGCCTCCGTGTTCTTACAGACTTTGGTTCGTGCAACAAACGCACGCAGAGAGCTGGTCGAGCAGCAGCGCGCCGCCACCGTCATCCAGAGTCTGTGGAAGATGGTCAAGGTGCGTCGCGAGTACCTCCAGACCCGTGCCAACATCACCAAGGTACAGACATGTGTGCGCGCATTCCTTGCACGCAAGAGAACCGCCGAGCTGGTGCAAATGCAGCGCGAGCGTGTCAAGCGTCTGGCCGAGATTCAGGCCGCCGAGAAGAATGCCGCAGAGAAGGCCAAGATGGAGGCAGTCGAGCGCGAGAAGAACGCTCGCGAGGATGCCTCTCGCCAAGAGCAGGAGCACAAGCGTATGGCTGCAGAGAAGACTGCCAAGGAGCAGGCCGAGACCGCACGTCGCGAGGAAGAGGCCACCAAGAAGACACAGGCACAGAAGGCGCAGTTGGCCGAGCTTAGACAGCTGGACGACATCTCCAGTCTGCAGAGCCAGCTGCAGGAGCAGCAAAAGAACAACATTCAGGACATGGACAATATGGTCTACTCGATGGATTCCTTCTCATTCGAGGGAGGCGTCGGTGCCGACGAAGCCATGCCCTACTCATACAACTCCAAGATGTACGAGATGGAGCAAGAGTCGCTCGAGCAGATCTCGCTCACCGATCTCCTGCAAGGACTCAAGCAGACCATCAAGACTGTCACCAAGATCGAGGTCGACGACGAGAAGTTCGCACTGCCACCCGGCATTGAGAACGTGCTCAAGCGTCTTCCACCACCCGTACCAAGCACATCCAAGCGCCCCGTCCCCGCACGTCCAGACTCCAGTCTCCCACTGCCACCTCCACCACCTACTGGCGAGTCGCCAGTATTGCTTGGAATGCCACCTCCTCCACCCGCATTCGATCTGCCACTGCCACCACCACCTCCAGCTTCGGCCTACGGCAACCTGCCCCCACCTCCCCCACCAATGCTCTCAATGTTTGGCGAGTTCCCTCCACCTCCACCTCCACCCGAGTCTGTCTACGGTCAGATTCCAGTCATTCCCAAGCGCCCAACCACTGGTCCAGCCGCCCTCGCTTCATCAGCATCATCTGGCGCTGGCGCATCGGTTGCTGGCGGCGCAGCATCGGGCAAGTCGAGCACAGCTGCTACCAACGCGAACATTAGACCATTGATCACAGACGAGGAGATCTCATTGTACTCATTCTACGACTATGCCAACAAGCACTTTGCGACTGACAAGCATCAGAAGCAGAAGGAGAATATCTTCTCATACCAGCGCTCGCAGATCAAGTCATCACTGCTTGCTCTCGAGACCTCTGAGCACATCAAGGTGGCTGTCGAGGTGTTTGCACGCATTAACACATACATCCACGCAAAGAAGAACGAGTCGGCATCAGCTGAGCACCAGTTTGGCCCAGTCAAGTACGTACTGGCCAAGGGTCTGGCCACCGAGCAGCTTCGCGACGAGATCTACTGCCAGCTCATCAAGCAATCGACCAACGCACCCTCACTCGAGGCCCGTCTTCGCGTGTGGGAGCTGATCCACTACACTTGCGCCACATTCTCGCCATCGCGTCGTCTCATCAAGTACTGCGCATCATACATCAAGAACACTGCCAACACTGAGGTCGCCGCCAAGTCGGTCAAGGACACCGCACAGGCATCCTACAACCTCTTGCAACGCTTTGCCAACATCCAAGGCAACGCGTCGCGTAAGATGGTCCCATCGATGGCCGAGCTCGAATCACTACGCGAGCTCCGCCCAATCTTTGTTAGGATATCAATGATGGATGGCAGCTTCAAGGGCTACTACGTAGACTCAGCCACCACCTGCACTGAGGCCTCCAACGAGTTGGCCGCACGTGCACATCTCAGCGACAATGGCTGCTCTGCCAACGGATTCTCGATCATCGAGTCGATCAATGGTATTGAGCGCGACCTGGCTGCCGACGACAAGATCTCGGACATCCTGGCTCGTGTCGAGTCACTCCAAGCGACCATGAGTGCTAAGCTCACCATCAACTTCAAGATCCTCTTCAAGAAGCGTCTCTTCCTCAAGAACGAGGAGGCCGCCAGCGAGCTGGAGCGCGAACTCACCCTGCTCCAAGTGTACTCAGACCTTATGAATGGCCACTTTGTCGACGGCAACACTGACTTCTTGCTGTCGATTGGTGCCATGCGCCTCCAGATGGACTCTGGTGACTTCTCTGATGACACCAAGGCATGGTTGCGCGGCAACGGTCGTGGCAAGTACTTCAACACTGCCATTGAGAAGGGTCACATGGACCAGTTCATTTCCAAGTACACGGCTCTGAGTGGCACCAGCCAAGAGGACGCCAAGCGTCGTCTACACGATCTGGTGTTCGCCCACCCCCTCGCTGCCAAGTCACTCTTCCTGTGCGAGCAAACTGGCCACTCAGACGTGCCCAAGGCCTTCATCTTCTCGCTTACCATCGCGGGCATTGAGTTGTATGACCGCGCCACCGCAAAGATCTGCGGCGCACCAATTCGCTATGCCAGCGTCCCCGCCAACAATCTGGTGGCCGGCTCCAACAACAAGACATTCTCGATGCCCATGCCTACTGGCGCACCACTTGAGGTGCACTGCGCTGACGCAGCCAGGATCATCGCCTTGATCAAGGACTATGCCCTGCTTCTGCGCACCAATGCCAAGTTTGCACGTGCCCTTCGCGACTACACTGTCAACGACGACACTCTGCTTAGCTTCAAGCGCGGTGATGTCATCACCATCACTACCAAGGATCACGAGAACAAGTGGTACATTGGAACACTCAATGGCAAGGAGGGATCATTCCCAGTGGACTACGTCGAGATCCTTTTGACCGACTCACTGCAGTCGGCTGCCAACTCGGCATATTCCTCACCCGCTGTCGCCTCGCCAGTTGTGTCGGCTGCCGCATCGGCCTCACCCGCCACTGCCAGCCCACCAATCGCCCCAAGACGTCCAGTCAGCGGCACCGCAGCCCCACCATCAATCCCACCAAGGACTCTGCCAACGCCACCAGTCACACCACCCGCAACTCCAGTCATCCCGCCAAGGAACCTGCCAACTCCACCACCACCACGTGTCGCCTCTATGCCACCTCCTCCCCCACAGGAGACATCGATGCCACCTCCACCACCACCACCAACCATTCCCTCGCCCCCAGAGCTCGGTACTCCACCACCAATGCTCCAGACTCCGCCACCACCAATGAACCTGGCACCTCCACCCTTGCTCTCAACACCAACCCTGTCGTCTGCAAACTTGGTCGCCACCCCATCTGCCAGCGCCAGCGAGCAGACAGCTTCATCAGCCTCAGAGGAATCACGTCTCTCTGCCCGTCTTTCAAACAACAGCAACCCAGACAGCAACGACTCGTCGTTCAATGGTTGGGCACAGCAGAGATACAGGTCGTTCCGTCGCAGCGTCACCAACAGCACCATCTCCAAGAAGAAGACTGTTGCCGACCCCAGCTCTGTATACTACTTCACAAAGGACCCAATCAAGGAGTCGTTGATGGAGCTCGAGTCCAAGCTGTCCAAGAAGGCCGTCAGCGTGTTCCAACAGGTGATGTCCTACATGGGCGACTATCCAATGCACAAGGCTTCAATGTCATCCCTTGCCCAAGAGGTAGTGGAGGCTGGAGTCCAGGCTGTTGAGTTGCGTGATGAGCTCTACTGCCAGGTCTACCGTCAGACCAACAAGAACCCCAAGCCCGAGAGCATCAAGCGCGGTTTCGAGCTGATGTACTGCATGTCCAATGCGTACGGCCCAACCGACTCGCTCAAGGCTTCGTTCGTCGACCAGCTGATGGCTCGCCACATCGAGGCACAGTCCAACGAGAACCACGCACTCGCACTCCTAATCCACTCAATCATCGATCGTCTTGAGAACCCCGCCTCCAACGGCCGTAAGCACGGACCATCCACCACAGAGATCAACGACCTCCAGCGTCCATACGAGATCGCCACATGCAAGGTTCGCTCAGTCACTCAGCAGATGCTGGCCATCAAGGTGGACAGCCACACCAACGCCAAGGACATGGCTGCCGAGGCACTGACCCAGTTTGGAATCACCCAGTCAATGGCCCGCAACTTTGGCCTGTTCCAGGTCAACGACGTCATTGGCATCTGCCGTCCACTGGGCGATGCCGACATATTGTACGACGTGATGTCATCATGGGAGCAGATGGCCGAGAGCGACAAGCGTATCGACGACCAGGACTTCTACTTCCAGATTCGTCGCAAGTACTACCTGGACGACGTCAGCAAGATCATGGAGCAAGAGCACATGTGGACTGGCGACGAGACCGCATTCGAGTTCACATTCGCTCAGGTTCGCGAGGAGTGGATGCGTGGCATCTACATGATCGACGAGAAGGACACATCGTACGCCGCCGCCATCCTCATCCAGATTGCCTATCCAAATCAATCAAAGTTGCAGATCGCCAACAAGGAGCTACTGCGCTCGGTGATCCCTGACTCTTTGTTCCAAGGCCAGAACATCAAGTACTGGTCGTCCAACATTGAGGCACATATCTTTGAGCTGGTGTCCAACACATCGGACGATCTCAAGCTGCTGTTCATCAAGCAGATGGGCAAGAGCGAGTTGTTTGGCTGCACATTGTTCCACGTGCACCAGCGCGACAACCCACCCAAGGCCATCCTGGCCATTGGTCGCAAGGGTATCGCTGTGTTTGACGCCTCGTCGCCCAAGGACGTCAAGGTGTTCTACACATTCCAGAGCATCTCCAACTGGGCATTCACTGACAATGCCTTTGTCATCACCACTGGCAACCTAATGAAGCCTGTCAAGAACTCGTTCCAGACCACCGAGTACTCTGCCATCAGCTCAGTTTACCAGTTCTATTCAAACTAGTTCAGTTGTAATAATAAATAACAAACAATATAGAAATACACCGGCTTTGCGGTCTAGACTTTGGAAGACTAAAGTTGTCGCCCGATACCTTCCTTACCAGTCTTTGATTGACGGGCCACCTGGTAAGGATGTTGTTAGTAGATTGCGATGCTTAGCCTTCCAATTTACAAAGTTGTAATTTGCCCTAAGGAGAAGAGAATCATTTTTGGAAAGTTCCCACCCATGTTGATGTGACTGATGATGTCTCGTCCTTGGTCTCTGTGGTAAGACAAAAATGATATCATCAATTTCCAAAATACCAAGGAAGGTGGCCCGTCAATCAAAGACTGAACGAAAGTCTCTATGGCCGGCTTTATTGCATTTTGGATAGATTGGTTGGGCGGATTCTTCGTCCAGACTTTGTAGGATGACCAAGTCACGATAAATATATTAACCAAAGTCTTTGGTTTAAAATCATTCATTACATCAATAATTAATTATTTATATGAACCATGAGTGATACAACTACTTTAGTTTCTGTTACCTTGATCCCAATCAACTTCTGTTGGGATGCCCTCAGTGTCAAGGATCCAATCGAAGTCATCGGAAAACTTTGAACCAGACAGGGAGGATGTTGGTAACATGGTCTGTTCCATCAGGTAAGTTGTCAAAACTCATTGATCAAACTTCAATCAATCAATTAAATTAATATTATTCAATCTATAAATTAAACAATTAGTAAATGTATTCCAGTTGCTGGACCATTCAGAGTATCTTCACGATGTTCTGGAGACATGATATCCCTGGTGAGGCCGCTGCCACCAAGGATGACTTTGAGAAGAGGTTGAAGGAGTTCAAGGAGGAGAGTATCAATTTGATTGATGAGATGATCAAGGACAGTGAGTTCAAGCAGATGGGTGAGAAGATCAATGAGAGTGAGATCAAACAGTGGATCGAGACCTCAACTCAAGGGTTTTGGAACCTTTGTCGAGGAGTTCCGTGAATCCGTTGCACTTTGGAAGAAGATGCTCATGGAGAAGCAGGAATTGGACACGGTCTTCATCACCAAGTTTCATGAGAGCATCAAGGAGTTGTGTCACTACTGCAAGCAGATGATGGCATTTGCTGGACATCCAAACTAAGTCAAATCGGTCTACAAGTACTATGTCCAAGCCACCCTCCTCTACCAAATGACAATGATTAACACTGATGTATGTGTCTATCACATTCTTTGACTCAATCAATCAATCAATCAATCAATCAATCAATCAATCAATCAATCAATCAATCAATCCTAACTCACTCGCTCAAACAATTAATCAATAGGCCTACTGGTATCAGATGAAGTTTGATCAAGTGAACGTCCTTGGAAAGCCTGGTGATGATGTTGTTGGTCCAGTCTACTCATTCAGAGAGATGATGAACAAACATACTGTGGAGCATCTCGCCACAATGGCCAAATCATGGACCTTTTTTGACAAACACCTTGAGAAGCAAACAAATGGTGTTGAGAATGCCTACCTGATTCTCAACAGTGATCTCACCTTCTATCCCATCCTCTGATCATTGGCAATCACCCACAGCCACCCTTCGCCAGCGGTCCTCTCGGCGATATTAATATCAGGTACCCAATCCCTGAGATCACTTTGCCCGACCACCCATACCCCTACATTTACCGTGTGGACGCCGCTGCCTTCAGACCAGAACCCAGGATTGAGAACATTCGCGGAAACCGTATCGTTCTCCCAAAGGAGCCCATCTCTCAGTGTATAGGCTCGTTATACTTCTACAACCCACCGATATGCATCAAGATCTCTCGTCCACGAAAGGTTCGCGTACGTATCTTTGGTCACTACCACCAAGATATAGGCACGGTCAAGATTCTCACTGATGATCACACTTATCGAGTCGATCCAGTGCAGCAGGCCGTCGGTACGATGCCTAGATTTATTGGTGGCATAATCTATTCAAACCTCCAGACCAAATATAGAAGTGGTTACACTCAGTCCGAGAAGTTCACGCTAGAGGATTCAACCGACATCTGTCTTGAAACTACGATTGGTTCAGAATCATTTGGCGATCATACTCCAAACGAAGTTAAGCTTCAGAACTCTAGAGTACTCTTTGTCGAGTTCATCGTTTCTGATATCTAAATATTCAATATAAGAATCAATCATTCTATCATTTATTCATTCAAAATTCATAATAAAGAGACCAATCAATAGGTCAAAGTAGAGGGCATGGATCCTTATCTACCGCACCGTTCTCCCAAAGGAGTCCGTCTCTCAGTGTGTTGGCGCTTTATACTACCAAGCCCCTTCGATCATCATCAAGATGGCGAGATCACGCAAGGTGCGCGTACGTATCTTTGGACACTACTACAATGAGGTGGATAAGGTCAGGATTCAAGTTGGTGGCAAATACTTCCAAGTCGATCCAGTGCAACAGGCCGTCGGTACCCTTCCCCTCTTTAATACAGGATATAACCAAATATATGGTGACCTCCAGAACAAGATGATCAGTGGTTTCACTCAGACGGACAAGTTCAATGTTGAGAGTTCCGCCAAGATCACTTTGGGCTTCGTGAATAAACCTGTGATGTCCACCAATGTTGTCGATGTAGTCGATGACGAAGGTGACGACGAGGATGATGATATTCCTGAAATTCCTGTGAGGATATAACTCCTGATGTGATTAAGGCTGAGTACACGAGAGCACTCTTTGTCGAGTTCATCGTCTCTGATATCTAAACTATCAATCATTCGATCATTCATTTAATCATTCAATCATTTAAATAAAAGTTATCATAACCAATCAATTAATAGAGGTACATGGACCAGGGCGAGGGCAAGGTTGAGTCAATTACCATCCAAGTTTATTCTCGAGGTCGCGGACAAAGTCATCACAGTCACCAAGATAGGCATAGTCGAATTGGTGTGGCTGGCCTACTAGTTCGCGATTGACAAGTATTTGGGGTATGTTGGCATTGAGGATCTCGGGTATGAGCGCCACTGGTTGGACCTTGAGCGAGGAGCCCATCACAATGAGCAAGTCCACCTTATCCTTATCATTGGCAATGCATTGGTCAAAAACGTCGGGCAGACTCTCGCCAAAGAACACAATGTCTGGCTTCATGAACGATGTGTTGTCATTGCAATGTTCGCAATACGGTATCTCCTGCTTCATGATCTTCTCGCGTATGTCATCGCC